AACCCCCCCCCCACCCTTCCCCACCCTCCGTTTGCTGGCAGCCTAATTTTTGATGATCTCATGATTCCGATAGGCGTCAGACGGCCACCTATACCTCAACAGCGGCATGATCCACCGGCTTAAGGAAGACTGCCCTCAAGGGTTGGAGGAATCTCAACTCGAGGGTCGATCCCTGACTTGTACCCTTAGGTGGGACAGCAATCTTGAAGAGTCAGCGAAGCTGTTCTTCTCCGCATCGATTGAACACGTGCTCTTGTCGGCCTGTCCTCGTCCTCTTTCTCATCGTGAGTGCAGGATGTTCTCCCAACTCTCCGCACTCCAGTCATCCGAAACACCCACACCCTGAGACAAGTCAAGTCGGCCAACTCCATCGAGCGGCAGGTCATCCACGATCCTCTGCCTCTCTTACCATTCTTGATCCTCGAATCCTCTTCATCTTCTTCTCTCCAACCTCTCCTTCTTTTCCCCCTCGTCCTCGTCTCTGCATTCTCCCTTTTCTCACCTCTTGGTTCGTTTCAGTGCAACAATGGTACAGCTTTTGAGAGTTGGGTCATCGATGGGTTTCCGGTATGCAAACTCCTCAAGTTCCACCTATTCTGCATTGTCCTGCTTCTACATCTTTTCTCCCTCTCAGCTTCCCCCCTTCTCCATACCGCCTTTCTCTCATGCACCCAGCACCTTCTGCCTCCTTGCGCTGTGCTCATGTGCTGGCAGGCGGGAACAAGTTTTGTCGAGAGGATCGTCTGCTCAAGGAATGGGGACAACCCAGAGTTCACGATCTCCAATACACCGTACGATATTCTAAATCGCTGCCTCCTCCTAACGGTGCTCGCAGTGGTGACGGCGACTGCCTCTTTTACGCTATGGCGGATGTTGCCATGGAGGTGAACATCCCCTCATTGCAATTCACTCATTCCCTGCCAACCAGCGACTGCCCTCAGTCCTCCTTTCCCCTCTCCTCTATTCCAGACTAGTCTTGTTCCCCTGCCCCTCCTCTCCTCCTCTCTCCTCCTCTCTCCTCCTCTCCTCCCCTCTCCTCTCCTCTTCTCTCCTCTTTCCCCACTTCACTTCCCACCCTTCTCTCGCCCCCCCTCCCCCACCTCTCCCCATCTCTTCTCATCACGTTTCTCTTTGGTACATACTCTGATGATGGAATTCCATCCAGGTGCTCGGTGACGTCAACAACTCGGAAATCCCACCCGAAATTCACCAGCTCAAGGGAAACGAATCTTCCGTGTCAGTGCAGGTGACTTGCGATCCTATCCCGTCGCCTTCCTCAGTTTTTTGCTCGCAGCGGCTTCGACAGATGGTTTCTGAGTCACTCACTGAAGATGAGCTTGCGTTCTTCATCGCTGCCAACGGCCTCTAGCAAATGCCCACGTGGCTGTTTTCTTCTCTTTCCGTCTCCCCCTCCGTTCTCTTTGTCTTGCCGCTCACTTCAGGCTCCTTTTCTACTTTCTTTTGGTCGCTCTTAACCTTTCCCTCACTCTGTTATCAAGAATGAAAGTTTTCATATGGCAATGTAGTTTGTCCATCAGTCACGTTTATTCACAGTCTATTATGATCAAAGAGCACGAAGGGGATTATGGGAGGCAGGAGAAGCTCCTGTGAAAGCAAGGTTGAGCAACATCAGTGTTTGGCAGCGATCCAGGGTAGGAAGATGAGGAAGAGGCCGAATAAAAGTCAAACGCGGAGGACGTTGGGATTTCAGCGATCCCAGCATGCGGCTGATGGCAGAAAGGATACGATTGCCGTCTCTGACTAGCACCTCTCCGTCTTGCCTCATCCTCGAGGCAAACCACCTCCTCTTCTTTGAAAACAGGGCTGAAGTCATCGCACCTCAGAAACCACGCTACCCACGTGTGGTCGATGCTCGGCTCGTCGCTACTGCAGGCCTGCTGCTCGGTGCTCTCGTCTGCTTCTGTAGGAGAGAGGAGGGGGACCTCCACAGAAAGCTGAACATCTTCCGTGCTGAAGCTATTGTCCATGCCAGCTGCTAACAGACTGTCTGTGGACCCGCTGGCATGCACGTCGGAAGGCTCATGTGAGCTCGAGCCTTCTTCTCGCTGCTCAACATTGCGGGATCGCGAGTACGGCCAGCGCTGGACTCCAAGTCTGCGGCAAGCTATCTTTAAGCTCGTCATGGAGATACCCTGCAGGGAATGTAAGCGCGTGTACACATCAAATGATTTTTCAAGCTCACCAACATTGCAGCTGCATCTTCCTGTCGGTGCTCAAACAGTCTTTCGAGCATCGGCAAATCCAGGTTTACACGCCGATTTGCATTGCGGACAACATTCTTAGTTCGTCCTCGTACGGTGACAACTTCAGAAGACATTCTTGGGATGTTGCAATAGGTGGTGAGCGAAGCTTTCAATGCAGATGGAAAGGGATGAAGCAAGAGGAGCAGATGGCGAGAGGCTGTCGGGGATAGGAAGGATGAGATTTCCGTGAAGCGGGGGGCTGACCGTAGATGAAGGGGTCAACGACTCATGACCCCTGTGGTAAAGTACTGTAACACTGTCAGCCAGCCGCGTGATAGTCTGAAAATGTGAGCGGTTCCGGTGTAGTAATCTTGACCGATGACCATGCTGACAGAGGTATCCTGATCTCATGGCATAATAGAAGCTTCTATAGCCCTCGTTAGACCCACTGTGACCTCTGTATCCTCCGACGGTCCTCGTGATGATCACATGTATCTCCTGTAATCACAACGTTTGAAGTACATTATTCGTAGTAAAGTTGGAGAGTCACACTGTACTCTGTAAGGTGCACCACCTTCGCGCTTTACCACATCGGCCTGGTCGCCTACGAGGTTTGGCAAGAGGTCTCAGTGACCCAGCGGGCCGCAGGAGCCCGGCTCGCCGAGCCTGACTCGGAGTTTTGCTTAATGCACACAAAACCAGAATTGAGCCCGGGAGCACATGAGAGATAGGCCGTCGTTAGGCTGTACGGTATGCGCAGTGCAAGGATGAGCGGCCCGCGGCCAGTGAAATCCAAGGCATGATACAGACATGACTGAGAGGACCTTAGCAATTCCAATGACTCAGAATCAGCCAAAGTTAAGTTAAAACTGTGCAGGGTCAAGCCTCCTCGACTCTCCTGATTGTCCTCGTACTACCGTACTGAAGATTTTTAACTCAGTAACTTTGAGTAAACCAAAACCCTGGCGTGACACTGAGTCGCACAGGCCAAACGGCGAGAAGAGAAAAGACAGCGAGAACCAAACCTAATCCTGCCGACTGCTGTCCCCCAAACTTAACTGATACCTTCACTTAACTGCGCAAAAATCATTCAATGTGTCAACCGTTCTACCTAATTGACTCAATTATTCAATTAATGCACGAGCCCTATTGAGTAAATAATCTCTATCATCGTAAAATCCAATTTATTAGTTAAGTAGTAATAGAACCTACCACCCCTGCTAATTCTGCTGAAGTTTCTCCCTATATAGAGTTGGTACCCTAGTACCCACCCTGCATGATTCCCTAGTGTGCTTGTCACCGGTACGATTCTAGCATATTCCTATTGATCGATTGTGGTGCTTGCATGCATCCAAGTATACTATATGAATTCATAATTAAAAAGAGTATACCTATCACCCTATGACTATTGTCTAAAACTTGAATGACCCCTACCACGTCCATTAGTCTCACTAGGGGTACGGCATCCTTCGGCGCGCGTGGGATGACGGAGCCTATGTATGGGGTGGCTACGGCGGGGACGCGACTCGACTGCGTGCAGATCGATGGCCTTGTCGTCCTTAAGATCATCAAGCACTGCAGGGACGAAGGAAACCCCAGCGTTATGATCTCAGGTCAGCTACTCGGGATGGACATCACGTTGGAAGGAACCACCACCCTTGAGGTGACGTCATGCTTCCCGATGCCGCACTCGAGCGAAGAGGATCAGTCGGGTGAAGAGATGGAAAGTTATGCTACAGAGATGCTCAGATGCATGCGCGAGGTGAATGTTGACAACAATACTGTAGGCTGGTACCAGTCCTCTTACATGAACTCATGGCTCGACCCTGAACGCCCCACCGTCGCAACGCAGTTCCAGTTCCAGGATACCGTTCCCAAATCTGTGTGTCTCGTTTACGACCCTGTGAGAACAAGCACTGGAAGCGTTCATCTCAAGGCGTACAGGCTTACTGACCGCTTCATGGCAAAGTACAAGCAGCACCTTGAAAGCAACGAACATGGGTTCACCGAACAGGACATCCGACCAAAGTTCGATTACAGCGGCAAGTGCCTGGATGAGGGCGTAACAATTGAAGACATCTTCGAAGAAGTTCCGATTCGTATCCACAACAGCACCCTTGTTAATGCCATGCTTTATGACTGGGCATGTGAGGGCACCATGGGCGCTAAGATGTGAGCTTCATGTTCCCCTTTCCTTTGTTATTATGTCCTTGTTCCCTATCTCTGGCGTGTCTTCCTTGTGTTTCCATGACATCTAAGAGACAATTCTATGAGTTTGCATGCCAACTATGATGCGTTTTCTAGCCATGTAGCTGTGTTGTCACTGATGTGCTTCCCTTGAGCTTGTCCGAATTCTTTGTCCCTGCCTGTCATGTCTTACCTTGGAACAGGCATTGCGACTTTGAGAGGCTCGATCTGTCTACTCGTCCATTCCTGGAAAAGAGCATGGAGCTCATGGTTGACCCTTTTCTTGCTTTGTGCGAGCTGCGGTCTGACTAGCTGGGCAGCTGGATGGCATCGAGAACCTCCGTCAAGACCAGGAGCGAAGCGAGTACCGCAAGAGAGATGCGGAGCGCAAGAGGAAAGATTATCGCAGAAACGCGCGCGAAGAGCCCTCCAAGGTGATGGATGAATCGATAATTCTGTATAGCTGACGGACGTTCGTAGGACGAGCTGATGAAGTTGTTCCCGGATCCCTCTCGCCTCGAGGGGCTGCTCATCGCCAACCAGGTAGAGGGATGTGCTTTTGGGACTTCTCCTTCTCACTGTTGGCAGGTGTCGAGTTACTGCAACTCCGTCGCAAACTTCTCAGGATTGAGCTTCAACAAACTTTACCTCATCAAGGAGCTGCAAGAGAATCCCAAGTAGCTGTGAGGGCGTCTGAGAGATTCTCTGCCGGCTCTGGGAGATTTCTTCATCCAGATGTATTTCAATGTTCATGCGAATGCTCTATAGCGTGCGATCACAATAAACTGAGAATCGGACTGATGTGAATCATGGGAACCTCGCGGCAGAGAGATGGCTCAGCTTTGAACTTCTTGACACGCTCAAAGCAATCCTTATTCGCATCCCACTTTCGCACGAATTTCAACAGAAAAATGTTACAAGCTTTTCATACAGCAATCACAAGTAATGTTCCTCGTTGATGTCTTTGTAGAAAGTCAGGCCATGTACTTCACCTCTGATGACTCAACTTGGTCAAGGCTCTCAATCTGTCTTTCTCCACCTTCCCTTTTTGAATGCCTGTCGTGACTGGATTGACTTCCTGGCTTGCCCTCGGAAGGTACTGGCCTTGCAAACAAAGTCTCATCTTCGGTCTCAGTTGAGATCTGCACACTCTCTGGAGCCACACTGAGTGAAATGATGGTTTCTCCTGCGTTTGGAACAGCAATGGACTCGTCCTGTCTCGTAGCATCCTCGTCGTGCGAGCACTGAAATAAGATTATTGGAAGTTTCAATCGCGTGCATTCAACCTTCTCCGATGAGCTTGTTGGAGACGAACAAGACGGGCTCTGTTTCTGAGGGGAAGTGTTTTGTGAATCAGATTCTAGGTCCTGTATGCAGTGTAGTGAACAAACAGAGTGAATATTGACAGATTGACACACCTTGCACGACTTTTGTAAGTTAGCCTTCTTTGCTGCTGGGCGTACTGCAGGGCGGGATCGACTATTTTCTGTCATTGTCTGGATACTCTCAGTCCAAGCCGTGAGCTCCTCCGAAGACTCGGCGCTCATCATCAACGTATGTTTGCTAAGCTTCAACTCAAAGCAAAACTCCTGTCCAGACGTCTTGCCCGGGCAAATTCGAGTTCGAGAGAATGTGATATCAATCAACTCGTAGGGTTCCTCATCCGATTGTTCATGGTAGCACCTCAGCAGGCATTTCCTCACGAGAAAATCCTTCCCGTCCTTCTTCACCCTCTGCCTCTCTTGCGATATGACAACGAATGTCTCCAACCACTGAGAGCCCCAGCAACAGGACGCACGGCCCCTTCTAAGGAGGCTACCCTCCTTCCTTTGCATCACATCGTAGACTTCAGCACCTTCCTTCCCGCTGCCTGCCGCCACAACACTTGCTTCCATGGTGTTGATGTCCTCAACACTGCTGCCCTCCATTTCAGCTAAAAATTCTTGCGTGTCGAGATCTGAGGACCAGCAAGAGAGACTCTGGGTCACAATCAACCTTAACTATGGCTCCTTGAGATTGCACGGAAGTTGCCGGAAGTATGATGATTGCTCGTCACGGTCCTGGAGTGAAATTGTCAATAAAGAGTGGTCAAGTTTAAGGTCGCTTGTAACAAAATGGATGAAGAGGAGAGCAACAAGAACACATGCACTCTTGTGGCTCTAGCACTTACTCTTCCTGCCCATCTAGTCTAGCATTCATGGATTTTTGGTCCTTCTTTCTATTTGACTCTACTGAAGGCATCTCATAATCTTCCCACAAGTTAAATCATGTCTTTCAGAGTCATAACTCAGGCTGCCGCATCTCACTGGGCTGTACAGTTTCTATCAGTCTCTATACTAGCTGCCAGCCTGACTTCCTCTCATCAGAGTACGACGGCGGCGTCCGACGGTCTCCGACTGAGTCAGTCCTGGCACTGAACCTCCCTAGTCCCCACTGCTCAGAGTCACTGAGTGATCAGTGCAAAAGGCGGCCGGGCTTCCCGGCTGAGAAGATCAGGGTGCGAACCGTCCCCAAGTAATCGCCTCTGCGTGCCATGATCCCTGGTACTACCGTACTACAGCAGCCTTGTCTCAGTGCCGCCCGGCCGCCGCTGCTGTCACAGTGTCGCACTGCGGCATCCCCATCATCATCGAGGCGTCGTCCGTGGCATGATCAGTCTGCGCCGCCGCGCGGCTCCGAGCGCCGGGCTGTCCAGGGTTGGCACGGACAGCGTGACCTATCATGCAGTGCCGCAGTGCCGCGATGCCATCTGAATGGCGGGGCGCCATCCTTGCGATCAGCTTGCCCTGCTTCTCCCTGCTGTCGCCGCCGCCGGTCCGATCGGCGAGCCCAGGCTCCCGGCGCTGTCCGATCGCCGCTGGGGGACGGCGCTCTTTGCACTATCGAAGGGCAACGGTAGCATCCGAATAACGGTTATGTAACGATCGAGCTGTCCTCACTGTCGGAACGGGCCCGAGTCCAGGTCACTACTCAGTGGTGCTTGGCCCGGCCGGGCCGCCCCGGGATGACGGAAAACTGAGTCCGCCTCCGAGTACCGTAGTACTACAGAATTATGGGTACGAGGGGGATGATGATACGTGGTCAGGGTTACGCCCCAAGGCAAGGCGCATGCACTGCTAAGGCCTGACCTAGGAAAGAAGCAGGAGAAGAGACAAGCGACACGCTACAAGGTATGAGATCACCCTACATGCTGTCTTCACTTCATCTCTTCTTGTTAGTGGTCTTCTTCTCTTGATCTTCTCTTGTTTGTTGCCTTCTTCTCTTCATTTCTTCTCTTCATCTTCTCTTGTTCGTTTTCTTCTTCACTCCATCTCCTCTTGTCGGTGGTTTTGCTCACCCCATCAGCACTTGTCGCCTTAGTTCGTTTCCTATTTGCCAGGATCTCCTGCCTGTGACGTTGCCGTGGGGGGATTCGACAAGAAAGAGTCTCTTATAGTTACTCTGCAGGTTCACGATGAGGATCATCACGTTGCTACTAGTAACGTTCGGAACGTCGACGCTTCACAATGTGGACGCATTTCATCTCCCGATGGTCTCGAGGGGAGCGAGGAGCATTGCTCAACCGCAGCTTTCAACCTTCTCCGGCAGGAGAGCGTACAGTGCTACTGTTCCTGTTACTGCCATGGGAGCTAGAGCCAAAATTCTTTCTCTCAGGATGTCGAGCCCTGGAAGCAAGGACGGGATCCCTGTGAACTTGCTGACGATTGGAATCCCTAAAGAGTCCAAGGAGGCCGAAAGGAGGGTGGCAGCTACTCCGAGCACTGTTGCGATGCTTACAAAGGAAGGGTATCAGGTGTTCGTCGAACAAGGCGCGGGAGAAGCTGCAGACTTCACAGATGCAGCCTATCAGGCGTCCGGCGCCGTGATCAAGGGCATGAAGGACATTTGGAGCTGCGACATCGTTCTCAAAGTGAACGTCCCTACCAAAGATGAAGTAGATCTTTCCAAGGAAGGCTCGCATCTCGTCTCCTTCATCTCTCCGGGTCAAAACAAGCCCATAGTAGACGAGCTTGCTAGGAAGAAGATGACAGTATTCGCCATCGACTGCCTGCCAAGAACCTTGTCAAGGGCACAGACGTTCGATGCTCTCAGCTCCATGGCAAACGTCGCGGGGTACCGAGCTGTCATCGAGGCTGCCAACGCTTTCGGTCGCTTCTTTGCTGGTCAGTTCACAGCCGCAGGGAGGATTCCCCCGGCCAAGGTACTCGTGATCGGAGCCGGAGTTGCAGGCCTTGCTGCGATCCAGCAGGCCAAGGGAATGGGTGCTATCGTCAGAGCCTTTGATGTCCGCTCGTCCGTGAAGGAGCAGATTCAATCTGTGGGAGCAGAATTCCTCGAGGTTGAGCTGGAAGAGGAGGGAGAAGGAAAAGGCGGGTACGCAAAGGAGATGAGCAAAGAGTTTATCGAGGCTGAAATGGCACTTTTTGCCCGTCAGTGCAAGGATGTTGACATTGTGATCACCACAGCACTCATTCCCGGAAAGCCTGCTCCACGTCTAATCACCCGTGAAATGATTGAGTCGATGAAGCCAGGATCCGTGGTGGTAGATCTTGCAGCAGAAGCAGGGGGGAATATTGAGACTACCAAGCCAGGAGAGAAGTACGTCTACAAAGGCGTAACTCACATTGGGTACTCTGACTTGCCGTCTCGCCTGCCAACTCAGGCATCTGAGCTCTACTCAAACAACGTAGCGAAGTTCTTGCTTTCTATGAGCTCGAACAAGAATTTCAGGGTCAACCTGGAGGACGAGGCCGTTCGTGGCTGCCTTGTGCTTCAGAACGGCTACCTCATGTGGCCGGCTCCTCCCCTACAACCGAGTGCAAAGGCGGCCACAAGCAGCAAGCCAACCACGCCTCAGCCGGTTGCCTCCCCAAAGTCAGAATCGAACAAAGCAGAGCAGGAAGCTTGGAGCCGATCGATTTCTGTTTCACTCTTTGCTGCCACCCTCTTTGGCGTCAGCCTTCTTGTTGGAAGCTACCTTGACATCCCCGTCACCATCTTTGTTCTCTCTTGTCTGGCTGGTTCTCAAGTAGTTTATGGGGTGACTCCCTCGCTGCATTCTCCGCTCATGTCAGTTACCAACGCTATCAGTGGCATGACAGCTGTCGGAGGGCTTGTCTGCATGGGAGGTGGCTTGTTTCCACAGAACGCGGCGCAGGTTCTAGCAGCTGCTGCAGTGTTTGTTTCAATGATCAACATCGGAGGAGGTTTCGTCATGACAAATAGAATGCTCGGCATGTTCAAACAAGAAGGCTCTGCCTCGTACAACCGGAACATCTACCTTCTGCCTGCCGTCGTCATCTCTGCTGTTTATGCATGTAGGAAAGTTCTGCACCTTTTTGCCAAACTGACAAGAGACCCTGTGAACAGTCGGAGCAGCTACGGGATGCAGTAGCAGCCTCTGTGGAATGTTGCAATTGATTGGTGCCGTGCTTTGCATTCTTGCCATCGGTGGTCTTTCAACTCAGGTCTGTGTCCACTAGCAGAGAATCGTTTCAACGAGTTGTACATTAGAGACTTTTTGGATGAGAATGGTGGAGGGACTTGGGAGAAAGTGAGAGGTTGGTGGGCTTCAGTGCTGTAATAGTTAGCACTTGTACTCCATTTCCATTTATTTGTAATATCAGGCGACTGCGAGGTACGGAAACACAATGGGAATCCTCGGAGTCTCCAGCGGACTGGTTGCAACTCTAACGACTCAAGATTTCTCTTCAGGTTGTTTTGAGTATGCTCATTTAAAAACCTACAATTGATGAATGTTTCAGCTGTTTTTAAACAAGCCTCGGTCATCATGGGAGCAGGAGTTGCTGTTGGTAGAGAGAATTCTCTTGTTTCCTCTATCTCAGTCTTCTGCAGGGGCTTCGATCGCGAGCAAGGTCGGTGTCACGGAACTCCCGCAGGTACGAATCGTGTCATGCTTAAGCATGCGACAAGCTCCTTTCCTTGTGTCGGTTCCAGGCAGTGTTGTTGTCTTCCTCACAGTACCTGATCTCCCGGTTTGTGACTCGTTGTTACCCTCAGCTTGTTGCTGCATTTCATTCTCTTGTCGGAGTGGCAGCGGTCGCCACCGCCATCGCCTCCATGCTTCTCGCCCCTGCTCACACTGCCGCTCTCGCGTCTACTGGTGCCCTGATCCACGAGGCATCCTCTTACGTCGCTGCTGTCATCGGAGCCATCACAGTGACTGGCAGGTGCTTGTTGTCCCCCCTTCCTTCAAGAATGCATGTGAAAAAGATTGACTATATTGTTTCAGCATCGTTGCCTTTGGTAAGCTTCAGGGTCTCATTTCGGGGAAACCTTTCATCCTTCCTGGGTGAGATGCTTCTGCCAGATCGGTTTCCTCTCATCCTTTCTTTGTGCAGGAAACGTGTTGTCAACGTTGCAATGATTGGAGCACTGATTGCCTGCTTCCGTTTCTTCATGGTTTCTTCAGGTGTTCTCCAGCAGTTCTGCTTCCAACTCCTCTCACGCTTCCACAGCTCTCTCCTGGTTGTATCTTGCCAGCGCTGTTGCTGGACTTCTCGGCTTCGTTGTGGCTGCTGGGGTAGGAGGAGGGGACATGCCGGTAGTTATCACCCTCCTGAACTCAGCTAGCGGGTAAGAGGCACAGAAACGGCGAGTCTCGATGTGATGGACTGTTTCAGGTGGGCGCTATGCGCTGAGGGTTTTGTCCTAAACAACAACCTCCTCACTGTCGTCGGAGCTCTCATCGGCTCCTCCGGTGCGATCCTCTCAGACATCATGTGCAAGGTGAGCCGAAGCTTCAAGTTCGCCAGTCATGTCTTCTTGCCCTGCAGGCGATGAACAAGGGCCTCATGAATACCATCGGGCTCCTCACCCCCCCCCGGCGCAGAAGAAGTCCAAGGCTTCTTCCGGTGATGACGCTCCCAAAGTCGCAGCTCAGGTGGATGTTGCCGGTGAGGGAGGAGCGAAGATGCGGGTGCAAGTGCCTGACTCTCATCTTGAGGGGCGGTGGCCAAGCTGGCTCAAGCCAAGAAGATCTGTATCGTTCCCGGCTATGGCCTCGCGGTGTCCAAGGGACAATATCCCCTTGCAGAGGTCTTGCCATGATTTTTTCGCAGCCTCTCATCCTCCATTACTTTCATTTCTCGACCCTCGCCTCGTCCTTCACTTCTTCACTTCATGCGTCTCCCTCGCTCATCGATCGGGCCCTTTACATGCATTCAAGGTTGTCAAGATGTTGTCAAGCGCAGGCAAGAAGGTGTTCCTTGCCATCCACCCGGTACGTCAGGACTTCTCGCTCCTGTGTGATGTGTACACAGGTAGCAGGAAGGATGCCGGGCCAGCTCAACGTGCTTTTGGTGCTTCTGTGCGACAACAAAGTACCTTCTTTTGACGGTGCTTGTCAGGCGGAGGCAGGAATCCCTTATGACATCGTTAAAGAGATGGAGGAGATCAACGAAGAGTGGGATGATGGTATCACGACAGTCTCGCCTGCTCTCTTTATCCGTATCGTCAACTTGTTGTAACTGATCAACACTCTTGCGCAGTCGATGTCACCCTCGTGATCGGAGCAAACGACACGGTGAACAGTGCGGCAGAAGACGACGCAGACTGCGAGATCGCTGGTAAGGAGATCCGCCATTGACTGACGACGGTGATGGAATGTTCTACTCAGGAATGCCTGTCATCAGAGTTTGGCTCTCAAAGTAAGATGATCTCGTCTTCCTTGCACTGCTCAAGCTGTTCGTGTTGCCGTCTACCCTAGGTCTGTCATCTTCTTCAAGAGGAGTCTTGCTGCCGGTTATGCGGTAACGACATGCCTTCTCTTGCTGTTTATGGGGCTGATGGAGCTGCAGGGACTTGAGAACCCTGTCTTCTACAAGGACAACACAGAGATGCTTCTAGGTCCCTTCCTATGCCTCCCCCCTCCGCTCCCCCCCCGTTCCTCCGCCCCTTCCGTCCGTCCTGCCCTCTTTCCCCCTCCCCCTTCCTCTTTGTTGGTCAGCTCCTCCTTCATCAGCGTTTTCCTTGTTCCCTTCTCTCTACAGCACCCGTGTCAACTTGACACGCAGGCGACGCCAAGGTGGTGTTGGAGGAGTTGAGAGACTCGCTCAAGCAGGCTGTCAACTAGACGCCACGGGGAATCCGAAGAGACATGTCAATTTGGCGACCAGTCACTTTCCAAGTTGCAATCATTTGCCATGCAAATTCAACGAACGGACTAGCAATCTCATCTACTTGGCTGCTCTGATCGGCCCGAACTGGAAGCAAAAACGTCCCTCCTCGAAGTTAGGATTGAGCTCCCCGTCGTACTCGTACTTGCTCAGCATGACCTGAACCTGCACATCAACCCGTCATCCACTTTCAGCCCTCCGCATGCTCTCACTGAGTAGATCCTAGACAGGTCGATCCCCTTGGAGGGGCTTCTCAGCGTTCTCCCGCGCACAACAGGGATGAACTTGTCCAGCGGGGCTTCGACGTCCATCCACTGCGGCAGCTGTCACTTCCTGCCTGCAAGCAGCTTGGAGCAAGCTCTCTTCACTTACCTGCCCTCTCTTGGTGTCAAACGAGTAGCACCAGGCAGTCGTGTCCCATCCCTCCTTATCGCGGAGGATCACCTTGTACCGCATGCCCTTGTCGCATCTCGCTCGCATTCTGCCACCAGCAATGAGATGGGCACAAGGACAAGGTCAGGTTGACCTCAAGCTCTTGTACCCCTCCAGGTTAAAGGGAGGGTCAACATTCCTCGTCCTTGACAATCGTGCGTGAGCTCGAAGCCAACTGCCGAGCAGCAGCTCACCTGACGGAACAGAACCCTCCAGAGTTCCTGGAGGAGGTCTCACCAGAGAAGGTAGCGCCATGCTCTGCGAGTTTGATGTTGCTCAGACTAACTCCGCCCATCACAACGTCATCAAGAGCTGCCCAAATGTTTTCCAGCCCTTCCTAGAAGCAGTTTGCGTTCAGACCTCCCTCCTGAAGCGCACCCCCGATGACCCCCCCCACTCACCTGGTTCATGTCCTTGAAGTCCCAGAGGAGCATCTCACGTCCAGTGACGCCTGCTTCTGGGCGTTTCACCTTGGGGGTAGAGGAAGGGAGGAAGGGGATGAAGTTTCGTAGCGGGTTGCCATTGAAGAACTGCCATGTACGCGCAAACCTCGAGAACTCCCAGGACTTCGATGCTCCTTCAGCCATGCAGACGCTGAGGTTCCTTGGTCCTCTTACCGGCGGGGCTGACTGGAGGCTCTGGAAGGCTGTGCAGGAGACGCTTGTGCGTGGCTGAGCGACGAGGAGGAGGGCGAAGGGCACAAGGAGTTTGTTGTGCATGCCCTTGGTATAAGCGGACAGTCAGCACCCAGGCTTTATTATTTCAGTACTCAAAGTTACCGGCCGGGCCCGGCCGCGGCCCGGGCCGCGGCGAGTCCGGGGGGCCGTGGCTGACCCGGGCCGTCGGACGGTCGGTCTCGGCCGATCATGGCATCCGCCGGATCGGATCAGATCAGCGGGCCGCTGCTGTCGCTGCCGCTCGGGCGTAGTCCGACAGGTCACCGGGGCGTATTCGGCCCGACGGTGGCACCGTACGGCCCGGCGGTCACCAGTGTGTAGTAACAGTACGGTTCAACCGTCTATGGCCCGTGGCCTGGCGGCGCGTGGCGCACTGCGGCAGTGCGGTGGCCGGCCAGCGGGCCGGGCCGCAGTACTACCGACGGTAGTACCGTCGGTCACTCACGGTGACCTTTACTACGCAAAGTTAAGTGAAAAATCAGTACGAGGACAATCAGGCCCCCAAACTTAACGGATACCTTCACGGTGACGGTCGGTCACCGGCTCACGCGGGCGCGGGCGGCCGCGCGGCGGCGCGCGGCCTCACTGCCGCCAAGTAACTTCATGACTACTCCTTCTCTTCCGAAGTTCCGCCGCCGAGCCAGTACGGCCCAGTAGTAATAATAATAATCCTGCGGCCGCGAGTGCCCAAGTTGTCACATCGCGCTAAAAAATAGTAAACTATAATGGGTATATATAAAGGTTCAGCTGGTACTGCTGGATCATCCGTTTTTGGAGCACCAAGATAACTAAAGTTTGAATGAGTCATCCGGAAGCAACCCGGCCAACTTGAACCCGTCCCCTCGGGCCGTGTCACGGGGGTTTAGCACCATGTGCGGTTGTAAAGAGAGGGGGACTCACGAGGCGGGGTAACCAAAATGACAAAATACGGTTGACGGGCCTTTTTTTTGAGTCACGCGGGAGGGTCCTAGGCGGATCTCCGTGGATGCTTCTGCGGCAGCAGGTACCTTTTAAGATGCCAGATTGGCGCCTGCTGAAAACACATCTTATCAGAAAAGATATTGATCCCGGGCACCCATGTGACGATATCCGTGACAGGTAATTCAGTCACGATCATGGTCAGCTGCTGACCGGTGACCCGAAACGAGTGGGTTTTTTAAATCTAATGACCCCTACCTAGCTCGAAGTGGGAAGTCGTACCGGTCCAGGGAAAAGCTTACAGTGAAGACAGCGGAAAGAACCTCCGGCCTCTTTCCTCTTTCAACCACCCACGCCCCCTGCCCTTGTTGCTCTGCCCCCGCCCCCTTCACCCGCTTCCGAGTCAGTCTCCTACACCCAAGTGCTCAAGTCGACTCTATCCCATCTGATCCCACCCCCTATCTGTTGTAAATCTTTCGCCCCTTAGCCCTTCCTCGTTCCTCCGATAATCCCGACCATTGCTTTCAATCGGTCTTCGAAGTGCCCAGCGAAGACACCAGACAATAGATACACAAAGCAGACAACAGCAACCCAAGTCCCATGTCTTCCTCAGCATCTATTACCATCCGTGTTCGGAGGAAAAAGGGTAGGCAGGTTGGTCAAAAGCGAGTGCACTTGAGCATTGATAGCATAAGTCAATATTTTGATCATCGTCAGGAGGAAGCAGCACAGATCCTTGTAAGCTGAGTTGCACTTCATCGGCTTGAGCTGTCTGACCCCTCTTCTCTCAGGGCGTTTCCTTGACGACTCTCAAGCTGGTCTGCAGACGTTTTGGTCTTGATCGATGGCCATACACGAGGCAGGCTCAGAGCAAGGAGAGGTCAGAATCAACCTCAACGCAGCACAAGCACGAGGAGCCTCTTGCGGGCTCCTCAGGGTTCAGAATAATTTCATCTTGCTGTGCTTCCGAGATCCCAGCGCCCTTGAGCGTGTCCGAGGATTTTCTCGTTCCTCTTTCAAGGCGATGGATCGAGTGGTTCATGGAGTGCGACGAGGAAGACCCAGTGAGCTGTGCCGAAGGTTGTTTGTGATGAGAGGTTGTGAACAGCCTCTTAACAACTGTATGCGTGACTAGTTTTACTGTTACCATCGCATCGTTGAGCGTGAACTTGTGAAGTGACTGAAATAAATGAAAATATCTGTAGGCTTGAAAAGCTTGAGCAGGATGGTTTCGAAAGCCCTTATATCTTTATTACAACGTGAGATCTCAACCCACCTTCTAATCACTACGAATCTACTGTAACAACATGCAGCCGCCTCATCGTTAACCAAAACAACCCAGACAAGCCCTTGTGGATCTGTCTAGTTCTTTCAAGATCCTTCTACTTGTGCGACGGACTGATTCGTCTTGTTTCCCGTATCGTGCCAGCACCTGATTCACAACCCTGATGACATCCTGCTTCAGAGACTCGTCCTCGGCATGCCATGTGACTTTCTGTGCCAGTGGCAGCAGGGCTTTCAGACAATCCTGCACTACTTGCAGAGTCTCCATGTTGACTAGAAGAACGTCAAGGGCGAGGGGGATCGCTCTCGACTTCAACATGAGGAATTCACTGTCTCCGTACTTGACAGCAAGAAGATGCACCAGCCGCCAAGCTGCTCGCTGCGCCTGAGCAACAGCCATGCTATGCTGGATGGCAAGATAGAGATGAGTGGCGGCGTCATTCTGAAATGCCGACAGCATGCCTTCCTGATCAATGAAGACGGCCAGAGCTGAGCATGCGTACTCCAGCACTGTCGGTACTGTGTGATGGTTGTCCAGAGCAAACGTTATCCTGCTGATGATGACGCGGCTGTCCATAGATCTCTTGAGGGCTGCAGATCTCGCCAGGCTCCACAAGACGAAGCATGCTCGCTCCTGCAGCCTCGAGCTCTCCGGGTGGCCTTGCATCGCTTCGAGCAGAAGCTCAACAGCCCCGAGCTCGACGATTGAGGTGCAATACTTGAAGGCGATCTGAGCGATATTTGAGAGGATCATACATGCAACTTCCAAGATGGTTGAGTTGTTTAAGAAAGCTCTCATGACAGCTAGCACGAGCTCCATTCCTCCCTTGCTCGCAAGCGTCACGCCGTTCTTGTGCTGCTCTTTCGTCAGATACGCCAAGGCATCACACGCCGCAAGCTGTAGCTTGTTATCATCGACGAACTCTAGCATTGCACAAACGATTCTCTCCACCCCCTCCCGTTCTCCGACCAGGTTGCGAGAGGAAGGAAACATCCAGGCGTACCACGCGACCAGCTTGCAGCAGTGTGTCTGAATGATCACTTCCTTGTCATGTACCCTCATCACTTGCAAGGTGAGAATAAACACGTCTAGCCCTTCCATCTTCTGCTTGAACTTTGCATCACAGAACATGGACAAGATAATAAAACAGAGTTGCAGGATCTTGAAAGATGTTGAATGAGTCTTCATCATTTCAACAAGCAAGTCAAGCCCATGCTGATCTGTAAACCGCTCTAGTAACGTGTTGTCCTTGCTGAGTGCAAGATGTAAATTTCTCAATAATTGCTCCAGAACATCTTCTGATTTCATACTGTCCCTGAGGCTGGAGAAGAAATGAATAAAGATATCCCACCGCACGAACTCATCTCCGGCCCTTGATAGCACGGCATGCAGCAATTTCAACGCACATGCCACAACACTTGGATCTTGAGAACTTTCAACAAGATCTAAGAATATCTGAATGCCATCTTGTGCTGCAAAGCACTGCGATGAACTGCTGCTTTTATCACAAATATCAGCCAAGATCGCAAGTGAGATCTGCACGTCCTTGCTTGAAGCTTCTCTGTCTTTGACGATCCGATACAACACGTCAACGAGTTCTGCTATCGTTTCCTCCTCTATCCTCCGAATGCAGTCGATCTCCGAGAATATTCCCCAGAGCAAGAGAAGCCCCCGCTGGCGGCGCTGCGGCTGCAGGTAGTCGGCGACGATCTGTTTGAAGATGGGATGAATGAGTACATTGCAGAAATTCTCTGTCTGATGTAGACCGTAGCTGCTGATGATTCTGCATGTCGACATGATCGTGGGTTCTGATATTACTGCGTCCATGGTGTCATCAAAAAAGCTCTTGATTGCCAACAGGTCATCATCAGTGAAGTTATCTTTTGATCTGTCATCATGTGAAGCAGCAAGAGTAGATAGCGTCGACGACGCCTTCTCACGGACCATGGGATCTTGATTCGTAAGCAACACGTTGAAGATGGTCTTGGAAACGCCGGCGGAATAGAGTGAGTTTGCATTTGCAGCATTGCCTCGTGAGAAGCTATCGATCATCATCAAGACAGATTCAAGAACAAGATGCTCTTCGTCAGAGTCTTCAAGTAGAGAAGTTATGACGCTGATGAAATTAGTCTCTCTCGCCATCGCCTGCATGCTCTCATTTCTTGACAAGATGCTCGACAGACTTCTGCTTGCATAGATTCTCAGCGTCGGCGCTTCAAACAGCTCGAGAGAATGCAGAATACCAAGGGCAAGATCTTTCATGGTGTCATCAGATATTATGCACTTGTTGTCAAGCAAGACAGCATGAAATAGTCGCAGAAACGTTGTCTGCAAGTCTTCATTGTCTTGATGTAAACTCATCATGTTCGACAGAGTTGTGATCACACTTTGCTTCACAGCCTCTCGAGAAATTGGCGAGTCCCTGTAGCACAAGAGCGATCTATGAAGTAGCTTCACAACGACATCTACGACCTCGTGATCTGATCCGAACGCCTCTAGCGCACTGATGACTTGTTTGGCCAGTCTCTCATCAAGAACAAGGGTGGAACTTGACGGCAGTTGCTTGTACAACTCGTGCAAGAGCTGAGCTGCACTTCGAGAGTTTTTCGCCGTGAAGTGATACAACAAACTTGACTTGATGACTGACACAAGGTTTGGTAGCTGTTGCGACAAGTCCTTGATGACTTTGCTCTGCACGATGTGAAACAGGATGGTGCAACCATGATACTGGATTTCCTCTGAATTCTCATGTAACCACATTGCTGCAAACACGTGCGAGATGGTCTTGTTTGTTCGATCCTTGTATGACTTTGAGAACAGCTTGTCTAGTATCTGCAGAGAGGCCTCAACAATAGCAGCGTTGCTCTTCTGCTGTTGGAGGAGATTCATGAAAATGCCTGCACCGTCCTGGCTTGCAAGTTGTTCGATACCCTGCAGATTGTTTTCGCAAAGCTTGTTGAGCGAGGCAACGACACGGCAGACAATCTCAAGCCTGTCTTGCGGTTGAGATACGAGGCGCAGCAGTCGCCTGACCGCATCCTCGTTGGTGATCCAGACACGAAGTTTGAGGGATACGTCAGCCAAGCACGTGAGAATGGCGCAGACGTTGGCGGTCAGTGAGACGTTCTCTGAAGTTTCGTCCTCCACCTCGTCCAACATGGTGAGAACTGCTGTGATACCATCTTGCTCCGCGAACAACATGCAGTTCTCTGACTGGTCTTGGACGAGCAACATGATCATATGGGAGGTGAGAATTCTGTTCTCCACGCTCACAGTCTTGGACTTGAGGACATGCACTAGAGAAGACATGAAGCTTGTGCTTGTCTTGAACGTGTATGACTTATCAGCTTTGACTGTTTGAAAGATCCTGCGCAGGTCGTCTATACATTGACAAACGCGCTCCTCGGAGTTGTCTTCAGATGAGATGTGATGGTAGATGAAGCTGACGGCTCGTTGAAGCGTCTTGCTAGAGAACTTGTCCGGTGACGATGCAATGAGGTTCAAAATCTTGCTTTGGTTGGGAGACGACAATCCTTCAATCACTTCTGACATGGCCGAGTCGCATTCCTCATCGACAGCCTCGGCCTTGCTGACATGCTGAAAGAGTTCGCAGAGTCTCGACTGGAGAGTCGGAGAGTCTGAAAGATGCTGCCGTGTCAACTTGACAATTTCTTTGATGTGCCGGTTGAGATCTTGCGAGTACTTGACCTTGCAGATGAATCGAATGCAACAATCCAACAGCACAACGATTGTGGAGATGTCTCCTTGGTAAGTTTGAAGGCATTCAGAGAATGTCTCCATGATGTCTTGATTGAAGTCATCCATCGCATACAAGGGAAGTAAGCGAGTGAGAAAGAGCAAGGTCTTGCATCGTAAGATATTGCTCCTCTCATTCCCTATCTCCTCTCTGACACTCGTCAGGACGAGTTGAAAGGCCGGCAAAACATCAAGCTCTTCTTCTATCTCGACATCTGCAAAGCTTGCAAGGCTGTGGTAACAAGCTTGCCTGACATTTTTGAGCTCCCACATCTTGACAAGACAGTCAACGACGATGTTCACTACCCGAGTTCGCATCTCTTCTTGCTGATGAACAAGAGGAGGGGCAGGAAACGCTGACACAACTGACATCCCATTCTTGATGATGTCTCTGTTTCCCGAGAATTCCATCATGAAGCCCCAGACCAGCTCGCCGATATAATCTTGACTTTCAAGCGAGCTTGAGCCTTTCGAGCTCTTGTTAGCCATGGCAAGAAGTTCTAGGAAGGCCGAGCAAAGAGCTTCCTCATGCTTGAAGTTTGTTGCCGCTGACACCAGCCGGCCGATGTTGTTCAAGATTGTCTCACTGTTGTGCAGATGGTTGCAACAGATAGACAAGAGAGACTTGAAGCCTTCAACCAACATCTCATGACAGACTGAAAGTGTGACCGCTTCGAGGATCAGCTCAACTCCCCGCCTCCGCGCGATTTCTTCTTTGTTCTTGTAGTTGTTCATAGCCAGCGATCCCATCAAGCGACATCCCGCCAGCATCGTTGCTGCGTCCGATGAATGCGTTTGCATGCACATGATCACCTTGGCAACTCCATGCAGGTCAGAGATCAACATGTTTCGCTTCAGGTTGTTGTGCGCAAGAGTGTGCAGACATACACACACGTTTTCAGCAACTTGTCGATCATGAGGAAACAGGTCCAATCCCTCTATCAGAACTGGGATTCCTCCCATCTTCTCCAGCATGCCCAAAGATTTGCTGCTTGATTTGAGAATGTTTGCAATGAGAAGGGAGCAGCATCGAGCAAGCTCGCAGTCAGTCTCCTCACAGGCTCTCCTCAGCACCTCGACAGTTGTCTTCATTCGCTCCTCTCGCATGTCAGAGTCTTTCAGTCTCACATGACTTGTGACCTCGCAGACAAGGGAGCAAGCTAGGAGCTTAACACGCTGATCGCAAGATGATTGCATGACTTCGAACGCAGCATCTGTTGCGCTCACTTTGACAAGTTGGTTTGCGATCCAAGGGTCTCTTGATAGGTCCACAAGACATCTCAACGAGCATATCTGACCTTGAGGGCGGTCACTATCTTTCATGTTCTGCAGGACAGTTGACAAGATCTTGATCGCCCCATCATCAAAATCCTTTTCTTGCTCCACGTCATCGTCATCCCTCATCCCCCCATGCGATTGTAGAGCTGCGAGGAGTGAGCAAGCAGAGCTGATAACTTCTTCCTCACACGCCAAGGTTGATAAGGACACTGCAGAAATGCTCAGCCCTTTCACCTTTTGGAAACATCTGCGACATGTTTCGTCCCTCATCAGCACCTTGAGGCAAGCACAACACTCGGTGAAAACTGACACACTTTGATTGCATCTTTCCATCACTTTCAGCATCCAGTTCATCAGTCCTGCACTTACCGCAGAGCGATAGAAACACTTGAAAACTTTACATCTGCAACTTTCATGCAACTGCATATTGTCGTATTCGTTCTGAGAGCTGGAAGGAAACCATCCATGAATCGTTTGCAAGGTGAACAATATTCTCTCTTCATCATCAGCGGCTTCCATTTTCAAGATCAGTTCCTTGATCTCGAGAGTAAATTGAACGCAAGTTGCGTGATGGCGGATACAAATATTCGTGGAAGACTCGCAAACAGAATCGTCCTTGGTTTCCCCATTGAGATGCGATAAGAACCATGCGGCATACCTTGCACTAGGTCGAGCGCCTTCAATACCATAGAAGCAATCGTGGGCTAGTTTCCCGAGTTTGCAGTCGACATTCTTGTCGAACAGAAGCCGCAAGTTCTCTTGGCTCACTGGCTTCTTTCCCCCGCAGATCGTTCCCGAGAGCATTTCCAGCATCACAACCCCCAAGTTGCGAAGGTCAAGACTTCTCTGAATCTGATGTTCGCTATCAAGACTTCTTTTGCAGATGTCAACAGGCGAAAACTCCTTGAACCAGCCAAAGTCGACGAGTTGGACGCTCGAAGTTGAAGTCAGTATAACGTTCATGGCGTCAAGGGATCCGTGAGAGAGCTCCTGGTCGTGCAGGTAAGCCAACCCATCGCTGATCTGATGTGAGATTTCTATCTTGCTCTCCTCGGTCTTGATCTCCTTGCGCTCTATAAGCTCGTGGAGGGAGACGCCGGAGGGTTTTTTGATGGAGCAGAGCATAACCGACGAGTTTGACGCGGGAAGATAAGGAGCGAGGGACTGATGGCTGAGACTGCAAAGATGACGGGCATGTCGAACGAGGTTGCTGTGCAGACTGTTCTCATGGGGACAGAGGCTGACGATTCCAGTGCACTTGAGAAAATCTGGTTTGGAGATGAAGGAAACTTTTCGGATGAGCGTTTGTTCTTCGACGATGGAGTGACTGGGGTCCAAGAAATCTTCTTTCACAGTCAACGTGAAGTCATCCAAATCTAACGGTGCCTCCAAAGTTTGAACGAAATCCTCCTTGCCGCTTACATCCAGCAGCTGCCATGTTGTGCGAACTTCCTTGTCTTTCTTGTTCTCTTGAGACAAAACTCTCCAAACCTGCCGAGGATGCACAAGAATCGAGTCCTCAAAGATCGCACCAAGGTCCAGAACGCTCATCCTATACCCGACCACGTGCTCGCAGTTCACGTGAAGGCATCCTGCGCCTGGACCGTCTGAGGTGAAGACGGCGCCGACTGAACAAACTCTTGGCATTACAACCCGAACGTCATTTGCTCTCAGACAAGTCAAGTTCCCTCCAGTGAAAAGATCGTCCGCGAAGTCAGCATGGCAGGGCCCACAATACATGATCTCATCTCCGAAGATGTCGTAGAATGTTTTCAATGAGCTCACTATCAGTTGGAGGTATCTCACTCCAGTTAAAAACAGCCTTTCCGATGACGCAGACGCATGCAGGGTGAATATGGAAGACATGACAGATGGTATGTCTGATTTCACCCACATATAGACTGACACGAGCTGTTCTAATATACTCGACGACACGTTATGTTTCTCTACAAACAACCTCCCCCAATCCGTGCCTTGAAACAGCAAGTCTTCACAGAGAGAAAGATCGAACGCGCTATGTTCTTGTGCAGTGGCATTCCAGTATGCACAACCATCAAGATCGTTCAGGATATCTCTCAGACATTTGTTCTCTCCACCAGAAGAGAGCTCGACCTCGCAATCTTCGAGGCAGACATCCAGCAGGGTCATCGATGGAGGAAGATAACCAGTGCAATCAAGGAAGTAGACGCTTTTAGGAGTTGAGGAAGGAGTTTGGTGTAAGGGGAGCAGAGCAGAGCAGGGGAAAGAGAGGAAGAGGAAGAGAGCGAGGGGAGAGGAGGAGCGTGAAGAAGGAGGAGCGGTTAAAGAACCTGCATGCCTACTACTACTAGCTAGCTAGCTGGAATCGTTGTCAACTTTTGATTGAATTAAACCATGTGGTCAATCGACTTCATACGATTTTTACCGATTAAACCAGGCTAACTCTGATACCGGGTCACCGGCGGGCTCAAACACTAAGTTCATGAAGTCACTGAGTCACTGACGAGCACGCGGGGGCCCTCGGAGTCATCGGCCTTGGACGTCAACGGCAGTCAAGTACCCCGGCGAATCATGGCATCTTGTGTCGCTCATGGCACCGCAGCTGGCAAGGATCGAGTCAGGTTCGGCACTGCCGTTGAGAGTCCGGGAGCACTGACCACCGAACAGCTAATAGATGATGCCAGCAACGATGATTGTGTGGTACCTGGTAGCTCGCCCAGTGGTAGTTGCAGCTTTCACTGCTGAAGGACTCAGAAGCATATGGCTGCAAATCTAGCAAGATCTTGTCATGACAAACACGCAAGTTCGTCTTCTCTACCTAATGCAGCACTCGTTGCCGCCTCCCGTAATCTGTGCTCAAGAAGAATTGGTGCTTGCTGAACACCCCAGTCAGTACAGTTACAAGGAAACATACATGAAGACACCTTGCAGGACGCCTCTGCTAGCATGACAAGACCGTATACTGCCGATGTATTTCTCTTTGCCGTGATCCAGCCAATGACAAGCCTTTCCCAAACCTTTTGGAGAGAGAAGGTAAGGCTCAAGAAAAGCAATCAGTCACGAAAGTACTTTAGACCATGTCCCGAATCCGCTTTCCTCACAGAGGATCAGTACATCGTACGGCAGCATCTGCTTCAGCAAGTCCATGCTCTCTACGTCTTCCTCCCTGAGATGAACCTGCCCAGCTGTCTGCTGTGCTTGCCTGGCCTTACATGAAGCTGTCACGCGTACACCATCACATGACAAAGTACCTGAAGTTTGTCTACCGTGACACAATCAACAACCAACGTTGAACCGTCGGGCGCAATCGGCATCGGCCGAGCAGTCATGCGCAGCAGCACAGGAAGAATGCAGGAGAACCCTGGCTCATGCAGGAGAATCGACACGTTGCGGCCAGAGGGTGTAGCAAGATGCCTTTGACCAGAAATGTCCGCAACAAGATCGGACACTTGCGAGCTAGGAAGGAAGTTAGCGATAGGGGAAGGGGAGTGACTGAAAACATGCACCTGATTCTCTTGTATTTGAAGCTTGACCTCACAGGAACCTGCAGCTCCATCAATGCAATCCTCTCTCACTGGGCGCACACCTTTTCCCGATCTAGATCCCATCCTATCTGAACTTTCCAGCCTGAAACAGCAACGTCGTTGATCGTATCGACACACTCGTGGACCACACGAAGGTAGTCTGAAACTGATTCACAAGATTTCTGCTCCAGATGTCTACTTGCCACTTCCTCGGTGGCTCCAACCTTACTCATTTCATTTTGAGCGCATTCAGATTTTGTGACAAGTTTCTTGCTCTCCTGCACTAGGAAAACACAGGATAGCCTTGGGCACTCTACACAATACTGAACTACTGCCAAAGTCCTGGCGTCGAAACCATGTTTGGCAGCCACTAGTTGGAATCCAAAGACAAGCCAGTCAACACAGGACCCCGACCAACACTCTCCGTTCGAAGCATGGTTGATACAGATTCCAACCAAACACTCTAACCCCCCGCAAGTTCGTAGCAAACCGTGACTGAAGAGGTCGTTGATGTCGCTCCAAGAGTAACAGTGCTGCAAGTCTCTTGCAGAGAAAGATTTGTAGCTCTCATACCCTAGCCAAATAAAGTCGAACTTGTTATCGCCAAGACAGGACCCCTGACCTTTTTCAGTCATAGCTTGACTGATCGTCTCATGGAACTCCTTATTCGCAAGCAAGACGCGCTCTTCGACATCATGGGGAAGGGAACGTAACAGCCGTGTTGCAAGGCTTACATCAACTGGATCGCCAACCAGAAGGTGTATCGCTCTTACATACTCATCACCACTCTTGCACAAGTTCGTTGTCATATAGAAGAGTTTGCTCTCTTGTATGCAAGCATTCACTGAGCGTTTCAGAATTTTCCTGACAAGCTTGCAAACAATGCTTGATGTGCTTAGCATTGCAGAGCCTGCCGGAAGCAGCTTGTCTTTGGTTGAAAGCATCTTCCAACTCCCAGGGAAAAAACAGATCTGCCGATCCTCCTCGGGCCGTATCGCCAAGATTGAGCCTTCAATTTCCGATGGGACATCAACTTGAATAGCACTGAGAGGCTTCTTTCTTGCATAGAATGATAGCGTGTACATCTGACAAGAGACTTTATACGAGCATGTACCCACATGGCTTGCAATCACATCATTTGCATCCGCAGCATGGCAGACAAAAGCGACAACCGAGTCAACGACGTCGTGCTGATAATTCTGTGGGCTCCCTCGTAACGAGAGCGTCAGAACAAGCATACCGTCATGGCTGTCATTGCAGATGAGCCCCAGCTTGAAGATGGTGAGAACGTCTTTCTGCCGTTTCCTCCCTGCGATGGACGAGAAAGTCCCGCAGTAATCCAGCCATATCAACCCGAAGCTTCCTCCCCAACCCCGCATCTGCAGACTCTCTTTCTCTTGACGCTGATCTTCAAGCGCAGAAAAGAACTCGTGCGACGTCATGGCAAAAGAATGCACTTCCGGAAACAAACTCTGTATCGCCCCTCGCACGCGGTCGTTTGGGTTGGCGATCACAATACTGTTGCTGGCGCACTGACAATCTACCAAGGTTTCAATAGTCGAGCAGGTTTCTGCCTCTAGTATGAACACCCACGGGCTACTTCTCTTCTTGTGTAGCAGCTCTACATGCTGATGGCAGATCCAGCGATTTATCTTCATCTTCGCCGCGCTGTTGCCAACATACCTGTTCTTCTCGGTGCTTCTCTTAACGCTGGATGCCGAGCCTCTTTGCGGGAATGGTTGATGTGATTGATGCTCATAGAATGGATCTTGATGTGGTGGCTCTGATTGCAATGTCTCTTGTTGGCCATGCACAGCTGTAACGTGACTGACGTCTTCTAAGTGATGACGACTGGAAGATGACCCATTGTTCTGAGAGCGAGTAAGGATTGATTTGACCATAAACCCTTCCTGGTTCTTCTCCTCCTGTTTGGATCTGCTCCAGTACTCGCCCCCTTGATCTTGCCTCTGCTCCTGCTTCTGCGTCTCCTGCTCCTGTTTATCCTCTCCGTTCTAATCCTCACTACCCTCCTCCTTCCCCCGTCCACTCTCTCCCACTGCATGGCTTGTTGTGTATCCTTGCATTGGGTCTGATCTTTTACTCAATCCGAAGTTTGACTAAAAGTCAAAGAGTTGAGTAAAGCACGCCGAAGGCGGGAAATGCAGGGGCTCAAGGAAGGTGCCCGGGTAACGCTGCAGGGCCTGACGATGGCAGCAGAGGTGAGGAGGAGGAGGCAGAGGAGGAGGAGGAGGAGAAGGAGGAGGAGGAGGAGGAGGAGGAGGAGGAGGAGGAGGAGGAGGAGGAAGACAAAGAAGGAGAGCGGGGGGAGGGGGGCGAGAAGGTGGAGGGAGGGAGCGATAAGCAAGAGGAGTAGGATGATGAGGGCGGTGCAAAGAAGGAAAGGTTGTACGAGAGCTAGGGTATGGTAATGCACTGGGGTGATAGAAGTGAAGGAAAACAGAATCACGAAAAGACTCTGGAATGTATGCTTACAAGTGAGAGCGGTGAAGAAAGGGGAGCCGGGTGACGATAGGGACGAGAGTGAAGAGCGTATGAGCTAGTGGTTCGATGCTGCACTGGTCGTTGGTGGCTGACATGCTGGCAGTTCAATGGTTGTGTTGGAAAGATCTCCGGGAAACAAGGAGAAAAATGGATAGTCAAGCTGGACGACGGGAATCGAATGCAGGTTCCAGCTGAAAACGTGAAGCTGTGCGACAAGGAGAAGAATAAGAGAGCGAGATTCGCAGAGAAGGTCGAGGAGTCGGTTACCATCGAGAGAGAGGAGGCCGAGGACGTTGATGACGATGGAGAGTCAGAGGAGGAGGATGTTCCTTACTCGTGCTGGGCGAACGAGGTGACGAAGATCAAAATGATCGTTGGAGACGACGAGGGGTCGGCGATCGAGTTCAATCCTTTGTTCACGCATCAGGTCTTCTTCAATGAGCAGCCAGGAGCAGAAGAGAGAATACACGAGGAGCTCATTATCGGATACCGTGAGAGAGTTTTTGAAGTGTTTTGATGTTGAATGCTTCTTGACAGACGAGCCCAAGGTCGTGGTTAATTATGCTGCTAACACACTGTCTTCGTCTGTTGACTTCAAACATGATGGGCCTGTTGATATGAAACAATTGCGGCAGTTTGGCTTGAACAGGACAAACGTGAGTTCGAAAGGGAAGAAAGGAAATGAGAGCGAAAGTGTGTGTGTGGGGGGGGGTGGGGGGGCGGTGGGAGAAGAGAAAGAAAGGTGTGACGATGCGCTGGATAGTGAGAACACGTGCAGGTTCTTGACTCTGTCGAGTCAAGAATGCCTCATGACTTGAAAGACAACAACATTGACAAGGTTGAAAAGGATGCAAAAGCAGAGTTTACTCCCTACGGGAGTGAAATCTTCAACGAGAAGCTGAGTGATACAGAGGAGGTTTCGATTTTGCATTTCATCGCAGACAAAGACGAAGTGGTTCCGTATGTGAAGGGATTGCAGAGCTTGGTGCGTGTCTTGCAACCAGCCAGTCAAACGCTGAAGGAGCAAGCAGGCAATGTGGTGTATTGAGACGGCAGGATGTATTGAAGTACCCGATGAACGATGGAATGTGAGACGATTGTGATGCGTGATTTGATCGCCAGCTGAGATTGGCAAATAGATCTTCACCCTGTACAAGAAAGTTACAAAGAATGGAAGTACGAAATTCATACTCATCGGATTTCTTACAGCGTAAGTACAAATCGAGGGTGCTGATTTCAGTGAGCACGGAAGTAGGCAGAGAGACTGTTTTGGAGGAAATGAGGTGCAATTTAAAGCAGGTCAAGAGCAACTAGCTCTGATTGTAGTGATGGAATGGACTGCTCTGGTTGAGCAAGGCATTTTCTAATGTACTCTTTGTTGTGCAGGTACAAGTATTGGGTTTACGACAGAGAAACACAAAAACTCGACAAGTATCGGATGCGAATCAGGTGAATACAGTGACCTTAACATCTGATTAGTTTGTTGATTGAACCCAAGACTTGTGTTTGCTGTCAGCTTGTCTTGCTTTCTGACATGTAGACAGCCAGGTCGTTGTCCTCCCTCCCTTTCATAGACAAGGATACGGGTCAAAGCTGCTGGTGAGTTTGATCATCACAACCCCAGTCACAATCGCCTGTTGACCTTTTTCCTTCATGTTTGTAGAATGCATTCTACTCGTTTGCAAGGAATGATGACAGCATTCTTGATGTAAGCGTTGAAGACCCTTCGGAAGACTTCCAGGTTCGCTTCGTGTGCTCGACGAGGGCAGGGGAGTGACGGATGGAGTAGGCTCTCCGAGATGTAACTGACGCAAAGACGCTCAAGGAGGCAGACTGTCTGCACAAACTCGCGCTTCCGAACCCTCCGATCCATGAGATGGTTCGAAGGTGAGAAGTTGCAATGATATCTGGATGAGAATTCATGAGGGGAAAGTGTGGGTCGGGCATGTACGTTTAGTGTCGCTTAAGAAAGATAGCATGATTTGTAGGAGAACACAAGAGAAAGATTGTTTACCGTGTTTCTGAACAACAAACTAATATTGCTCACATGTTTGTTCTAGGTTCAAGATTTGCAAACAGCAGATGAAACGACTGGCAACGATAGCCAAGTTTGTTGAGATTAAGGAGTGCGATCCTTTGACCGACCCAGAAAAGAAGGTACAAAGTCTTGATGAGCAAAGGGGAGAAGATGAAGAGGAAGCGAGAGAGGCGGGACGTCAAGGGGACGAAGGAGGGGCTGGGAGGGAAAAAGTGTTTTTGGTCAGTTGACATTGAAGTAGGACACTGATTCCCTCAAGCTAAGGCTCAAGGTCAAGTCAAGTCTCTACAAACAGTGCAAGTGCCTAGCCAAAGGCAAGATCTTCATCATCGAACCCGAGGAAGAGGAAGAGGACGAGGACGAGGTGAGTGATAGATCAACCCTGATGCTGATTTGACCGTAGCTTCACAGAATGAAGGCGCAGACCAAGTTTTGTCAGATTGTAAGGAGAACGATCCTTCTCAGTTGAAAAAGAGGAAGTTGGAAGAACAAGTATGACCTGCCGCTACCAGCTCTTACCCCCCCCCCCCCCTCCATTTTCCTTGTCAACATTGCAACTTTGTTATCTTCTTCTCATCAGTTTTTCTCTTTCTGTATCTATCACTCTACCTCTGCTCTATGCATTGTTACCCTATTGTTTGTCCTGCTTGATTTGAGCATCTTTTCTTGCCTTATTCTTTTGTTCTTTCTCCAACTATTTTTTTCTTCTTTTATCTTCTCTAATCATCACCTTTAGGTTGAAAGCATCAGTAAGTCTGATGTGCAAGAAGCTTTGGAACTCAGCTCTCACAAGATTTGGAGCAACGGAGGTGACTTGTCTGTTCTCCTTCTCCTGATGTTTCTCTTGGAGTGTTCGTTTTGATCAGGTTCATGTTTGTAATCTGGAATCAGTCAAGCCTTGTTTGCTGCTTCATTTCTGAATTTCAATGCTTCTTTTTCGATTGTTGCTACAAATTTCTCTGTTGTTCCGTGTTCCTGTTATTTTTCATCGGCACTTTGATGTTCTTCTTAGCTAACATGTCAACAGGTGATCCTTACCAGAGAAAGAAACAACTCAAGCAGATGTTTGCCTCATTGTTCAAGCAGCATGCCACAGTAGCTAGGAAGATCTTGAGCTGCTGAATACCGAGCTCGTCTTAGTTCTTGACAGTAAGTGAATTGCTTCTATGATAGCTTGTGCCTGCTTCAGATCTTGCTTCCGATACCATTGTTCTTGTTCTTGTCTGTACTAATCCAGTCGTCTTGCTGTTTATTGTTTCCCCTTCACTCTATGATTTAGCCTATTCGTTTACGTCAATGTGCCTCCCGCCCTCGCCTTTACTGCTGGTCCTGCCCTCGCACGTTCTCTTTCTCTCTCCTCCTCCGCAGCACCTGCCTCGTCGCCTCTAGGGCCCTCAGCCGTTCCCCATCACCCATGTAGCCTGCAGCCATGCTATCATGCCCCCACAAGCTCAACCTGAACCCCCTCAACTCACCTGCATCACTACCACCCTTACCTCCTGCTGTCTCTTCACCTGCCCCTTGTCAGGACCTTCCCACCCTCAATCATACCTCACCAACACTCGCTTCTCCGTTTACCGTTACCTCCACCTCCTCCTTCGCCGTCCTTTGCCCCTCCATCGGCACTGGTGCACTAGATAGCGCAGCATCCACGATGTGCAGTGCTTCGATGACTGCGCGCTTGACCTGAAATGTTCTTGAGTCATAACATGAAAGGGAAGTGAAGTGAAGGGAACGGAAGGGAAGGGAAGACAAAGGAAAGGAAACGCATGGAAGGAACGCGCAGAGCAGAGCAGAGCAGAGCAGAGCAGAGCAGAGCAGAGCAGAGGAGGACCTTTTTGGAGGGATCCTTGCGGAAAGAGATGGACAAAAGTTTGAGCACTCGATCGACTGGAGGGTATCCAAGCTGAACGGCACGAGCGAGAGAGACAGCGGCGAGAGCACGAACACTGGTCGGAAGGAGGAGAGCAGCAAGACAAAACCGACACGAAGGAGAGATGAAAACAAGTGAGTCTTAGAAATCATGAAGAGATTTGATCTCACTCTGACAGATCGTCAGCCAGGAGAACCTCCAGCTCACTCGTTGCATTGAGATCGCCGGACTTCTGCCATGCAGCATTCAACAATCATCGCCATCTAGGTGGAATTGAATCATCATCACCACAGCCTTCAAGATCGATTTCATCCTCAGGTGTTTCTCCCTCAGCTCCTCCTGCATCGCCTCCGTTCGAAGCTTCTCCGACTGCTCTCTCCTCGCGTTTCTTCGCTCTTGGATTCCTATGTTGCACGCGAACAAGGCAGTCATAACGACAGCAAAGGGAGACAACTCAGTACTTCTGTTTCTCTCTCTGACAAGCTCGTGCCGATCTCCAACGGCGTGAATAGACATGTCTCCTGCTACTGCGACGGGAGTTTGTCTGTGATTCATCTCCTGCCTCAGAATGTCAGTCAGGGTCTCCGAGTATCCTTCGGCTACCGCCTGCGCTACTTGTCGTGCGTACGCCTCGTCCATCATGGAGCTCTGGTGAGTGTGTTAGAGGAAAATACAAGTCGTATCATTGCACTCCATGACAAGTCAGGGTGAAGCAAGTAAAACCTACCTTGTCCTCAACCATCATGTTCACCAGCATCTCAAAATCCTCCTGGGAGATCTGATCTCCGTGCTTCTCAGCTACTCGACGAGAAAACAGCTGTAAGGTATCATAACCACGGGGCCGGCATCCCATCATGGCTGACCTGAACTGCCCCCTCCTCGTCGATGACGTCTGGAACAAGCCCCATGTCGCTCAACTTCGCCATGTACTCCGACACATCCATCAAACTTGCAGGCCCGGCGCTCTCCTCACCATTTTCGCTACTTGCTTCCATAGACTTGTTGATTGTCTTCCTGTTATTCCCCCCTCCTTCCCTCACGTCCGCAACTTGTACTGAGTGTCTGTCTACCGCTCTCGTGCATTCTTCCCGGATATGCAGGATCTGGTCGTTAACCATGGCAGCGATCTTCTTGACTGGGATGCGGTCAGAGATGGCATGAGCAATCTCTTCTTTCAGGGGGTTCAGGCTGTCAGGTCTGGATGCTGCCGTGTTGGAGGAAAGCTGCGCATCTTGGGGATGAGGTACATGGGAACAGTTGAACAGGTACTGCTTCAGACGGTCCCTTATGGCCAACTTGTCTATGGCTACCTCATCTGCAGAGTCATTTTCAGCATGGCAGGGAGATTGTACAAGGGATATCGACGCACATCTCATATCCTCCACCCCTTCACAATCGTCGTGATCAAACGGGTTCAAACCCGGGGGAGAGATTGCGAAGTGTTTCGCTCCTGCAGATCATCACGAGTCAGATGGGAAGCAGCACAGAAGCAAGATCCATCCTACTTGCTGTGTGCTCCTTCTTTGCCTCCATCCTCCCTCAAACGCCCCTCTGGTTACTCAAGGGCTAGTCAAACAGCTAGTCAAACCTTCCACCCGACCCGCCTCACTTTCAAGTTGCTCGCCGGTCCGATGGTCGAGGCTGCCAAGTACCGTACCGTACGGCATCATCGGATCTCCGAGCCAGTCGGAGAGTCTAAGACTCGTCAAGGCCCTTGCTGGACGGCTCATCATACAAGTCAAGGCCACACGGCACTTGAAAACTTGATCAAATGTATATGCGAGGCTTCTCCGACTATTGAAACCGTCCCGTACAAGGCTTGAAAACACACACTGACCGGATAACCGAGTACCATCCGATGATCCGCTCCCCTTCGTGCCCGTCGAAGACTCTTCTGGCCTCCAATGTGGCCCGTTCGATGTCTTCCCTTACTGCCCTTGGCCCGTCTAAACTTCAATGGTACGGCCACTTCTCTACTCCCAGTTGCCTGCACACCAGCTTCCGATGATCGTCGACTTGCCGATGCCGAACTTGGCCGCTGCGACCTCGAGGCTCTCGTGGAAGTGCTCGGCGAGGCGCTCAAGGGCGATCTCGCTTGTCGCATTGGTGCTTGGAAGTTGCTCTGCGGTGTTGGCTGCGAGCTTTCCAGTTCTCGGGAGAGCCGAGGCTGAGGCACTCGCGCCGTGGCTGGGCATTTTCTTGTGGTATCAGCGCTGCTGGCTCGAGCAATGAGTCCATTTCGTCCTCGAAAATCAGAAGCAGGATATCAGGCACGACGGCGCCGCAGGGGCTGCTTGATCGGGCTCAGAGCCGAGGAGAGTCGGCCTCGGGGAGAGGGACAGAAGACAGTGGCCTAGCAGCTACATCATGGCGCTGACGAGAACGAAGTCCTGTCCTCGTCTTCTTGCGGGGAGGAGGAGCATGAGGAGGAGCAGGTCAAGAAGATTTGTAGCGCCAATGAGCGTTGCCGAAGTCCGAGATTCTGCTGGAAATTGCTACGTGTAAGTTTGAATAAGGATGATGAAGCTAGGATTCGGGAGTATTTGGGGACGAAATGATGGATGGATGAGAAGGAGGGAGGGAGGCAGGAAGGGTGCTGGAGAGAGAGGGAGGGTTGGGGGAGTCCGTGGAGTACACAAAGGGATTGTTTGATATAGAAAAGAATCACGGATCTCATTGCGAGATTGATTTGAGTGAATTAGAGCAAGTCATCTCTTTATGTCTGCATGGTGTACTTGACAACTGCTGCAGACTAGTGAGAAGAACGTTGTAATGAACTAAAACTTCACCACTTAGCTGTTCCCAAATATGGATGCGACCAAGTCGGTTTGACTTGCTGCATGTTGCAAAGTGCCAGGACTAAAGATTGCTCGCGTGTCTCGCTTCCTAGCAGGATGCATGTAAGACTTCACTGCATCCACTCAGCTGGACAAGCTTGGTCAGGTAGACAATTGATGTTTGCACTTGGAAACGATCCTTGTCACTCCCTCGAGAATGCTCTTGTGGTCACCAACGACATTGTGTTCTATTCAACCTGAAAGTTTGCGGCGAAGGATTCCGTATGGACTGAAATGTCAGTTACGCTCGACAGACAGACAGCGCGTGGGTTGATCGGAAGCGTCTGGCGTGTTGCCTTTCAATCTTGCATTGATATCTTTTGGTCGGCCTCCGATCATGTGGCCCCGTTCTAACTACTGTTATCACATTTCCTCAACTGTCGTCACTGTCAAACAGCAGGATCTCAATGCCATAAAGATGCCTCTCACATTCAGGAAGTGCACACTTTTCACCACTCGGACGCACTAGTTTTCAATTCTATCTTGCAGCTTTACAGAAGAGAAACGTTGGGCCGGCAAGAAAATCTATGACCCGAAGTAGTAACAATCGTTGCGTTCAGCTGATTCCCATTTCATACGCACTTTAACCATCAAGAACCAAAAAACCAAAAGAACACTACAACAGCCGAGGGCTACTCGATATGACTGTCTTATTTAATCGATATTGCATGCGTAAATTGCAGTGCAGCCTGACCCAGGACAGACATAGCAAGACCTGTAGTACAATGTGAGTGGAACCATCATTCCGTCAAATGTCAAAGCCATTACCAGCCACCCCCCCAATTCGTAGGTGGTTGGTAGCTAAAAACATTTCGTTGCACGTACAAGTCGTTAGAATCCCACCTGCAACCAAATCAGTCCCTTCAAGCAAAGACGCCGCAGACATACCTGTACGTGAAGCTCATAATCGCCATGAAATTGGTGCAGGAGCCTCCGTTATTTCCAGGTGACTTCAAGCCAAGACCCCTACTCCAAACAAGTCACGGATGGGAGAATCCGAAAAGATGAAAATAAGCACCATGTCGTTTTTGACTGAAACAGCCTCGCAATGTTAGAGACGTCGTCCCAGTCCCACTGGACCGCTGGTCTGATTGGGTTGCAGCCAAGAGGGATGTCGTCTCCATTCCCGATGAGAATAGACTTCTTCAAGCAAACTCCTTTGTAAATGCTTCCTCCGATCTCCTTACACCGCTGCGTCGCATCTATAACATCCCAAGTACCCTTAGGTCCACGACGGCCCGGAATTCCAGGGACTCCCTGCGTATCAAACGACATGAGCAAGCAATGAAAGTAGAAATTTTCTGATAACCACTGCGCCACGGTTGCCCTGGTATCCAGCTTGTCCTCTTGGGCCTCGGGGGCCTCTCTTTCCAGGAGTTCCAAGTTGCCCGCGGGGGCCTGGGGGGCCTGGGAAGCCTGGAGGGCCAGTCTCACCCTTCACTCCACGATCACCCTGCATAGATGTTGAGAGGAGATATCAGGTGAGCAATGGCGAGGAACCTGCTCTCCTATTGGGCCTGTGTCCCCGCGGAGTCCTTGGGGTCCAGGATATCCGGTTTCCCCCTTAGGACCTTGAGGCCCATCAGGGCCACGATCTCCCTCTGCACCGATTGCACCCTGGTATCCTGGTTTTCCTTTGCGGCCTTGCGGTCCCGGGGGGCCTGGTAGCCCTCCAGTCTTGAGGGTCTGTGTATCCACGATGATCGAAAGTCGTTTGTCCATCAACTTCTTAGCCTTCCCGATGAGATTTCTGGCAGTGCTAGTGCCCATCTTCACATCAGCTTTCAAGTCCGACATGGCATCCATTAGGCGTTGAGGGTTAACACCATCAGGGTCTATCAAATCGGCGAGCGCAACTTTCTTGGTTGCCTGCATTGTGAAAGTCAAGGCAAAGAATATCATCTCCACCGATGTCCTCCTCTGTTTACAATGCAGAGCCTCTCCATACTGAACAAGCAAGTCCTCACCTTTCTTGACAGTATATGGATGGAAGCTAGAAGGACCAGAAGCGCAGCTCCCGCTACCATCATAGCGGAGCGCCCTGCGTCCCTCCTCCAACTTGCCATGGCTTGGCTCTTCGTGACCACCCTACCCCTGGAGTAATATTACACTACCCCACCATAGAGATACAACACCGAAAGCAGACGAACTGTCCGGCCCTTTGTACCCCACCCCATCAAACTTATACTATCAATCTGCCTTCTTCCAGTTAATTTCAAATCGTGAGAGGAGATTTCAAATAATCCGGGATGGACTCAGTTGCCGGGCCCGCCCCGCGGGAGGAGGGATCGGGGCGAGCCACAATGATGTAGGAATGCGTCTGATTGGAACCGCCTGCGCGTCTGCATGGCTCCTCGTAGCCCTGGCACTCTTGAGACTCGCAGGCAGTGATGGCTCGACATGTGAGGAGCGATGGATTGATGGAACTCCTGCCACCGCAACCCTTGTCATGGTGCGACATGGGCAGAGCATATGGAATCAAGACAACAGGTCCTAGTTTGAAGAGGGGGCGAGGCTGCGAAGGGGCATGGAAGGGGGTAGAAGGGTATTGAGGAGATGGTTGCATAAAATCTAAAGGCTACCATGCAGGTTTACTTCCTGGGTTGATGTGCCACTGAGTGACCAGGGATTGAAAGATGCGCACAAGGCTGGAAAGTTGTGTCGTGAAAATAATCTCAAGTTCGACGTTGCGTTCACCAGTGTTCTTCAACGAGCAGTTAAAACATGTTACATCGTACTAGAAGAGCTCAACCAGCTATGGATCCCCACTGACTGTAGATGGCGCTTGAACGAGCGCCACGATGGAGCGTTGACTGGCCTGAACAAGAAAGTTGCCGCCTTGGATTTTGGCAGGGAGAGAGTACAGAAGTTTCGTAGGGGATATTCTTATCCTCCTCCTCTGCTAAACAAATCCCATCCTTGCTGGCCTGGGCATGACACAAAGTATGCCAGTATTCTTTGCTGATATGTCTGATACATGATGATATGCATGATTCGTGTAATGGGCAGGATTTCATCATATGAAATGTAATAAACTCGATGTTGACTGCAACTATCCAGGTACTGGCAAATGCACGATATCAATGAGAACGACCTGCCATTGGGTGAAAGTCTGCATGAAGCCATGTTTAGGGTACGGATGACATGCTCGCGCTTCTGTTGTTTTAGAAAGGCTAGGTGTTGCCAACGTGGGAAGAGGAAATCAAGCCGCTTCTTAGAGCAGGGAAATCGATTCTTCTTGTCACGCACGGTAGGTTTCTTTGCTTGCAGTGACAAAATCTCACTGCCTTGTCATCAGGAAATATTGTCAGACTGCTTGCAAAGATTCTGGATGACATATCTGACAGTGACATAGGTAAAGATTCTTCTCATCTCCCTAGCTGAATGTGAGCGGAAGAAAATCTCGATGTTCCGTCTGGCTGCCCTTTGGTATACAAAATCAGGTGTGACACCTTGAAGCCCATTGCAAGCGGCTCGTCTTGGGCACCTCTTTCAGCCGAGTTCCTTGGGAACAAGACTGCGATATCAGAAAAGATGCAGTTTGTAAAGGCAGAAGTGGGTCATCTCTTTGCTCGAGATATTAGACGAATGCTGAGACAAAATGACTGGGGAGGAAAACGAGGTAATGATGGACCTTGACTGCAGCAGGAGTAGTGACTTGCTATAAACAGATGACTCAAGCGATCTTTTTGCTCGAAAGATGAACCTTCAAAGGGTTCTGAGTCAATCAAGCTTGCGACAGGAGAAAGTGAACAGGTTTGTTCGCAAATGACCCAATCATGAGGTGAGCTTTCAGCAGGAAAAGCGCGAGCTGGTGGCACATTATGGGAAAGTGTGATAGTTCAAGTGACTTTGGTTGATATCAATCCGTGACAAACGATGTGAAAAATTGAGTTTGAAAGCATGGGCACTACAGGCCTAACATGATGACGAGAAAGGCAAGACAGGGGTGACCGTATGTTGATTGAAAAACTGGTGAATACATGATTCAAAGCCTTGATATTATTTTGCGGATTACTCAGCAGTGTAGGATCATGTTGTTTTCAGCAAGCAACGAGGAAGTTAAATTACTGTTCTCATTCTTCTTGTACATTACATAAGTAACAGAAATCATTCACGCTTGACACCAAATCGATCAAGGAGGTTTACTAAGCAACAGTTACAACTTGGCAGTACAGCGAAATTAGGCGTCGGAGAGAGCGGAAACACCTGGAAGAACCTGCAGAGAGTGAACAAACACCCATCAACACAGGTATCGTCTACCTTGCCCTCCAAGAGCTCCAAAGATGCTCCACCACCAGTGGAAACGAAAGAGACCTTGTCTTCAGTGTTGTACTTCACGCAGCAAGTTGCGGTGTCTCCACCTCCGATCACCGTCAAGACACCCTTGCTAGTTGCCTCAACCTGGAGTGAGAAATCAGCTCTCAAAGTCTTCGAGTGACAGTATGTGGCCCTTACCATGTCGTCCATCATAGCCTTGGTTCCACCCTCGAACTTTGACATCTCGAAAACACCCATAGGTCCATTCCAGATGATGGTCTTCGAGCTCATGATCGCCTCCCTGTTCTTCTTGATGGATTCAGGTCCGCAATCCAGTCCCATAAAGCTGCCAATATAGCCAGGTCAGGGAACTGCGAAAAGCAACAAGAATGAACACTCTCATACCCGGCCTTGATGCCCTCCGCCTTGGTGGCAGTTCCAATTTCGCCGTCCTCTCCAAACTTCGAGGAGACGACAAAATCAACAGGAAGCACAATCTCAACGTTCTTCTCCTTGGCCAAGGACATAATCTACCAATTCTGTCATCTCGAAACACACCACGATCGGATTGCATACCTCTGGAACAATCTTGGCTCCCTCCTCGTCGTACAGGGAAGTTCCGATCTCCATCTTGTCCAGAACCTGGAGAAGTCATAAGTCAGAAAAGCATCAATCAGAAGGGATTTACCCTACCTTCAAAAAGGTGTAGGCCATTCCCCCTCCGATGATCATCTTGTCGACCTTAGGGATCATGTTCTTGATAAGTTGAATCTTGTCCGACACCTTGGCACCACCAAGAATAGCAAGAACAGGTTTAGTTGGATTGTCCAACACCTTGCTGAAGTTCTCGAGCTCTTTAGCAACCAAGAAGCCAGCGCATTTGACATCATAACCCTCGCCAACCATGGAGCTGTGGGCCCTGTGTGCAGTTCCGAAGGCATCGGACACGTAAACGTCCGCAAGCTTTCGGAGGGAAGCGCGGAAATCCTTCACCTTAGCAGGATCAGCCTTGATCTTCTCTCCATTGACCTCTCCCTTGCCCTCTTCCTCAACATGGAAGCGAACATTCTCAAGCAGGATCACACTTCCAGGAGCTGGATCAGCGCAAGCAGCCTCGACCTCCGCGCCGACACAGTCATTAAGGAACTTGACCTCCTTGTCAAGAAGCTTAGAAAGCTCCTTGGCTACTGGGGCAAGGGAGTACTTCTCGATACGAGCTCCATCAGGGCGACCCAAGTGGGAGGCAAGGACCACGGACTTCGCACCCTTCTCCAAGCAGTGCTTGATGGACGGAAGGGCTCCAACAATGCGGGCATTGTTGGTGATCTTGGAAGGATCGGCCTTGTCCTGGGGGACGTTGAAGTCGACACGGATGAAGACTCTCTTTCCGCTTACGTCAACATCTTTGAGCTGCTTCTTGTTGAGGGACGACATGCTTGCTTTGGACACCTCAGAGCTTCGCTTTGCTGTACCCCACCGGCAAATGCCCCACCAGGTACCCACCCCCTCTGAAAACACCACCCCGTGGTCTTGCAGCTGTTCACCTTGTAAGATACCCCACCCTGGAACACACCGTCATCTTTGTAGCAAACATCCAGTACCCCTCAAATCCCCGCGCACACACCTTGTTTCAACTCACATATGGACCCTACCTTTGCCCCGAAGGTACCCTCTGATGTCGATTCATGGAATCCAGGGGTAGTGTGAAAGAGGATGGTCCTGGTACGGTGGTATACTGGGCTTTCGTAATAGTTTAGGGGTGGGTAGGGTGAACGAAACGCGGTACGGGTGTGTGAATGCCCTGTACGTTGATCCGCTTTCGCAGGGTGCTGACAAGCGTATAAGGGTGCAAGGGGTGGTGGTAGGATTCTGACCCTGAAGGGTCTACCAGAAAATTAGAAGAACAAGGCAGCTCTCACTGGGTATTTCATAATTCGTAGTCTATGATAATTGCTATAACATGATACCCTTACTTCCTAACCACAGACACCCCAGTACCGTACCCCCAAAATCTGAGTCTACACCCCACTCTTTTTTTTTGTCCTAGGACAATCAAGAACCGGTGGTGGTGAATTGATGCTTCGAGAAGTTTCGGGGTTCGTCAGACGATCCTCGCGGCGCCCGGCTACTGAACTGACGGCACTGACTGAAGGCCGGGCCGGGCCGCCCGGCGGTCACTCAAAATGAGTCCTCACTGAGTCAGCTCGGGCCCTGGGGGCAGCCTGAGTAAAGATTCTCCTGAGGATGCCCGCCCCCGGCTGCGCAGCCGCTGCGGCCAGGCCGCTGGCTCGGAGCCTGCCCTGCGGCCACCGTCACGGTGACTACCGTACGGCCTCGGAGGCGCCGCGGCGCACTCAGCAACCGTGTCAGCAGCCTGCCACGGAGGCCGGGCAGCGTCTCATCGAGTCGGATAACATTCTGGGGTCAAACCGCGTTGGTCTTTATTAACGCAAAAGAGGAATGCGTATGCTGTTCTCATAGGATACCGGTGGTAGTGTACCCCATGTTTTTTGAGGGGTGTTGCTCGGTAATATCAGTGGTAGGGGTGCTTCAAATTTTGAACTGGCGTGTCCATTTGTTTTAACGGCAATGAATTGTTTATTCGAATCCGTGGTACAAACAGTTGTACTGAGTAACGGTTCATAACTGCTAATTTGTACTATCTAAAACAATTTTGATGACCCACCCTATCAATGAGGGTGGGGAAACGCTCCCATCATTCCCATCGTCTAATCGCACTCCGAGCCGTCATGCTGAGCCGCCGGGCGAGCACAGCAGCAAGGTCAGCGAGCTGCCACCATGAGCACAGGTGAAGAACCGCCAAGTAAGAACATGATCGCAAGGTACCATTGGCATCAAGAATCCAGCACATATTCTGACATGGTGATCTTGTAGAAGTGGATCAAGGCTGCATGAGTTCGTCATCCTACATTTCCAACGACTAAGTCAATCGTATCATCAATTTCTCTTCAAGACTTCTGGGCTCTCAGAGTAATGTACTTTATCTGAAAAGTGAACTGAATAAGATAATCTGTAAGATAATGACGAGTCCGCTTAATTAAGGTGCAATCACATCTCACTTGACTCCCTCCTCGGCACGGCAAATCTTCTGTACGCTTCGATACATCGTTGCTTCACATCATCAGAACAACTTTGATGACTTCTGCTTCTTTGAAATATGCCAATTACTTGACTCTCACGACGCTCTTGTTGATTCTTCCCTCCTCTCTTCAAACTCTCCTCATTCAGGTTATTTGCATGTTTGCATATTTGCTGAAATACATCAACTTTGCTTGGCTTCCCTAATGGTGGAGCTTTTGACGTCCAATTAAGCCTCAGATCATATCAGGGATCAAGACTCAAGCTTGTAAGCTGGCATGCAAGAATCCATTGTGCGTTGCAACCAGACTGACATTAATGTAGAATCAAGGTTGGAGGTGATATCTGATTTGACATTTATTATTCATTCGAAGCGTTTATCTCAGGATGTCGAACTATCAGCAAATTGACACGGACTCCCAGACAATGATAATGACAACCACAATGTCATATGGAACTTCTCCAACTGCGCGCACAACAGAATGGAAGCACATGCTGTAGGTGCACTGCCATCCAACACCGTGCGGTTGAGTTTGCTGTCTTGAAGAGGTTTCAATCTTGTTTGTCACAAAGAGGCAAGGCTTTGAGCATGTGGACATGGATATATACAAGACTATGCATCTTCACAAAGTGTTTTGAAGTCATGCAACAAGAGATGCATCATTCAAAGGCGGAGAAGTTCAAACATGATCTGAACAAGTCATGTGGCACAGTGAAGCATCTCTCATAAATATGATATTCCATCCAGCACATAAAGATGAAAGTCTGCATGGAATAAAGCTCTTGGACTTTTGCAATACGCTTCAGCTACAAGCATGCAGAATCTAGTTCTCAACATCGCCAGGCTTTTGCTACCTGTGCACAACGATTAGAAAATGAACAATCCACAGAAGAACTCCATACCTGTGTGATGGAACGAGTTCATTTGCACCTTCTCCTCTCACAAAATACTTGAGAGTCTCTTCATGCTCGTGTGTGTTCGTGGTTTACTCGTCCCCTTCCATGGATGCGTTCAAAAATATGATCCAGACTTTGAAACAGATTATGGCATAATAACATTTTCACCAACCGACGCAGAGGGTTTGACGAAGAGAGATGTTGATGAGAGTCACCTGCTGCGAGTCACTGCAACTTGGGCTAACATGCTCGCACAAAACTCAAACACTGAAGACAAGGATCCGCAGAGAAGAGCTTCGCGACATGAGAGAAGAATGGCGAGGGAAGACGCACTGGGGTAGTGGGTGATGGCGTGTAGAATTAAAACATTTTAGAAGGTACCAGGAAACGATAAGCTAAACATCCAAAATCACTTTTAATCACAGTTTTGAACATGGTTTGAATTTCAACAGTACAGAATTTCAACCTGCGCGAATCACACGCCGTGTACCCCCATTTTCCCATGCACCACCCCCTTGAAAATATGGGACGAGAACCAACGCGGTTTGACCCCAGAATGTAAGTCCACTGGGCCGACTCGGCGAAGCCTCGAAGACCAGGCCGCGACACTGTCACAGCGGCTCGCGGCGGCAGTGCGCCGGGCCTGCGGGCCGGGCCAGCCTGCCAGCGGCGAGGGCCTGACTCGCTGGCCAGTGAAGTTGCCACGGTTCATGATGGGCAAATTAAACTTTGACAAAACAAAAGTTGAATCATATGATACTCAAGCTAAACAAAAAGCGAATTTACTGTTATACAAGAGCAAGGTGAAAGTTGAAAGGAAATGTTCCTCAGCTATCAGAACATGCAGTCCATCCCGACAAGTTTTTTGGGACCTGCCTTGGTCTTTCGAGCTCCTTTGCATTTATACGGCCACTTCTCCACTCCCAGCTGCCTGCACACCAGCTTCATCGTCGACTTGCCGATGCCGATCTTGGCCGCCGCGACCTCGAGGCTCTCGTGGAAGTGCTCGGCAAGGCGCTCGAGGGTGATCTCGACGGGCTTGTCGGATTGGAAGAAGGACTGCCGTGACTGGACACGAACTGCAAATGTGTGTTGTGTTGTGCCGTACAGCTTTCTTCCTTCTTGTGTTTTGTCCGAAGAAGAGGCACGACGCTGATGGCCCTTTTCTTGATAATTTTCTGAGCAGTTTTCAGCTCGTGCAAGGTTGTGTGAATGCCAACCATGCTTGATATCATTTTCGTCGCTCATCAAATCCTGCTCGAGAGTAGATGACTGATTGCTAGCAACAAAATCCTCCATCTCTGGTATAGGCAGTCTTGAAGGGTGAGAGAGCGGCAGGAAACAACGATCATCGAAGCAATACTCCGACAGTATGCTGTTGTATTCAATAAAGGATGACTCAGAGAAATCCATCTTTGGACGAGACGTAGGAGAAACAACCAGTTCGAAGGGGAAGACCTGTGACTAGTAGTGGCGGGGTTGGTTGCTCGAGACAAGATTTCGTTTCAAGAGATCAGACCAGAACTTGAAAGGAAGCGAGGGAAGGGGTCACGAAGGTCACGAAGTCCCCCTTCCCTAAAGCCTCAGTATGTCCACGTCCTTAGAGTGGTCATAGGAATAGATCCTGAGGTGAAGGGATGCGGAATTTGTTGACGTGACCTTCCTTCGAAAATAGCTTATTTCGACAACCAAGGTTAGCTCCTGAAAGCAGAAGGTTGCGTTATCTAGCAATTGAAACTCAAAGGTTGCGAACTGAAGTGAAGCTGTGATAAGAACAATCGAAGGATCAAGCATCGTTTCAGTAAAATCACGGCTGGAGGGCTCGTGACGATCACCGATGATCATCGCTCGATGACCCGATCACGGTTTCAAAATAATAAGAGGGCCAACAGCGCCTGCGGCCGGGCGCGGCCCGGCGGGCCGGACGGTTCGGAACAGGCGGCGACCGTACGGTCCGAGAGTCTCGGGTGCCGCAGTGCCGCGGTCCGGTCGGCAGAGTCTGGCCGCCCCCGGCAGACTGAGAGGGCCAACCGTGCCACCGTGAACGCCCGGCCGGTTGAATGAGAACTTCGGAACAGACTCTGAGTACCGGCGTACATCACCGGGTGACTCTGTGAAGGGAACAGACGGACTGAATTCTTTAATTCACAGAGTCACGGATGCTTCATCCGACGGCGTCCGGGCCCTCAGCCTATGCCATGATCATGAACTGTCACCCGTTGCGGGCGGCCGCACGCCGTTCAACGGTCACCGGGTTGAACCGCCGGACTGCCCGGCCCCCCGGCGAGAGTCTGGACGGCAGTGCCGACAGGCTTCAGGCTTGGTTTTCCGGCCCGGGTGGCAGAGGCCCTGATGATGTCAATGTTGCCAGTGATCAAGTGACATTAGCTGGCTCTCAGAGTCTGATGAATCAGCTCCTGAAAGGCCAGGAAAGCTTCCGACGAGCAGTACGGAAAGAGATCGGGCTAACAGGGGACTCTGGGACCTTGCGATACCCTTCTTTGATCCGTACAAGATTTTGTATGGGCAGCTCTCTGACATGATCCACGGATCATCGGGAAAGTTTGTGTTTTTATCAGGCTTCAACGCCAGCGAAGAGGAGGAGAGTTTTTTTTGGAGAGCTTGCACGAAGAGGAGAAGAGAGTTTTTCGAAGCACTTGCACGGCTTTTCAGCAGGAGGGTAGACTATTTCGACAAAGGGTCAGCAGCTGCGGGAGAGCAAAATTTAGAGGGTTCCCGCTGATGACGTCACTGCGGTGTTTGGTGTTGGAAGCACACTCGAAGCCTCGGGAGTCCGGTGGCTTTGCTGCTAGGGCAAATCTACCGACTATACTGGCTGCTTTCAGTTTTGCTGCCTAATAAACTGGGTCAAATAAACTGGATTCGCGCCCATCTATTATCAAGCTGAAGAGGAAAAGAAAATGATTCTTTTGAGCTTATTTCGAAAGTGTTTTCAGGACATTCTATTGACAAACTGCACATATCGTGGAAAAATACAATGCAAGGCTCAACCTATGAAATACTTTTCGAGTCTTTCACAAAAACACGCCATCGATGCTCCCATCCGTATCAGAAGAATCCGAATGGCGTGATTGTGTAGAAAGTCTTGGTTCTGATCGTCTCAAGGCCTTCGCTTCTAGATTCTTTGAGAACTTGTACGGCCACTTCTCTACTCCCAGCTGCCTGCACACCAGCTTCATCGTCGACTTGCCGATGCCGATCTTGGCCGCCGCGACCTCGAGGCTCTCGTGGAAGTGCTCGGCAAGGCGCTCGAGGGTGATCTCGACGGGCTTGTCGGATTGGAAGAAGGACTGCCGTGACTGGACTCGCACAACATTCAAAACAGCAGGAGGTCCACGAGTAGGTTTAACTGCACACTCAACAGCAGCTTCGCGTTTTGCAGGCTCAAGTTCGGGCAAATCACACTGCAACATGATAGGGCAGTGCTCGAAAACGAGATCCTCGTTTGAAAAGATGTCAAAGTCTTGGTCGAGGAAACTAGTAGAAGCGGAGTCCAGGAATCTGTCATTATCGCACTTGTGCAGCTGAGTGACTGGAAGGGGCAGGCTGAAATGGTTGGACAGAGGCTCCTGGACAACGTACTCCAAGAAGAGAGCATCGAGATGATCGAAGGATTGAGTGGAGGACATTCGTTATACTGAGAGCAGCGTGTGCTGGAGGTTGGGGATGGAGAGGTGCGCAAGGTTGGGGGGGCTATGTAATATAAGTTGGGGAGATTGGGGGAACTTGGGGAATACGGAGGTCACGGAGACCAGAAGATCGTGACTGATGACCCTGTAAGCTGTGATGGATCGGTGTATCTTTGACAGTCATACTCTCAGGGCACAGCGTTTCAGAGTCTTTCGGATGCTATGAGTTCATGACCGGGGGAATTGGGAGATCCAGAATCTTCGAGTGGATTCGACTGATTTCGAGAAACGACTCGTTGCTGTCCTCAGTGTTTTAAAATGCGATGAGGCGGAGTTACCCTTTCCGCTCTCCGCAGCAACAGTAGTACCTGCCCCTGCTCCTCTTCGATCTCCTCGTGTATCTTAGTACCCCTCAGTCCTCCTGCGGCATTCTTCTCCCACTCTCTGCTGCTCTTGATGAGTTTTCTGCCGAACTGCGAGCTCAAGTCTCACACCCTCCTGCTTCGACGAGGAAGACACCTTTGACCTCCTCGACCTCCACCATCCCCTTGATCATCCCGCCGCAACCGCCCGCCGCATGATCAACCCCCTGATCTCGTGCATATTTTCAAGTAAAGAGGCAGAGGGAAGAAATGAGCTCCCCTTTGGAAACCTGAGCTTAACTGCTGTCCATTATGAAACTTCTATACAAATATTAAAGGCTTGCAGCACTTCCAAATCATCTTGCCCCCCCCCCCCCCCCCCCCCCCCCCTCCCCTTCTCACCTCGTTTCCCTGCTGGATCCAAATCCTTCCGCAATCAGCAAGCTTTCCTTGCATATCACAACGGCCTGCCATTTTTCTTGTTTCCATGTTCTTCTTGAATCCATCTCTGCCTCGTGTTGGAAGACACTTATCTTTCAGCTTCTCGTTCAACTACATGCTCGCTATTGGCTCATGGGGTACAAGCTCATTTGACTTCGCTCTCTCTCTCTGTTTACTCGTGGAAATAATTGTCGAGAAAAACAATGATAGTACATCAGAAATATCTTGCGACGAGGCGTGAAATTTTACAGTTCAGACATCCTTCCAAATTCGAATGCAGACTGTGCTCTCTTGATTGCAAACAGGGCACCTCTGTTGGAACTTAGAGCTGCAACCTTCACAAACGCATTGATGTCCGCAGGGAACGTACGCGTGAGTTGCCGTCTCACTCAGGCAGATGACACACTCACTGTCCCCCTCCGCTCGGCCCTTAGCCTTTGCTTTTGATTTCTTGCGCTTTGACTTGGATTTGACACCAGCTGCCGCGGAAGCAGCGTCTATCCTCAAGCCACGCATCCTCTCCTCTTGATCGTCGATGCTGTCCTCAACGCAGTTGTGCTGCCCCTTATTAATTTCACCCTTGCCTTGACTTTGCCCCTGTGAAGCAGCTATACCCTCGTCCTTGCCTGGGCGTTGCTCCTGCGAAGCAGCCGTACTCGATTTTTTCTTGTTCTTCTTTTTGTGATTGTTCTTCTCCACGCCTTTTTCGTCTCCCTCAATGCTTGCTACGATCCTTTGAATCTCATCGTCATTGAGAATGTCTCGAATGTTCTCAGCCGGTTGCGCCTGTGCTCCTTGTTTCTTGCTTCTCTTTCGCATCAAAAATTTTCGTTGTTCTGAAGAGTTCAGATCCATGTCCTCCAGCCCCATGTTGCTAAGATCAACCTGAAACCCCTGGATCTCGAAGAATCGAAGCATCTCCTCCGGGCTGAGCCTCTTGCCTTCCCGTGCTTTGATCGCAGCCTGGCAGATCCACGGGATCTCCTTGTGCTTTGCGTGCTTCGCCTTGGCCTTCACCAGCAGTTCAGACCATCGCTGCGAGTGCATGAAAGAGATCTTGGGTGTCAGGCGAACGCTCAGCCCCAACATAGTGTGACATCCCCACACGACTACATCAGGGTTTTCAAGGTGTGTTTCCAAGGCTTGCATCACTACCTCCGCCCCACCTTCATCTCCGATTCTTTCGAGACACTCAGGGTCCGATAAAACATGCCCCATGATCTTGCATACAACGATTTGCATATCAGGATTGTTGGGATACCTTTTCATCGCGTCCAATGCCGCTCCCAATGCCCCTGTTGTCGCCAGCAAACTGCCAGCAAAATAGGAATTCACGCGCAGAGTGTTGCACGCCTCCCACTCTATTTCTATGTATCCTCGCACGCAAAGCATGATCTGCACAATAGCCTGTAAGCCTCCCATCTGAAAGAACTTGTTCGCTTGCTCCTGAGTCACTGCAAGATTTCTTATCGCTTTCAAGGCCACTAAGCCGAGGATCGGCTGCGTACAATACATTTTCATGACATTAGTGACAGCCGTGATACCATCTCTTTCTAGGATGATCTTCCTGTTCCTATCATTCTCGCTCAAGATAGCAACAGCTCCGCATGCATCCTCGAGCGCTTCAGGATTGTTCATGTTCAGGCGCATGGCTCTCAACACGATCGCTGATCCTCCACAAGAAGCAACTCTGTTCAAGTAGAAGGTAGCCGACGATAAAAAAAAGATGCACTTGGCTGCTGCAGCGTACATGGAAGGAGAATCTTGAAACTTGAACGCTGCTGCAACGACAGCATCTATCCCTTGCTCTGCAGCAAAACATCCCAGGCTTTGACCATCATGCGATATCAGGGTTGCCAACGCACCACACCCTTTCTCTTGAATGGCTCGACTATTCGCATGGTGCTCCATGCTTGAAATCAAGCACGTGATTCCAGGGATTTCACCCATGATTAGTGCAGAATCCTCGTCATGGACCATGCGTGAGATCAAGTCCATGGCTACAAGCTGAAACTCTTCGTGCTCTTTGTGGTCGTTCATCGCTCTGATCAAGCGTTGAGACAGTTTCTCGATGTCGGGCTTGTCCAGAAGAGCTGCGATCGACCTCAGCAACAGACAGGCCGACAACAGGACCGATGGGTCTCTTTCAGCCGCTTCCATCACAGATACTATCGCGTCCACTACACCGTCATCGTAAATTTTGATTCCTGTCTCGTCTCTGATTGACAGGATGTGCAGAATACGGCAGGCTTGACCCACCGTCTGTAGATCAGCCTGACCATTCTTGATCGTACGGAAACATTCGTCAGCCATCTGATCGCGTGGAAGCGATAAGAGGCGCCGGGCCTCCATCACCAGCTGCTCAGTTGTATCAGTCCTGTCAGCCTCCTTATGTAGTTCACTCTCGCAAAGCTTGACGAGGTATGAGGTATCCTCCTCCTCCTCCTCATCCTCATCCTCATCCTCCTCTTCCTCCTTTGCTCGACTCTCCAAGTGCATCCGCATCCGCCTGGCCGCGTACCCTACACTGCGGTTTTCTGGCAAGTCGAGCTTCATCAAGGCGAAGGCCTGACGCACAACTTCGCTGGGCGGCAGGTGGGAGGGGAGAGAGAGCTGCTCCCGCACGTCCTCGACGTCCGTTATGACGCTCCCGCATGGCGGCATGCCGACCGGTTGCCCGAGAACTTGGACAAGTGTTCCTTTTAAAAAGCACCCCTCACTCTACCCCCCCCCCCCCCCCCCCCCCCCCCCACCTTCGACTTTTTGTTGGGGTGGGTGGGGTGGGTTTGGAAGAGAGCGGGGGAGCGAAAATGCTTTTCGGCGAGGAGCCCAAGGAAGCGAATGGCGGGGAACGACAGAGATGGAGAGAAGACTGAGACTGAGACAGTGACATCGAGACTGCAAGGCGAAGAAGTTGGAGGAAGGGATGCACAGTCGCGTGCGAGTACTACGGTCAAAGCATCCTGCTGACTGAATCGAATACCACCAGTCCTTCGTGTGGCCTCGAGTACAAATTTTGCGACTTCTCTCGCATCGTCCAATTTTCACCTTCCCTGTGACATCGACTGCTCTGATGCGTTAGAAACACTGACACACAAAGTGACGTTAGCGTTGCATTGTGTTTTCCTGTATGATCGAATGAAGGTATTCTTACTCAATTGTTTCATTGTAAGCCAGCACTTGCGATCTCCTCCTCACTTAAGTCAAGCATAACACCAATAAACGCCAGGTAGTTGATCATCCCAGTTTTCTCGCCATTCGCTCTGAGAGCATCCAACTAAAACTTCAGCACGTCTGACAGTCGCGCACAGCAGCAGCAGATCACCTGACGTCAGGACACTTGGCTTCTGCCTCTGCGATGTAATCATTGGCTTCCGACTCATCCATCGGCTCCCCGAAGCGAGTGAGAACGTGCCGCAACTCTTCTCCTGATATCAATCCTGACGCATATGATCTCACCGCATTCCTCTCCCACCACCACCCTCCTTCCACCTCGATTCTCCTTATCGAAGACCCTGAAGGCATCCTGTGTTGAGAGGTCAATGATGAAGAACAGTTGTTTGTTGAGGCATTTGACATACAATAAGCTGATCTGTAGTCTCACGGGTTTGCAATCTCTTGGCAATGAAAGGCATCAGCTCTGGGATCTTGATCACTCCGCTCGACTGAGGGTCGAGAATCTGAAGATAGGTCAAGTCAAGCGGCGATGAGTTGAGTTGAATACCAAGAGATGCTCTTGCAACTCGTTCATCGATAAGTTGCAGTGCAAGGCTTGAAACAATGTCATCACATCCGATGAATGTATGATGTTTTCCCCCTTTTTGTCAAGGATCTGAGATGGAGATCAGGATAAGGAAATAGCCAGCAGCGTGAGCAATGGGCAATACTCTCAAGATTTCTTGCACTTCCTGCAGCTTGTCTTCAGATAAAAGCTCAGTCTGTCGAGGCAAAATTCTCTTCAATTGCGAGACATGTCAACAACAATGTTACCATCACAAGTAGCTGGAATTATGGTGCTCAAATGTCAGAGCAGGAAATATCGAACTGCAATAAGATATCTCAGCAGCGGCACTGATGTGAAACCACCAGGCTGAAAACTCTTTTACTCGAAGTTGCAAACTCAATAACAGCTATTTCTCACGGTCAGAAACAATAGCTAATCATGAAGTTTGTAAAGGCTTCACAATCAGCATAGTTCTAGTCACATTTGTTTCTGTGGCTGAGATCAAGTTGCGTAACTACCGACTTATTTCAGTTTTGAATTGCCATGAAGAAATCACTGATGTTGCAGTGCATGATGAAGCCTACTGCCGCCCGATGTCTGGTACGGTGTCTGCCATGCCAGGATAAGTTCCAGCCTACCGTACGCCATCATGATCATGGCATTACTACCCGACTAGCGGGTATTGAGTAAAAATGCTCCAACGGATGGGCCGAACTTCGGAACTCAGTACTCGGACCGAGTCCGGGCCCGCCGGCCCGCCGGGTCACCGAATTGTACCCTGAGGCGGGTTGTTTCGAATGCTACAACTAACACCAGGTGGTGGTTGACAGTAATGGGGGTCGGGGTACATCACAATCAACATTTCGAGGAGTAGGTGTTCGATGATACATAATCATAAGGTATTTTATAGTTATATACCTATACAAATTGGGTATACCCCTTAGCCTTCACATCTCTTTCATGCAGATTTGCATGTGGAATCCCATTGAGGGTGGTGGTAGTACACGGGGGTAGGGTACAGCACTACCGGACGGCATCAAGTTGTGCGGTGGCGTTTCATGGTGGAAGGGAAACACAAGATTGGACGGGGAGAGGGTCGAGGAGGAGGAGAGAGCTACGAGGTTCAGACTATGCACGTGGAAGGAGGAAGAAAAGATGATAAGGGAACTTGATAAATTGCATGTGAGGCAACGCAGAAACGTTTGTAGCGATTGCTCAATCCCTTGTGTCGATTGTTACAAGGATGGGATTGAGAAGCCGGAGAGAGGAAAGGGGAAATTCCCTGATATCTTGTTATTTTTGTTACTGCTCTAATCACGCACTGATCGGTTGGTGTGCACAGGTCCTTGTTAAGCTGGAAATGCGAGGGACGGAGAGCAGGGTGTCAAGTTGTATCCTGCTGATCAGCTTTGCATGCAATTTTGACAGAAGAGCTTGATCACGTGGAACATGGAGATAGAACGAAATGCAAGGGCTGAGTGTGATCCTCACTCACTGTCATGGATGGACGAGCAGGGTAACTTCTTCGTGACATCTTCCGAGGACGGGTTCACCAAACTATGGAGTATCTCAGATGCCAGCAGCATCACGCTCCGAGGACACATCAGGAGAGTCGTGTCGTGCGCGTTCTCTCCGAAAGGAGATATGGTTGCCACCGGCTCCATGGACTCGACGATCAAATTGTGGAACACAGGGGACGGGAGTTGCCTCGTGACGCTGGAGGGGCACGAAGAGTTGGTATCGTGCGTGCACTTCGATAGCAAGGGGCGGTTTCTGCTCAGTGGTTCATATGACGGCACGATGAAGCGATGGCGAGTGATGGACGGAAGATGTGCGTTCACTTATCAGGACTTCTCCAACAACGTTGTCTGCATCGCGCTGAAACAAGACGACTCAACCCAGAATGAGTTTGTGGCTTGTGGCTCAGGGAAAGGGACGATCTTCGTGCTGACGACAGGGCAGAAGAGTGGCAGGAACAAGCTAAAAGGGCATAAGGGAGCCATCAAGCAGCTGGCGTTTCATCCCGTGCGGGCCCAGATGTTGTGCTCGTTTGCCGACGACAGCAGCTTCCGGCTGTGGGACTGTAACAGCTCTTCTTGCGTCCAGCTAGTCGATGGTGACCTCGGGAGGATCTTGGGGTTTCGGCTGCTCCCTCGGACAGGTCACCTGCTCTTTGCCTCGGTTGACACGTCTAAGGAGAAGAAGGTAAGTTTGCTGCTTGTCTTCATGTTCGTAGTAAGTTGTGATGAACGTGTGGTTGTGTGGGGACATGAGCAATGTACTTGATGAAGTAGACCAGGCGATGATGAGTTTCGATTATGCCTAACAAGAGCAAGGAAGAGGGGTCAAGGCGTGTGAGGAGGAGGAGGAGGAGGAGGAGGAGAGGGAAGGTTGGTCGTGGTAACGAAAGGAGAAGTAAGAGACGGCCGTGAACGGTGACCTTGATTCGCATTCTGACACTCACAGCAGAAGTCAAGCACATCTCGCTTTGCTCTAGGGACTCTGAGGTTTGAAGACGGAGGATTGTTGGAAGGAGCGATTTACTTGTAGCTCAGGTACCTCGCCTCCAGCTTGTCCGGGGTTGGTAGCGAAGATCACCAGAAAAACGGGTCGTGTTTGTCTCTGGTGCTGGTGGGATTTGCCAACAACAATCTTTATGCTGATACTTTGGCTATCAAGAGGTGAGAAACGCATTATAGTCATGAGAACGGTTGACTTGGGATACTGTAGGCTTCCTGGTGGGCACGTGGACAAAGTGCATGGAGTTTTCTTTGCGAACGAGAGCGATTATTTCTCTACGGTAAGAAGTAGTGCAAGGTGGAGCTAGATCGTAAACCATTGTTGATGAGCAAATTGGACAAGTGTAAGGAGGGGCTCAAAGGATAGGAGACTAGAAAGGAAATTAGAAAGGAAATTAGAAAGGAAATTTGGTAGCCTGAGAAACTGATCTCACATCCTTCCATCTAACACTCTGTCGGAACTCATCCTGAGTGTTCAGACGTCAGACCGGCACGTTTGCATCTGGAACATTCAGTTCGACGGAATTCCTTCGACAAACTCAGCAGCTGATGATGTTGCAATCAATATCCTTCCTGAGTCAGAAGGTTCGATTGTCTCCCTCCCTCCCTCCCTCCCTCCCTCCCTCCCCTCCCTTCCTTCGTCAATCTCATCTCTCCCTCTCATCTCTTCTTTCTTCCCTCTTCTAAGTCATCCATCAATTCTGTTGCTTCCTCTGTCGTCTTCAGCTCGCTAACAGCACAGCAGCGAGCGTGCAGGAGACTGCGAGCTCGTCGTCCATGGAGGACTCGCCGTTTTTGCCAGCAAAGGGAGCTCATCACGTCAGCTACTACCCGGAGAGGACGAACAAGGAAGTCGCGAGTCAGTCGCGGACGGTGAGGAACGAGGAGGGAGGAAGGGAAGCTGATTGTGTGTCAGTATGGGGAGATTGTGGAAGAAAAGTTACTGCAGAGGAACAGCGCGGCGAGGAGGAAGCAGCGGGACAGAGCCAACAGGCGGGATGGAGAAGATGAGGAAGATGAGATTGAGGAGGAGGCAAGGGTCAGCGCGTCAGTGGGCTGGTCGCTCAAGGTTAGCTCGTTCTCTTTGCACCCTGCTGTCGTCCTCTCCGTTCCACCTCTTCGCCTCCTCTCCTTCTTCCGCCTGACTCTCGCTGAATGACTTTGCTGAGCAGCAGGTCGAGCCGGCTTCAACCACGTGCGTGTCTGAGGGGCCTGTGGTGGGATCTGACGTGCTGCCGCAGGACCTCGGGGGTGATCGCCATTCCCATTGGGGAGAAGGAAAGATCAAGAAAGTGGACGGGGAGAGGAGGAGGGAACAATCGCCGGATGGTCTACGAGGAAGAGGAGGACGGAGAGGATGAACAGGAGGACGTCCCGTCGAGGAGCCAGGGGAGAGCTCCGGCCCCTGCTGCTCATCACAAGGGAGCGCAGGAAGCTGGTCGATCCTCTTCCAATCGGGCGGCTGAAAACGTGAGCGAAGGGAAGCACAGAGCAAGCGCGGGGGGGCAGGAGAGAGGGCGAGGAGAACGAGGGGCAGCAGCTCGAGTGAAATCTCCGACAGGAGGTGCAGAGAAGATGAGGGTGAGAAAGCCAGAGGCTGCTGCCCTCCCTCCTCCTCCGCGGCATAACGAGGAGGAGCCGAGCGGCGTCACGTCAGCGCGTGTCAAGAGCTCGAGGTCGAGTATCCCGCGATTGCACGGACGACGAGGGAAGAGGGAGGAGGAGGAAGCGAAGCCTGTCAGTGACTCGGTGGCAGTATAGAGATAAGAGGCTTGTTCGTGCGACTCTTTCCTATCAATACTCCTCCTACTCCATCGCACCGTCTTCAAGTTGTTTGCGCAAGCATTGCCTCCCTCAGACTCTCTTTCACGGACTGACTGAGCGAAGTTTTCTGCTTTCTCTCCCAAACGTCTCCTGCATCTCCTCCCTCCACCTGATGAGGCATCAGGCTCTCGTCTCCCTCCTTCCTCGCCCTCTCACCTCCACCCGCGACACCGACGAGCACAGAGGAAGCGACCCGACCACGAAGACTTCGTCAGCCTGCTCGCAGCCTCTCAGCACAGCCGGCAAACAGTGGACTGACCCCTAGGATATCATCGACGAGGAGGCGACAGCGAACAAGGGTGTATCCTCGCTTAGCAAACTCCATCGCCGCCATCTCGCAGATCTGCGGGTGATATCAACAACCTCCAACCGACCTTGTGTCAAACATCAACCACGTCCGTCGAGATTTCTTCAGAAGCAATGACTTCCTTCCCTCTGACAACCTGCGGAGCAATGACGAAGGAAAGAAGATCGCATGTAATTCACCACAAGCTGAGCGAAATCGTGTTCTTCCAGCCTTCCTTCCGAGGTGGCCTGGACAAACATGAGCGACTACCGTCGTCTTGCCTCTCGCTCACCATGATTGTTATCTCACTTTCTTTCTTCCCTGCTCTTGCCGAGCTCGTAGAGTTCCTACCGTCAGGTTCATCATGACATCAACACTTCAACTTTTGAACATCATTCGTTGATAGCAGCGAGTTCGCATTAAGATATTGTTGAAACACGATTCGAACATCAAGACATGAACATGCCTGTCATGAACAGTCTTCTTCTTGCTCGGTTTGACAATACGGACGAAAGTTTGGTCATCATCTTCCGAGACATTCAACCAGAGCAATGCGAATCTCTTTCCCTTACCGAAGATTTCTTGGGCAGACATGTGAACGACGACATCAACATACTTCCTCTCCGCCGACCTGTCAACAGCATGCATGACCTTGATGTCACTCCTGCATTCTACTTCTATCCTCTTTACCTTCCGCCGGCCTGATCGGGAGCTGTGCCCCAGGACAAACAGATCATAACTGTAGACTCATCTTTGCTCTCCTTATCGCCCACAACATGTTGCATTCTTTCTTGCAGCTCATTGTGTGCAATCGTGATGTTGTGCTCCAGAATGTCTCTCAGAGAATTCTTTTCAAAAAGTCAGCAAAACCTCGTCAACAGACCTCATAGCAGCTCTCACCGGCTCGCAGATGTAAGCTAAGACACCCTGCCTCGCCAGCAACGAAGCTCTCTCAGCGGAGCTGAGATTCTACACAGTGATCAGAAATATTTCGCTTGATTTCAGAACTCACATCTCCATCGCACTTGTTGATGTCATAGAAAACGTCCTTGGCCAAGCGGTCGACAATTTCTTGCAGACGGAAAGATTTACTGCCGACATTGCGTACCCACCGATACCGCATACTTCCCATCCTGCCTCGGTTGCCCTTCACCAGAGACAGATATTCGAGCACCGATGCTGAGCTTGCTATCACCTCCTCGTTCTTGACCATGACAACCTTGTCTCTCCTACCACTGCTGTGCAGCAAACGAACGCTCATCCGACCGCCCACACTCCAGTCGCAAGCGAGGCAAAGAGAGTCGAGAGGGAAGCAGCAGGAGTTCTTACTCATGTGTGTCCTTCCTGCTTTGTGGGTTTGCTTGGTGACGGGCATTCTTCCACCAAAAGAAATTGTTTCAGTTTTGCTTTCCTTGCGCATTTCTTGAAGGATTCCATGTACTTTGTGCAATCCTCCTTCCCTTGGACCAGGCAATTGAGGAGACTCATAGCTTCTTCGCCACATCGCTCCTGCTGCTCCATCATAAATTCAGCGCAAACAAGTCCACAAGGTCACGACAAAGTATCCGCTGTCTTCCTCGTTGATGACGGATACCTCCACAAACACAACGACTTGCTTTGCACACATCTCTGCCCGTGTTCTTGCTCTCTTCCTCCCTATTGACATCTATTCTCCTTCACTCAACATCTCCTCCTCCTCTCCTCTCCCTCTCCCCTCACCTGCGATTTCGTTTCTTCCGGGTGTGAGGAAGCGGCTGGCGCGTCTGATGCCATGGCGGATCATTCAATGAGAACCTCGTCCTTTACTCAAAGTTAAGTTAAAAATCAGTACGAGGACCATCAGGAGATAGACTTATAAGTCAACTGCCGCAGTGATCGGACTCAGTCCGGTCGGAAGGCCGCGTCTCATTCAGTTCCGAAGCCTTCGGCGGCGTACGGTAAGTTCAATGATGGCACCGTCCGACTCGAGTCGGAACTTGCGGCCCGGCCGCCGCGCTCGGCGGAGGCTCAGTCACCCGCAGAGCGCCGGGCCGGGCGCGGCGACGGCGTCCGAGCGGCCGCCCTCAGGTCACGGTGCCCGGGGCCACGGGCACCGGGGGGCCCACAGCCGCCCGGCACGCCCGGCCGGCCGTGGCGGCGGGGCCCTCCGTGTGAGGCTCGTCGGATCTGACTTGACCCGGTACTAGGCGCCGCTGAGGGGCTCTGAGCGGCCTCCGAGGCTCAGTGGGGAGTCCGGCGACCCCGCCCGCGGCGCGGCGGCGGTCACGGTGGGGTGCCGGCGGCGACTCGCCTCCGAGGCTCCGAGTGACTCGGACGCCGCGCCGGCCCGGCGGGCGGGCCAGCTGAGCCCGGCAGTGTTGGCCGACCGGCCGGGCCGCGGCACTCGTCGTCCGGGAGGTAGTCACTGTACGGTCACTGAGTAGTCCGTCCGAGCCACGGTGACGCCACCGTGCACGGTGCCTGAGTTCAACTCAGAAGCTCAGCGGCTACCGTGTCTCTGGTCTTGGCTCTGGCCGCTCATCGGACAGTTTGCAAGGTTAGAGTCACGAGTCATGCCATGATACCAGTGGCGTTTTGCCACTATGACAGCCTCTCAGTCTGAGCTCATGTGATGTCCAGCCTCAGGCTTCAAATTATTCCGACCGAGGCGGTCTCTGACGGACCTGACACTCGTCCGACTCATGCTCTCGAACGATCCGATGATCGCCGTATCGAGAAGCAGGCTGGAACGTTGTTCCAGCCGCATCACTTCGAGCACCTGCTGCCGGCGTGTTCTGATCAGGGGCTTGTGCGCTTGCTGTAAATGTCTGCGATCCTTGGTGAAACGTCTAGATGTGACAATGTGACGGTGGCATGGCTCTTGGCAACAGATGCCCTACTGCAGTTGCCTCCACCGTGATCCGAACGATAATGATTAGATGCGAGAAGCTTCATCCTGTTGCAATTCACTCGTGCAGAGCAAAATTCAATCTTGTTGTACAAAAGATCACAAGAGTGTTGTCGTAATTAATAAGTACATCCTGTCGCTCAATCCTTGGCACATCTATGATGTCCATCGTTTTCATTGCAGGCTAACAGAAACAGCCTTGCAAAGGAGCATCCCTCGGTCCAGACCCACAGACGGAAAGACAAACAAATCATTATGTTTTAGTCTACTGTCTCAACAAATTCAAAGCACCGCATCGGGTCGCATGCGGGTGGTACAGCAAGAAGATTTACGAATTGTTTGTACAACGAAGCTAATTCAGGGGTGGCATCAACAGACTACAAGAAAATGACAGACAGCTTATTTCCCCAGTTTTTTGGCGTCTCGTTTCATATTGCGGATCAACTTTTGGAAGTATTTCTGAGCATGTGATCTGACTTGCAACGGCGATCGTGTCCTCACTAGCTTTGCAATCTTCTCTGCCACACCAGTTCCTAGTCCGACGAACAAGGTCCCGTCTTCGTTGTATGGCACGGACTTGAACTGACAGAAGAGTTCTAGTCCTTTCAGGAAAAGTCTATGCTCCTCTTCGCTCCAGTGTTTGGGCCGGTCATTTGCCATCGGATTCTTGCTATGGATGCTCGGAGAAGACGGGCTCGTTGCAGAACTCATCGACGTAGTTTTGTCAGCTTCAGTTGCAACTTTGCTCGGAACAGAGCAATGGAGTCGGTCGTTCTGAAATGCTTGAGGCTCTTCGGTTTGCTCGGGTATGACAAAGAATCGCTCATGCCAGAAATGATCATAAAAGATGTCTCCTGGCTTCAAGGATGTGAGGTCGATGCATCGAACATTCGCTTCCTCCTCTCCGTAGTCGACTGGTTCATTCATACTGCCTTCCTCATTCCATGTGCAACAGATTCTTCCGGCGATCTGAATCATGATGTGATCTAATCTTGGATAAAGACAAGTAGTTGGGTCTTCAGGTGTTCACAACAGGTGCGGCAGCGCGATGATCGGTCGAGGGGATGTGTACAGAAAGCGCTGATATGAGATATCAGATATGGGTTCCCTCGCAACACCCTCCGTTACCTTACTGCCAGCGGATGGAACCGATTAAAACTACTTGTATTCTTTTTTAACTTTTTTTTCTGCTGACCAGTAGATCACCCTATTTCCAGATCACTCGAGGCACTTGATCCCCCGACCTGAATCAATAATAAAATATTAATAGCGGATCGGACCGACGCCGGAAACGGTCTACGGCTGGTACGCGCGGAGCCTCGGAGTCTCCGAGCCCAAGTGGCCCGCCGGAGCCTCGGACTCGCTGCCTGGATGACGGCCGGCGCCCGGCAGGGAAGTACTTTAGTACTGGTAACTTCCGATGACTCGAGTCAAAGAACACGTTAACTTCTTTACTCAAAGTTAAGTTAAAAATCAGCACGAGGACAATCAGGTGCTCGTTCTGGGCCACCTCAACTCTCCTGATTGTCCTCGTACTGATTTTTAACTTAACTTTTAGTCAAGACTGAAAGGTTACCGTCTGGCGTCAGCTTTCCTGGAAACTCGGAAAATTCCGGTAATCAGAGTCATCAGACGGAACGTCATCCGAATCTCCTGATCGCGGTCATCCGACAGTCATCCGAATCTCCTGATCACGGCCAAAGTTAATCGCTCTGAATAATTATGGTCAACGAGGGTCATGCTTCCGTTTTGTTGTAGAGCTAAGGGGCCATGTTTGCTTGTTTGGAAAATAGGGAAAGAAGCTCTGCCGTTTGAACTGTTTCGATGCCTTTGTTCATCGTGGATAGTGTGCAGAGAGCCGGAAATTTTGTTTTCAAGGCTCTCTGTTGAAATCCCTGTTTTGGAATCTCTTGAGTCGCTCTGGTAATGTCGCAGAAATCATGTATCGTCACATGGCTTGGCGAAATGATAGTATGATGACATATTAGAGGATCAAAGCTGATGAGATAGGAACATATTCTGCAAGAAAGGTTCGATCAATGGCATCAAGCCAAGTTTGTGGTCACCAGTGACTCGAGTTACTTCCGGTATAGGGCGCTGCCACCGTCTGTGCAAGTGGAAGTACCCAATGCCCACAATAGTGGCACTTATAGGAAGAGCTGGGTGGGCAAATGGAGGGGTTTATGATTCATATTTCAAGTTCGAGACTTTCGCTGCTGTTTACTTAGGATTAGACGAGCATCACCTAATACAGAAGGGATGCTGGATGAATTGAAGCACCGATTCTAGTGTGGGTTGCCTGGTAACCCGGGCGTAGAAATGAGAAGTACTGATAGCAACGCCTGAGCAAGCTTGACGGAATTGTTGTTGCTACTAAACGTCGCCGTCAATCTCATAGCGATAGGCAGTGGCAGTGGCAAGCTTGCAATGACGGGGGACGATGTTCGCCAGAGTGAAAGGATGCGCACACCAAAGAATTTCCCCAGATCCCCTGAGCATCAACAGGTGTATGAAGATACTGATGTGGGACTTGCTCCAACAACGTAGCAAAGTGCACTTGGAAGAATGAAGAATGAATCTAGATTTGTTTATGTATCAGCAGTAGCAAGATAACTTATGAAGGGACGAATGTAGAAGAGAGAGAGGAAGATCGAGCAGCGGAAACTGTTCCTCTCCTGGCTTAAATAGTGTCGTAGATGATCTCGCTAATGTACGGTCAAGTCTCATCCTCGTAGTACTATACATGTTGGAAAGATGCAAATGTGTCAGGTATCAACGTCATAAAATATTTTGGAACGTTGGAGAACGCATGGATAGCCATTGCATTTTGGTGACAGTGTGAAGAAACATCCTGCTTTGGAAGAATTCAGCAGAGAGCATATGGAAACCTAACAGGAACTCGGAAGGAAGGAGATTCAGTGACTTGACTGTTCTTGTCGAAACTTTTGAAAGATTCAAGGAAGGAAATGAGGGAATCAGAGAACAGATGCAGAACTTGAACGGTGGAGAAGTTTTGAAGCAAGACCAACACTGGATAAAGCTCAACAATCGAAGGCACGTACCGTAGGAGACAAGTGTACTACCAATGAAGAAAAAGTGTTTAATACTCTGAGGCGGACTTGCAAGACAGCTGGTTTGAAATAAATTTCAATTTTCAAGTTATAGTTTACTGCAAAATTTATGTGAAGTCGCACGTGCCATGCAGCATCACCACCGCTCGCAGCTGAAGCAGAAGAACAAGCCGTTCAAGTCGTCGGGCCCTTCCAAGAAGGCCATCAAGAAGGCAAACTCAGGCCGTGTCGAGCTAAAGAATGCCTCCTCCTCCTCCTCCTCCTCCAAAGGAAGAGCTGAGAGGATCAACAAGGCAAGGCAAGCAGTGAACGAGCAAAGGAAGAAAGCTCTTAGCGCGCGAAGAGGTCTGGACGGTTCATCAGCTCCTCGTCTGTGCGTCTTCATGAAGATCACAAAATCTGCGAACTTATCACAGGCAAAGGTTCTCTTGAGGGAAAAGAACTCCGAGGAGATGCACGATGATACTAGTCATGGCCTTGTAACTGTACAGCTCGAGACAGCGGCGCACTGGGTGTCAGCTATCGACGCCCCAACAGACCCAGTGATGCTGATGGACATTATGATTGTTGCAGATGTCGTTGCCTTTGTTGTAGATGCACAAGAAGAAGTTGACGCAAAGTCTTTGCACTTGATCAACTTGTTGAAAGCATATGGAATCCCCCCCACGATCATAGCTGTTCTCCAGAACTTCAATGAGCACGTTGGCCCCAAACATGAGTCCCCCATCAAAGTTTGGGGAGCAAAGCTGAAGAATATGTTCAATCGAGATGTCAAGGTGTTCGGTGGATCGTCGGTAGATCGACTGTCTGTCCGACGGCATCTGAGCAACATCAGCATTCCTGTTCGTCCATCTTGGTCCAATCGACCTTCGATTCTCGCAGAAAAGCTTCACACGTACAATGATGATCAGGGCAAAGACCCTGTGATTGGAATAACAGGATATGTTAAAAATGCCTCCTTGAATGTAAACAAGTTGTTTCACATTCCTTCGTTTGGGACATTCCAAGCCTCCCATTTGACGATCCATGGAGATCCCCACAGATCAGGGAAAGCTGGGAAGGAAGTGGGCGGGGAGGAAGAAAGCACAGTCTATCCTGATCCAGAAGAGCAGGACTCTCTTGTTATGGAGCACGAAGTGGATGAAATGGATCAGGAACAAACTTGGCCTACCGAGGATGAGATGCAAGGCAAGAAAAAGGTCAAGAAAGTCCCGAAGGGCACAGGATCTTATCAAGCTGCCTGGTACGTAGACAATGATGACGAGTATGAGGGAAGCAATGGAGATACCGACGATGAGAATGAGGACGAGGGAGAAGATGGGGAAAGTCAGGAATCGGACGAAGAATCTGAACAAGAGATTCTCGAGGACGATGATGACGAAGACGATCAAGACATGCAGGAGGACGATCATGATCAGCAGGAGATGGAAGAGTTTCTCCGCCTGAAGAAAGAGGCAAAAGAGAACGAGATGTTTCCCGACGAGATCGATGTTCCTCTCGACTCCAAGGTACCTGCTCGCACTCGCTTCCAGAAGTACCGTGGCGTCAAGAGCCTCAGGTCTTCTCCCTGGGACCCGAATGAAAATCTCCCTCGTGACTACTCCAAGATCTCTCACTTTAAGAATGCAAACGCTTCCAAGGCAAGAGCTCTGGCTGACGCCAAGATGGGTGGAATCGACGTGGGTTCTTACGTGACCCTCTGGCTCCGAGTGCCACGGGAGGAGTTCGAATCCGTTGCCACGTACTGTAGAGGATTGCTGGACAACCATAACGCCCTCGTTGTCGTTGGGCTGCTCAAGTATGAGAACAACATGACGCTGATGAACTGCTCTGTCGATCGCTTCAAGGAAGACGGAGATGTCATCAAGGGAAAAGACCAACTCATCCTTGTGTGCGGGATGAGGAGGATAGAGGTCCGACCAATCTATTCAGAGCAGAAAAACAACAGGTCATTCCGATTGACTTCTGCCTGCCCTCTTGCTAACATGACTGTATCGTGCCAGTGACAAGTTCAAACTTCTCCGGTACCTTCCAGCTCGAGGAACGTGCATAGCATCCATGTACGCGCCGGCGATCTGGCCCCCAGGTGAAGACATCTCGAGAGAAACCTTGCAATTATTGATTGCGTGTTGCAGCTCCTGTTCTACTGCTGAAGCGACAAAAGAGCGGAGCACTCACCATAGTGGCAACAGGTACGTCTGTTGACCTCTTGACATGCCCATAATGATTTTGTGGATCGCAGGCAAATCATTGGGCCCGAACGCTAACAGAATAGTTCTGAAGCGAATCGTCTTGACGGGACTTCCGTATAAGATTCACAAGAGAAAAGCGACTTGTAGATTCATGTTCCACAACCCGGAGGATGTTCGGTGGTTCAAACCCGTCGAGCTCTGGACCAAGGAAGGTCGACGAGGACAGATAAGAGAGCCGCTAGGCACTCACGGCTACATGAAGGTAAGGTGGTGGATGGAAGTGTTGCCTTTTGACTCGGCTCACAGTGTTTGTTTGATGCTCCTATCTTACACTCGGACACAGTCTGCATGTCTTTGTACAAACGTGTATATCCTCCGTACCCTGAAAATGCTGCAAAACAGCTCAAAACCAACGCGACTCCCCAATAAACCAAGTTACATCATGACACTTGTGCCGTCTAAAATTCCTCAGCTCATATCACTTTCACCCTCCTTCTGACTCCTCAATGAAAATTCTCGAAAAGCGCGAAAATATTACTCAAAAAGCAACTTGCCTTCATCCAATACACCCCTATTTACCTCATAAAATGAATGAAATCAGACTTTGTGGAATACGAAGCTTGTGACTATGATTCCAACTACTATCTGAGAAACAACACAAGTGCGAATTGGAAGTCGCTGATCAAGCATCTAAGAACTAGGAAAAGATCTCGTACAATCGTCTTGACGTGTCGAGCGTTGATGGATACAATCAGCTAAGAACAAACACGAGGAAACCCGCCTTTCAATGCGAGCAAGATGAGGGCGATTGTGTTGAGGAGGACGAGTAGGTTCGGATATAAAAATATCACGATTGTTGTAGCAACATGTACTTGTCACAAGTATCTAACAGCACAGGTCCACTAGTTTAGTAGACTCCATATCCGTGCACGTTGTAGTTGGGCCAGCTGGACCAGTCAACGGGGACCCAGGTGGTGTGGGCCTGGGGGTTGAAGGAGCCAGAGGAAGCGTCGGACTCGTAGGGGTGGATGGTAACAGCAGGGTTTCCATCGGTCTGGAGGAAAGCGCCCCAGGGCTCGTCGGCCTTGTACCAGTTGCCAGATGCCTTGGTGTCGTATCTAGAGGATGAAATCACAACGTCGATCAGCCATCAGCTCAGAAATTACCTGGAATACGGGTCGTTGCGGAGCATGTTGATCGGTACGAAGAACATCGTTGCACTGCAAAGTGGGGTCAAAAGGTTGTTTGTCTGAGCCTAAAAGATATCGATGAGGAAAACACAATGTCTCTTTACGTCAACGTGTAATATCTTGCATTTAGATAAGACACGTTTATCAAGGATGAGCGCAGGAACAAGTTGCAGGCATCACACTTCAGTCATGCAGTCATATCGAATTGTCAACAACACTTGATACACAAAATGTCGACAGACAACAAACAGCATGCTCTCTCCTATCACTTGTAATGACGTCAAAAATCACACAAGCAAACGATTATAAACAAGTCTCTGTCTATTCCACGAAGAAACGAGCGAATGGAGCAAGAATGAAGGCGGCATGTTCTTGAACGCACGCATGGCACTAGTACCTGGTTGATGGAGCGGCGGTGACTCTTGGCTTTTAGTAGCTCTTCGGCCAGGGGGTAGGGCCGGGGTATCAGTACCCCCTATTGATTAAGGTAAATTCACCGGTACCTGCAGGTGCCTGCGCCAAGGGTCAGGATCGATCGAGTACTGAGAAATATTTTAGTTAGTATAGTGTCTGGTAGTAACTCTCACAGAATTGGGTACAAAATCAATGCCAAAAAAGTTCTTTTTTTTTTACGAAGCCACCTTGGAAAAAGGGGAAGACCACCCGGTACTTTCCCAGCCGCTATCGGAGTTGATTGCTGGCCGCGGCATCGGAGATTAACTCGCCTCTAACTCAGTCGGACTGCCCCCCCCCCGGGCCCCCCCGAGGCGCGGCTCATGATCGAACTTGCCAAGTCGGACAGCCTTTGCCCCCGGCCTTCATTCAAACTTCGGAAACGCCGGGCGGCCGGGCACTATGATATGATAGTCCCCCGGGCGCCGTCCGATCCTCGGCGACCGTCGGACGGGGGGCCGGCCGCCCGCGGCAACTCGCCGCGGATACTACTGAGCTCAAATCCCTGGAGTCCCACAGTTCACACTGTGGTCACATACATCGGATGATCATCGGACCGTACATCGGATGATGGCATCTTAACTTCACCCCCCGGCGGTCTGAGGATGATAGTAGCGGGAGTCAGTGTACGGTCTTGGGCCGCTAACTTGCGGCCTTTGACCGTCTAGTCACGTAGTAACGGTTGACAGTGACGGTGATCACACTGGCACCGTCCCGGGACGCCGGTCCCTACTCAGTACCGTACGGTACGGTCCGACCGGGTCCGATCATGACTCAGTGACTCTGATGAACTTCGGAAAGGCTATACCGTTCGGGACTGCCGCACTCGGACTCCCCGAGTGACACGCAGTCACGGTTGACCCCGGGCCCCGGGGCCGCCGCCGGGCCCAAACGGTTGGCAAGTTTCTCTCACAGTGGCCTGAGAATCCGAGAGCTTAGTATGCCGGGCCGGGCCGCCACTCAGCCGGGTGTGACTCCGACTCGATGACTCGGATCATCACGCCGGGGCCCGGCAAGAGGCTCAGTGGCACGGGACTAGGCAGTCCAGTGTAGGTCCGGCAGCCTCCCGTCTTACCGGGTTGCCAAGTTGATTCACGCGCCAAAAGTGAAATAGAGTGGCCTGATACCGCAGGGGGTCCTATTGAACGAGCTTCAAGGGGACTCACACTTGTTTTGGTGGAAATATTTGTACCAGAAAATCATCTTTTGGTACGAAAGATTTACTAAACTAACCAAACCTGCAAGTCTATTCACATGTACCGCAGAGGACGAGGACCCCTCCTCTACACGTTTTCTCAGTCTCCTGTCCGCCCTTCCGCAACCCTCCCTCCTCCTTGCCCGTGTACCGAGCGAACGTCCGACAAGCATCTCCCTCCGTCTTCCTCCCTCCCCTCAACCCTCCTCCTCTCCTCCTCTCCTCCTCTCCTCATCTCCTCCTCTCCTCCTCTCCTCCTCTCCTCCTCTACTACTCTCCTCTCTTCGACCTTCCCTTCTCTTTGCCCTTCCTGCATTGAGTTCCATCTGTTTCTCCACTCGCTTCTTCATCCTAGCGCCAGAAGATTGTGTGTCTGCTACACTATCCCTGCCTGGTCTAGCAGGAGTCGTTTCAAGTCATGCTGCAGCTGTGGTGCGGAAGAAGAGAAGAAGTCAGAAAGAGAAGAATCTGCAATGGCAAGAAACCTGCATGGCCTCAAAATCAACTCTTGCCGGCTGAAGACAACATCGAGAGTCAAAAGTGCAGATTGACTCTCAAACCGCCCACATCGCCTGCGCCAGTGCTGTTCTCTGCTGAAGATGGTGGTGATAGCTTTGAAGAAGGAATTCGTGGGCTCCTACAAGAGAACCGAAGATCCCAAGTGAACCCAATGCCATGCGCCGATCGTACAATGGAGGAGGAGCCGCAGCCAAGGGTTTGTCCTCCTTTTGAATTCTCCTCAGCAGCACTTGAGGGCTCTTGTACACGTCTATCACCTTGCAAGGCCAAACTTGATATCATTGAGTTTCCTCCTTCCTCTTACGCTGGACTCCCCATGACTCCCTGCTCTGTCATGTCGTCGGCCTCCACTGTAGCCAGAACCCAGGCAGACGAAGATGATGTCAGTGAGTACCAAGGGTTGAAAGAGTGGGCATTTCCGACGCAGTATTCGCAAAAGACAATGTCCTGTCGCGTCATGTTCCGTGTCTGGATGCTTCTTGTCCGCAGGAAGCGCTCTTGCCAAGACCGGGTGGCGTTTGTGGAAAGCAAGAGGCTCAATTTGATCAAGGAAAGTTGCTTTCATCAATGGTTGAATTTACATGAGATCAAGACCCGTGGAGTGAACATGATGAGCAAGGCAGTCCGGATACATAGGCTGAAATTGATGAAGAAGACGCTATCAAGGATTGTTGCAACTCTTGCACTTGATAAGCAAAGTGTGTCATTGCTGGAGGATGAGGAAAAGCATTCAAAGGAGATACAACGTTTACAGTCACTGGTGTCTCGGCATTTGAAGTTAGCGAGATCTCAAGAGGAGCTCATCCAGACTCTTCAGCATCGAATTGAGAACTCTGACAAGGAATTCCTACTGTTCATGCGCGAGAAAAATCAAGAGATCCTTCACCTGCAGTCAAAGTCTTGCGCAGACACGAGAAGTATTCGAAATCTGCAGAAAAAAGTTTTGGAAGAAAGCATGAAGAACAGAAGCTTTTCTCCGCTGGAAGCGATCTCTGAAGACATCAAAGCTGGAGCATCAAAATCACATGAAGCAAAGAGAGAGCGAAATAGATTGCATCAAGAACAATGTGAGATTGATTTAGCTAGTAGCCGAGAAAGGCTTGAAAGGTTATTAAGCAGAAGATGAAAGAAAGTCGAACTGCTTTAATGTACTGCACTCACTTTCCACAGGAATTCCTGTATTGCATTTGTAAATAAACTGAATATCAAAACAAAACTTTAGTCTAATTCTTCTTGAAACTGTTAATAACTTCTTCTGGCATCTCACAGAATGATTGCAACTCCGGGGAGAGGACGAGCACAGGCCGTTTGATGCAGTCGTTGAGGTACAGGTTGAACCCATCGTGACGAGACTGGATCACGTTGGGGTCCCTCAAGCCGAACCACTGCTTTGGTGGGAGACCTACAGGAGGCAGGCCATACTTGGTGTTGAGGACATTGTCCAGCGCGTCGAACTCAGAATACCTGCGAGGATGATGGTGAAGAGAAGAATGGGAGATGAACAAGTCCTTCACCTCTTCGAGATCATCCAGGTAACATCTCCGAAAGACATTCGGAACTCATACAGCGCAAAGTCTCCTCCCAGTATGCCAATCTTGCAGTCCCTCCGGCTCTTGAAATGCGTATTGAGCGGTTCACACTGCAACTCCATCATAAACGAGCAATGTGCAAACTCAGACCCACATTCAACACTTTCGGTGGGCCAGAACGATCCTTGGCGCTCAGGAGCACAACCTGACCATTGCTCCCTGTTGTTGGCACTATGAGAAGTGATAGCACATGGAAAACAGCAACATTCCTATCATCGCCTTCTCATCAGTGAAGTTGAGGTCTGCATCAGACCATTGCGCTATTGCCTCCCCTTCTGGATTTCTTAACTTCTTTGTTTCACCCTAGCCGGAAGTAAATGAAAGATGGCAAAGCAAGAGGAAAGAAGGAAGGTTGAAGGAGAGGTAAGGGAGACAGGAACGGAACGGAAGAGAACAACGAAAAAAGAAGGGAGGGAGGAAGCAAGAAGAGGAGAGAGGGGGAAGAGGGGACAGGAAGGATAAGAAACAAGGGCAGGAGAGGAGGAAGGAGAAGAAAGAGGAGTGGGTTACTTGCACATAGAGGGCTCCACTCTTCCAGCCTGGGGGTGACTTTGCATCGAAATGGATGAATGCTGTGCACCCTCCATTCTGTAAGGCCGGCTGCAAGTGCCAACGTATGAGATGAAAAGCTGAATGTCAAGGGGAGAGAGGAGGAGAGAGTAGAAAAATGGGGCAGATGATTTGTGCAGTGGAGAGGAGGGAGATCGGGAACTTTGACGAATTGAAAGGAGGTAAAAGAAATCAACAGCTGACAATCAGAGATAATTGCAACAGTATCGATTGACTATGACATGATGCACTCGGACATTCTCAGTCCAATTTTGCGATATCCTTACCTCAAGACACTTCAAGATGTAGATGACAGGAATATTGCACTCCAACGATCTATTCAAAAAGACCATCAGGTTGAGGACGGAGCAACATCAAAAAAATATCAATCAGGAGTAGGTGGTTTATATCACCTCAACTCTGGAGGCAAGTCGTCGCCACCCACCTATCTGTTACGTCAGAGAGACGGAGGACGTCAGGGAGAGGGTGGACGTCAGGGAGAGGGTGGACGTCAGGAGGACGTCAGGGAGAGGGAGGATGCGTCTTCCTACTCTCACCGCTCCCGTATGCACACAACAGATCGGTCGCTGATACTTCTTCTCATCCGGATTGAATCCCACCACCACCATGCATATCGCTCCTATCAGGAGATGAGCTCTCAGGTTCTTCTCCCCAACGATCACCACCTGCAGCCTGCACCGCTGAAAGCTTCCTCGTGAAGTCAGTTCCTCCACGTCTCACTAGCACAATCTTGCCTGCACAACACATATTCAGCACAGGGAGCCGGGATTCTAACGCCTGGTTACCTCGACAATCCTCGGCATTGAAGAGCACGTAATCTGCGCGCGATGGTCTTGCCCAGATGAGTTCGCCGCTCACAGGATGTATGTGATCATAACTGGAGGCTCAAACCTCACCAAGAGAGAGGAAGGATCTTCAAACTTCACCTGGACGGTCCGCCAGAGGGGCCCGACAACATCCCACAAACCGGGATCATGGCTTCTTTGTAGTCCGGAAGACGCTTACGCTGCTTCACTGTAGGCGCGCAGTCTTCCAGCATGCCCGAACCATCAAACTCCACATCGTAGACAATCATTTCTTTCTTGCTGTTAAAATTTTCGTACATCTCTCCTTTCCCAACAGGTTTTCCTTCTTCAAACTCGATCAAGAACTGACTCTTGCTCTGGCGGGTGTACGTTCCTCGACCATTCAATTCCCCATGTTTGAAGACTCCATCGTAATCATCACCGTCATCCCATCGGATTGCTCCCCAACCATGCGCTTCTCCCTCCTCGTTCATATCTCCCCAGTACTGCCCAGACCCCCGCCTGGTGCTCACCCTCTTGCGGCGATACAAAGGAGTGCATGCTCCCGGCACGACGATAGGCATCTTGTCTGCTTCTCTACCTCCCTCCTCCCTCCTCCCTCCTCCCCTCTCGCTCCCCTCCTGCTGCATGCTGTCTCGCGCCCTCTGCCTTCCTACACCGAAACCTGCATGGGCGCAGGGGTGAGCTATTTTTGGAGAGAAACTTTTTGTGTTCTCCATTACTGTCTTCATTTGTTCCTTAGAATTGATCTGAGGCAGGCTCATGTAAACCATCAGCCCCGCTGTGTACAGCTCTGTGAAGCCCACAAGGCCCCAGCTGGGGTTCACCTCGCCTTCTTCGACTTGCGGCTCTGCTGGGCGCTCTGGGTGGTGATGATGCGAACGCTCTCCTGCTCCTGCGCCTCCTTCTTGTCGCTCTTCATCATCTCCCCAGCCTTGAGGATCCCAGTCTTGGAGTTGTAGTCTGCCAGCATCGTCAGAACGACATGTCATGGGAGTGACTGATGAAGAAGAGTCGGGTTGCAAGGAGGAGCAGGAGCTGTGGCACAGGGGGAAGCGGGCTTATACTCTTACCAGACTCGAGTCGTGCCCGGGAGAGCTCCCAGCTGATCCACTTCTTGTTGCAAATCAAGTTTTTCAGCTCAGGATGAGAATACCTGCTCAAGATCGTCAGAGGTCTGACAGGAGGTAACTGCCCCCTCCACACCTCCCCCTTTGCAGGCGCTGCTCCACGTCGACATTGTACGCCTTGCTGCGGATCTTCTCCTCGAGCCATCTTGCCTGCCCCTTGATCTCGTTGTCAAGTATCATCGTGCTCTTTGCTAGCACCATCCCAAGAGTCAGCATAAGAAGGATCACCCCGTGCTCCATGATTCCCATCCCCCACATGAAGTTATACTGCTGCTCGTAGGGATACTCTCCAAACTCAAACCCGTTCTCAAAGTTCTTGAACACGGAGAGGAGGGGCAAGCAAACTCCCTCGACGAACTCGATGGAGGACGTGCTGTATCTCACCCGTGCTCCCTGCGAGCAAACGTTGTACCTTGCCGTATTGCCAGTCATCACTTCAGTCGAATCGCAGCTGGCGCAATTTCTCACCTCCACGGCTCCTGCAGGTGGGCACCAACGCGGATCCCGAAGGCGTCGAAGACTTGACCCATGGAGCTGCTTGTCAGCCCCAGCAAGGCGGCGTTGGTGATGACAGCAGCGTAGGCTGTCAAGGAGATGTAGAGACGGAACACCCCGATGCCCTTTACTTTGCGGGGCTCCGGACGTTGGAGGATTTTGACAAGTTTGAAAGCGTCTACCCTCAGCTGGAGAATGTTGTTTACAAGTGCGAAGCAGGGAGCGATTGGGAAGGAGGAGACGAAGAAGGTGACGTAACCTGAGAGCTGAGTAAAAACGACGTCAAAGAGGTGGACACTGGCATCACCGAATTGAACGACGAGCTTGACGTACAGGAACACGAGGTTCTGCTGCCCGAGATCCAGCTCAAGTCCAGCTGGGGACTCGCTGACCTCTCGATCCTTGTGCCAGGTGTGTTTGTCCTGCATGCTCACGAGACCTTGCTTCAACATGGTGCGAAACTCTTGGTTGCGCTTTTGCTTTCTGATCCAGAGCGGCCAAATGATCTGGAACAGGCGATGAGTGTCTGTGAGAATTACACGAGAATATGAAGGGTCGTTCCAATTATCTCAACATGGAACAGAAATTCCGGGCGAGGGTTAAGGAGGGAAAGAACAACAGGGTCCCACAAACAGTCAAAATTCAGACCTCGATAAACATTGAAAGACCCTGCCAATAACCAAAGATGACTGCAAAAGAAAAAAAACAGGCGTCAGACAAAAAGGAAGCGAACTAGCATCGCTCACTTGCAAGCTGAATTCCAAGCAGCATCCTGTCGCATATTGAGTCAGAGCTGACAGGGCTCAACAAATCATCTTTTACATGTTGGTTCCAAGTTGGCAGTAGTCGATGTTCTGCATGCTCTTCTTCCAGCATGGGTTTGGAATGTTCGCAACTTGAGTGCCGTTTGCAAACTGTGAAGAAGACTCGTTGGAGAAAGACAGTGAGCCAGTGAGCAGATCCCATGGTCTCACAGCAGAAGGAATAACGTACTGCGAGTTGTACGCCTCCGACCGAATCCCCGTGCAGTCCCTCTGAATCGTCTGCAGGTCCTTGTAGTCTCGAGGCTTGCAGGCAGTCCCGGCAAAGGCAGTGTGAAAGAGAGTGATGTTGGCTGAGAGGAGAAAGAAGGACAGGAGCTTGACAGCTAGAGCATTGTTGTAATCCTCCATGGTCTTGTGATTTTCCTTCTTCGTGAGCCAGACTACAACGCGACTGTAAATCTCATCCATCAACATAATGCCAAGTGCTGAAATGACTCCAATAGATCCGTAAAACCAGACAATCTGTGCAGCCCCGTCGGAAGGATTGATTTTGCCCCCAAAAGTTCTGCCAAAAAGAGATGGTGAGCATCAGTTGAGATTTCAATCATTAGCAAAGGGAAGTTGGTGTGGATCGAGAGGAAAACAAAAGGGGCAAGCGGGAGAATCGTGAAGAAACCAAGAAACGAAGAGAAAGGAGCAGAAGAAAGGGAAAGGAATAGGAAGGGTTACCGTATTACTCCTTGCGATGCCAGGAGAGAAAGGCCGAAAACTATACAGACGGCAACAGAGACAAGGTAGAACAGGATCGACACCCATTCCCACATCTTTCCCTTTTCTCGATGAAGCTCGTACAAGTCTGTATAAGGATCAAGTCGCCTCTCTCCTTTGAACTCCTTGCGAGGTTGCTCGTCATGTTCGAACTCTTTCAGACCCCACACGTGCAGCAGCTCGGCTTCATACTTGTTCCAGTACTGAATGAAAGCGATTGCCCAGACTGACATGAAGACGCAGTAGAACGGAACCCCAAGGTAATCGTTGAGAGCCCTTCCGTCCGGGGCTACAAAACTGTTTTACCATGTTCAGGAGCAAGCGGTAACATGTATGAACGGAGATGGGAAAAAGAGAGCTGCAGGAAGGAAAGGTTCTGTATGGAGCTACCTGTACATGTTGACAGCAAGACCGACGAAAGCAGCGATGTAGAGGAACCTGGTGTACACCCCGACCCAAGCAAAGTAGAAAGCTACCTCCTCACCGAAATAGTCTCGAATGTGGTGGAGAGGGGCCCTGAAGAGTCATTCAATCTCGAGACATCGCACAATCGCAACTGACCGGCAGAGCCAAAAGTTTGAGCTCTTGAGCATGCGAGGGAGCGGAACCACAGCCCAGTTCTCTTTGAGCCACAACCTTGCGTTCTCTTGATGAAGGGGAAAGACAGTGGAGATGAGCTTCAGGTTGATCATGTCGCTCAGGTCTATATCGACCGTACTCTCAGCTGATTCTGCCGACTCGAAGTGAAGGTCCTCCTGCTTGACCTTCTGAGTCTTGACCTTGACAGTCTTCGTAGCAACTGCAGCAGCAGTCTTAGCTTTCTTCTTCTTCTTGGACAAACTCCTCTTGCACGCTTCCTGTACAACCCGCATCAGCAGATCAACTCTGATGCTCGTCGCTCTCATGAGGTTCTGCAACACTTGAAGCTGAACCCACTTGTCCTTGGGCAAGGGAATTCTTGAGATCCCGTCTTTGAACAACCCCTGCTTCTTGTGGCGTTTGACGTAGAGATCGTACTGTGTGACATTCGTCTCCATGTTGGTCACGTGGCCCGGAACCTGTTTCTTCTCCTTGCCGTTTACCATCCGAATCTCATTGCACTCCTGATAGCGTTTAAGAATCTTTTCCTGCTTAATCTGCACCTTGACACGCGCCGTCTGTCCTTCGAAGTCCCACTTGCATTTCGGTGAGATCTTGTTCGGATTGATGAGGTACTCCGTGTCCATCCGGCGCGTTCGATCAATCCATGTTCCATCCTTCTTGTAGTCCGTGATGATTTGCTCAGCAATGTTTCTCAACGTCCCGTTGCTGGCGACTTCTTTCTCCAAGTCGTCCATGGAGGTCAAGGGATCCTCAAAGGCTGGAAGTCAACAAGAAGTCATCAATGAGTCTCGACGTCACGAGTCAAGAGAATAATGCAAGATCAGGTACCTATGTTGTGTTCTCCTTCAGACTTATATCTGGACTTTTGGTCGAACTCGTACGGAAGGTAGAAGTTCCGAAACCCTTCCTCGAACTCTCTTGTCAAATAGTTGATCTTCAATTTATCCGCCCAATAGTCATAGAACCCCATAAGAACCTGAACCTGGTGGATAACCCTCCCCTGCTCCCCTAGCTCCTCCTCTTCAGCGCTGATCTCTGCAAGAGGGATGCCTAGGACGTCCAGGAACTTGTCTCGCACACAGTTGACGCATTTCTCTCCGAACACTCTCCGTCGCACGCTCGGAATATGCTCCTCAATGTCACTCTGCGCATGCTCAAAGGGAATCCAAACTTTCTGGCTCCACTCGTCGTACGTCGGAGCTCGGATCAGGTAGAACCTGGGAAGGATGTGAGGAGAGAAGTGGAGAGCGCACGGCTACAGCTTGTCGCCGGATTTAGACTTGACGACTTTGACAATGACGTTGAGGGCTCGCAGCTCTTGGAGGAGCCTTGCTTGCAGCACTCGCCTCTCGATCTTTCCTGATCCATTCGGGTGATCCACTTCCTCCCTGCAGTCAGACGTCAAGGAGTCCAGCTCAAGAATGCACAGAGTGGGAGGGAGGGAGGGAGGGAGGGAGGGAGGGAGGGAGGGAGGGAGGGAGGGAGGGAGGGAGGGAGGAAGAGTCAGAACACTCAAAACACCGTAAAGTCAAGGACAGAGAACAACATGCTGGCACTCAATCATGTCATGTTTACTTGTTGGGACGATAACCAAACTCTCCCTTGTCGCTGTAGTAGTCTTCGAGGGGGATCACGATCACAAGCTCGTAACGATCATCCAGCGTGCCAACAGGAAGTCCCTCCTTGTCCAGCAGGCCGCGTGACCCCGGGAGCTCGCGTTCTTCCATGGCTCAGGTCGAACCCGCGCGGGCAGCAGCAGCCATCAGGTTCCCGCCTTGTGTGCTTCTAACCAACCTGTCAAAGTTTGATGCGTCATGCTGGCGCTCGTGATTGGAGTAGCGGGTTTCACTGCCTTCTTCGTTTCCTAGTATTTCATTGAGGCGGGTTCGTGGGCTTTATATCCTCGTCCTCTTTGTTTGCTCCGGTTTGCCGCTCTTTTTCAGTCAACATAAACCAAAAATTTCTCGATGGAGCAGGCGGAGGACGGTTGAGCAAACAGGGTGGGAGGATCGAACTTTCGAGCACTTACACAGTGCATCGGCTCGAGAGCGAATACGCAAGTCACGAATGTGAATGAAGGGAAACAACAGCTTGGCGATATCGAATCACCACCAACGTGGCCATTGTTATAACCTAGTCACACACTCCTAATCTCAGTGCCAGCAAAACAGGAATGCATGCCGAGTTTTTGCATTACCTTGTTGAGAATGCAGCGAAGTTAAGAATTCAGCTCGCAACCTCCTCAACACATCATTTCATTGCCCATTGCAGGATTGACATATACCCTTTTTACATTGACGTCCACCCTCCTTACTACAATTAGCGATCGACTGTTGAGCTGTTTAAGCAAGTGCGCGGCGCTATCCAATTGGCACAAATCTGCTCAAATTCCGAGTGGAAGAGCATGGTCGTCTCGCATGCAGACGCGGGACTCGCTGTCAGATTTTGTCGCTTTTACGGATGCAAGAGCAACTTTACAGGAGCCGAGGAGAGGGATACAAATCTGAAGGATTGCAGGGTCGCACGGGATCGCCTTATCAAGTTGTTCTTGTTCAATGTTTGTTGGCATCGAGAATGTTTACAGCGGAGCGACGCTTGATTTCATGCTAATGCCGCCACGGAGAACAAGCCGACGAATGAAAACTATGTGTCATTGTTTTATATGATAATCGTTGGAAGAAGACTATTTCTACATGTATCACTGCTCGGGCATCGCATCCGAATCAAACGACTTCACTACCTTTTCCCTGTCCCTCAAGATCAACAACATGCTGACTGCAGACAGCTTTGATGATCTTTCCTTTCCTCCCTCCATTGTGCTTGTACGGCCACTTCTGCACTCCCAGCTGCCTGCACACCAGCTTCATCGTCGACTTGCCGATGCCGATCTTGGCTGCCGCAACCTCGAGGCTCTCGTGGAAGTGTTCAGCGAGGCGCTCGAGGGTGATCTCGACGGGCTTGTCGGATTGGAAGAAGGACTGCCGTGACTGGACACGAACAATGCCCAGTACAGGCTGTTTGTACCTCGGTGCATTGCGATGAGAGGATGGCAAAACGGGAGCTGACTTGTGGGCATGTTGTTCAGCACGTTGTCTGCTGCAGATGCTTTCAGAACTTGAGAACTTGCCATGCGTGTCGGAGAGGAGACCATTGACATGGACGTCGTGTTGTTGTATGGATGGGTAAACATCGAGAGGAGCCATGTGCGTGTTGCAGTGATCTTCCAGCTCTTCGATTGGCTGCAGAGAGGGATGAGAGAGGGGAAGGCAGAAGAAGGAGTCCTGAAAGCTGGTGGAGGAAGAGTCATCGAGGCTTTGAAGGATCCAGGACGGCGAGCAATCATCAGCACTGTCGGAGGAGAGGTCCCAGGTCCACTCTGGAGAGACTAAGTCTTGTTCGTACAACATGGGATTGTAGAATCCTGTGTGGGTCGATGATTTCGAGGAGTGTGGTTGCGTTTGGGGAGAAGCGGAGACGGAGAGGGCGCGACAATCTTTTATGCAGTTTCGGAGGGGTCCAGGGGGCTGGTCCGGGGGGCAGTTGTGTGGATAAACGTTCCTGAATCTCGAGATAGAGGGCACATCAATACTGCACCTAATATTCCCCCACTTTTGTTTAAGCGAACCTCGTTATGATTTGTAAATGCATCTTTTGGAAGAATGCTGACCTGTCATTAAGGTGGTCGACATGCACTTTGTGACTCTCAAAAAACGTCGAGTCGAGTACAGGAAGGCGCCTGCCATGGTTTGCCTTGGTCTCACCACGTCGAAGCATGAAGCCAGCCGCAAGAGGCCACTAGCTCAACACTAAGTTGAACCTGGCCCAGCGCCGGAGCCGCTTCCCGAGTCCTGCGGCACTCCGTGACATTGGCGAGCCTTACCGTAGTGCCGCGTCCGGTCGAGTCCCGCCGGGGCGGGGCCAGTGACTGAGGCTCAGGTCAGTGACTTGACTGACAGTGAATGACTCACGGTGAATCAGGGGGCCGGGTCACGTACGGTCTCTCGTACGGTACGCCGGGATTCACCCGGTATACGGTACCGTACCGTGACGGCGGCATGTATCGGGAGTCCGATGATAGTATGCCGAGTCACTGCGGCCGCGGCAGCCGCTGAGCAGCCCCCCGCGGCAGCCCAGCGGCTCCACTGGCCCCAGTGCCGTCACTGCTACTATCATCATGGCAACCTGAGTATGATCGCCGGTCCGATTTTTCGAGTCCGAGGCTCTCACGGCGAGTCAAAGTGAGAAGTGACATCATTGGCCGCGTAAGTGAGGCCGCCGGGGCTGCCCGGTGACGCTCGGGCCGCGGGACTCGTTTGCCAAGTTGAATGTTCAATCGGCCCGGGGCGGCCCGGCCTCCGGCCGCGCGGGGACTCAGCCTGGGCTTGGTTTAGCCTAAACCAGGCCGCGCCCGGCATTGCCCCGGGCCGCCGGACCTCGTGATATAATTACTACACAAAGATTACAGTTTAACTCCAAGCACGGACCCCTCAGATCCGCCCTACTTCACAACACAGTCACGGCAAGATCATCCGATCCATGATTGGTGCGGGGGGGCTACGAGGAGGGACCGATCGCCTTATAAACGCGACTGCCCACTCGACGATCCATCCAAACCTGCTGTAAGCTGCCAGCATCGACGCTTGCACACGCAATCAAGACTCCATCATCTCATCGTCGGGGGTACACTTGTGCTATGGAGTCGTACGAACTCACCTACGGCATTCTTCGTTCTGGCGTGAGCCTGGATTTGGACGACACGTTTACTTCCTACTCCACTTGGCTTAATGATGATCTTGAAGACTCTCTCTCAATCGTTCCTCTCTTTCACCCCTCCCGCCTCCCCCTCCCCGAGGCAGAATCAGCGATCACCGACTCCATTGCATCACACGAATACGCTGAGCACGTTCCTTCCGAGATGACAAGATCAGATCATGGTGATCAGCTTCAAGATGCAGCAAGGTCATCAAGACAGGACGTGCCGGATGGCAACATACGTGAATCAAAGACCGGCATCGTGCGAATTCACTCCCGGCAGGTGGATCTCCAGTCCAGCAAGCCCGTCGAGATCACCCTCGAGCGCCTCGCTGAACACTTCCACGAGAGCCTCGAGGTTGCGGCAGCCAAGATCGGCATCGGCAAATCGACGATGAAGCTGGTGTGCAGGCGGCTGGGAGTGCAGAAGTGGCCGTACAAACAAAGTAGAGTCAAGAGGGTCGGAGTTGTTTAATGCTATTTAGAGCATGCTTGCATCATTTTTCTACTCTTGATTATGTAAATCTTAGCGATACACTAGGAGGCTCTTGCCTGTCTCGTTGCGCTGTTGGTGTGTAGCTGCCGCTAAGCGCATGTAAGCCGCTGCATCATGGTGACCCCTCCGCCCTTTGGTCTGCCTTCCCAACTTTGCTGATAATATCCTGAGGCGGGCTGCAAATTACAATCAGAGGCGAACACAATGGTGCGAGTAGAGAGGAGGCGCGTCCACAGGAAGGAACTCAGCTCTAGATCTTGGTTCCAGGTGTGAAGATGTAAGACTTCATGCTGACTTTCTCCCGACTTGTTGGCGTTCGCGGCATCCAGCTCCTTGTGTTGCTCCTCAGTCAAGTTTGCCTGGAAGGAAGTTCGGACATGGTGGCGTCCCGCGGGGCGGATCTGAGTACGAGTCCGCTCTGGGACAAACCGACGCAGAGGAATGTAGAGCTGAAGGAGGAGAATGATTCACTGCAGAAGAGGAAAGGAAAGAAGACATCGAGGAAGAAGCTTCTGCGGTTTGTATCAAGGCTGTCGAGCGATGTGATCCTTGACTGAATCGTGATTGGTCAGGAGGCTGGCAAAACTGCAAATGAAGATCGACGAGCATGAAAATCGTTGCGAGAAGCTGATTGAGATGACTGACGTTGGAAGAAACTTCACTGTGAACGAGGCTTCAAACGATGGGGTGAGCATCGGGGTGCACAATTTTGTTGTGAACTGAATTGGTTTTGATGTGACAGTCAGACTCCACCGAGATTGACCCGCAAAGGTCAGTGGCTGCTGGCAAGAGGGAGGGAGAGAGACTCTTCTGACACAGGAAGAAGGTGGCTGGTGATGGAAAGGAAGAGAATATCGAGGTTGTACGCCTATCGCTCAAAGCTCGAAGACATGTATGACCGTCAGTTTGGGAATGACTCGGACCTGGATTCTGTGGATGACTCAGAAAAGGAAATCCCCTGGGCTGAATGTGAGAAGTGTGGCAAGGAAAGGATCACGACACGTCTGCTACTTGAGGATGAAGCCTTTGTCTGTGGCCAGAGCACAACTTGGGCGAACGTCATTGTGAGCGCACCATGTTCCACTCCTCTCTGTCGGAATGATGTGATGCATGTTCTAGGCGGAGGGCCAATCAACTGCAGCTATCCTCAGGTAATGCACGTCTGGTAAGGATAGATATTGAGATAGATCGCAGGAAACGGAAGAGGATGCCGATCTTGTACCCCCCCAGCTCTTCCTCAAGGTGAGGAGGAGGACTACTAGGCGTGCGGTTGTGTGAGCGTCTACGAGCAGCCGGGCAAGAAGCATACGGACCCGCTTCTTCGTCTGTGCGGCCCTAATGACGGAGCCTTCATCGTTCCTGGACCAGGGTTCACCCTTGACCGACTGAAGCTTTCGTTTGAGAGTGAGTAAGTCGATGGTGCTTCGGTAGTCGTGAACTTGATCTAGACAACAACGATACTATCATGGCCGGCAAGGATGAGACGCCGTTGGAAAAGTTCATTCGAATCAGTGCAGGTACATGCCATGGGAGTATCGACTGGTTGTCAGCTGTGCGCACAGCCGGGGAAGACTCTCGAACAAGCATGCAGAGCTTTCGCCAGATCTCAACACTTTGGGGATATTGCAAGCGAGGTTGAACATTGTAGCTGATAGATACGACTTGCAGTCACAGATCTTGCAGTGGTGACCAAGAAATATCAGACAGACTTGCATTTCTTGCAAGATCTGAGCCATGTCGTTGAGGCATACAACTCGCAGGAGATCGGCTCAACATGGATGGGCATCGATGACATTCAGAAGATCTGGAGACCCTTGGGAGGAAGCAGGCCGCCCTCAGCAAAGTTCCTAAGAAGAAGAACTCCTGTTGCTCTGTCCGATCATGTTCGCGCGATCGAACGACTCATCTCTACCGGGCACGCAGGTACGTCGTCCCTGTAGTCGACATGTGAATTTGCTGACACATCTCCAGACAAAGCGCTCTTTGCATTCTTAGAAGTCGTCAAGAGGAAGATTGTAGTGGTAGCTCTTGGTGTGACACAGGAACTGACACCAATGGTACAAGGTGAAGGATGATCATGTCATGCATGTCATCCGACTCTTCGGAAATGCCAGACGAGCGGACTGTGCAGACATCGCACTTCAAGAAGCAAGTACTGAAAATTTAGTTCTTGAGGAGAAAGGTGATAACTTGGATCTTGAAGTTAAACAAGATGGTATCAAGCCATCTTGCTTCATCTACAACATCATCATCGCAGCGTATGCATCGGATCCTCATGTCAGTCAAGTCCTTTCTCTTGCATGGATGTCAAGTAACGATGCTTGTAGACATGGAACAGAGATGGCCTGTCAGACGCACTTGCTCAGCTACAAATCATGATGAGCCAAGGAAAAATTTATCACAGTCACGCATTATATGCTGACCTGCTCTCCAGGCCTGACACCCAACAAGTCGACTCTGATGCTCGTGATCGAGATGTGCGGGAGATCATGCAGCGGTCAGGATTGGGTTGGACTTCTAGAAGCCTACGACATTCCTTTGCTTGCGAGAAACCTGTCAATTGAGGTAATCGATGTTTAAGTTGCCGCGTTGAGAGAGCAATCAGGTGGATGAAGAGATTCTTTATGGGATCCTGGATTGTTGTCGAGTGTGGATGGCAGCAAACAAGACATGTCCATTCACAAAAGTTTTGGATACGTTGACCATGTATGGTCAACAAACAGAGGTTTGTAAACTCACGAATAAGCTGCTGCAGGATGAATGCATCGGGTCTAGAACCCCCTCCTCCTCATTACATGGAAGACATGCTCGAGGTTGCTGTGCAAATGATAATCAATCCAAATTACCATACAATGACGATCCTTGCTATATCCAAATATGTCTTCATGGTTTCAGTGTCAGTGAGAAGATATGATTGACAATGATGATGGAGATGGCGATGATTGTGATGCAGGAGGGGGTGACGATGGTTATGATGGAGATGATGAGGATGCGTTTATGGAGATGGTGGTGGTGGTAATGATGATTGAGATGATGCTGCTGCTGCTGCTGCTGCTGCTGCTGCTGCTGCTGCTGCTGCTGCTGCTGCTGCTGCTGCTGCTGCTGCTGCTGCTGCTGCTGCTGCTGATGATGATGATGATGATGATGATGATGATGATGATGATGATGATGATGATGATTGAGGTGATAAAGATAAAACTATTAGGCTAATGATGCCGATACCATCATAGTTATTTCTCATGATGGCGGTGGTCGTGTTGATAATGTTGATAATGATCATTACGCTGATTTGCAGGTGATTCCGTCCAGCATTGACAAGTTTCGCATTTTCCTCGTTTGGCTACAAATTGTACATTACAGAATGTCTGTTGAAGAGTCACAGACGCACCCCGGTATTCATCCTATACAAACACCTCTTAGCAGTGATTAGCAGTGGTCCTCCTCCTTCTCCTCCTCCTCCTCCTCCTCATCATCATCATCATCATCATCATCATCATGATCACCACCACCACCACCACCACCAATACCACCATGATCATCATCATCATCATCATCATCATCATCGTCATCATTGTTTTATTGTGACAATCTTGTGTTTTCCTTGAGTCCATGTTCTTTCTTGCCAATAGCTTTGTAATAATTGCATGCAGGATGGACGGATCTTGAGGAAGTCAAACTCCATTTTAAAGGAATCGTAGACACAAGTATAACGTGATGATTTATTGCATGCATACAGAAAGAGAAAAAGAAGAACATAGAAAAGGCAACAAGCAAAAAAGTGAAACACAGGCAGAAAAACCGAGTGTGTATAGTGTGAAAATCAGAAGGGTTGTGCTGTCAAAATTGCTGTGAAAACAACTTCAAGCCTTCAAAATATAAACGATGAGAAACTCGGGAAGAGCAGCCGCGTCATTGTACACGACCAGCTCGTCATAGTTAAGGTTCGGGCCAACCTCACCCACCACGGAATCATATCCGCGAGGGGGGAGCAGTCGCTCGTCAAGGATCTCTGCTTCAATGGTCTTGAAAACTTTTCCTGCTGCGACGCTGGCAACGAGCATACACCTCCACGCGTGTCCTCTTCTCTCCCTCTCCGACCCCTCCGCATAGTCGTTGCTCTTGCCCGATGTCGCTGAGAAATATATCCCGTTGCCGTATCTGTGCGAAGAATGTCAGGGAATCTTCAACTTGCACCAGAACCTCACTCCATTATCCCTACACAAAGATTGCTTGTTTTCCCCTCCTCTCCCACCAGAACCCCAACTCCATCAATCCAGCAAAACAGAATCCCAACCGCACAATCATCGGCACTGACAACATAAAGGGTTTCATATCACCTCAGCCTCCTGAGAGAGATGTTCGGTCCATTCCCAGCAAATCTCTTCGAGAAACCCGATGACAGGATGTTACAAACTCGGCATGTCTTCGACTCACATGGAGGAGCCCCAAGGTCTATGCCGAAGTCGCACTCAATGCTCGTCCCGTGAAACCTTCTCCGCACATTCCCGACTGACAGCGCGTACCTATCGAACCTCTCCTTCACGTGGGGGGAAGGAACGACTTGATACACTCGCTGCACTCGAGGCTCTCCGGGCTTCTTCCATGCCCTCAGGAACTGATTGATCACATCTTCCCTCTCCTGAGACTGTCTCGTCAGTAGCAAGCAGCTGTAGTCTCCTGTCGCGCCCATGAAGCATCGTTCCACGTCGTCACGTGGAGGAGGCAGTAGCATCCTCGAGCTCGCTCTCTCCTGGTGGTCTGAGCTACAGAAACCGTAGCTTCCTGCTTCGTTGGAGCATCCTGGCAGCCCGCATCGCGTCCTTCTGTTCCCTGGGTACCCCCAAGGACCTTGAGGCCGAGCAACCTCGAGGGCCCGGAGCTCGTCAGCCTCTCGCTGGCGCTGCTCGGCCCTCCTCAGCTCTTTTGAGTGCAGCCGCTGAGCCAGGATCCTGTCATTCTCCTCTTGGCACGCCATCATCTGCTCCCGCAGCACGTTTGCAGCGTAGAGAGCGTTCAGCCCCACTGATGAACAGCCTTAGAACAGGGCAGCAAGAGCATGTTCGAGCAAGTCAGCCGCACCTGTTAGCTCAAAGATATCTCTGCTGCGAAGAAACTCGTTGTAGCAAGCAGTCACATGCTCTGCAGTCCCCTGGACACACATTCAATTCCCTCACTCCTTCTCGATGGAACTAACGAACCTTTCCCTGCATCGCAATTTCATGCAGAGATCGGATCTTCACCTCGTGGTTATACAACTCTCCATCCACGATGTCTTCTACTACTCGCGCGCTCACGTACAAGGGAGCTGCTTGCATGCTTGGTGGAGGAGCCTGATCGTTGGCAGCAACGACCAACAGAGGGGAGGAGGGGAAAACGTGGAAGGCAAGGGGAAGGAGAGGGGATGGAGACGGCAGAGGCTGGCGGGAGGAGCGGGGGCGAGCGGGTTGAGAGGTCAGAGCGGTACTGTAGCCAGCCAACCAGCAGCACGCAGCATTTCGTACTTGTGCTGAATGCGAAATATTGTTTCAAAAATTGAAAAGTTTAGATGATATTTCAATTTTGTAACACAAGACCCAATTCTACCAACGAAACCCGCCTTCGGCTGCATCAGTTCACCCTACCCCTCCTTTTCTAGGGATTTCCACCCCCTCCTACTTCAGCGCCGCCATGGCATACGACTACCTCGTCGTCGTCGACTTCCAGGTGTGTTAGATGTAACAGCATGCGCATGCTGTTCTGGCAGCCTGATGATCAAGCTACCTTCTCATCTCTTCCGATCTTCACGTGATTAATGGCATCTGCTGCTTGATCCAACAGCCTTCGCCCTCCCCTCCTGCTCCTTCTCTTGCTGCCCTTCATCATTCGTGTTGGATTTTTCAATGTGAGCCTCTGCATGCCAGGTGTCGCAGACCAAACAGATTGCGGACGCCAATGAGCAAGAGGTGAGGAGAGAGGAACACGCGCCGACTTTGACGGTGATGGTGCTCGTTCGGTCTAATTCGTCCTGCATTGCTAGATCTTTGAGTTCTCCTGGGTCGTCGTGGACGTGCAGGGCCGTCAAGTAGTTGATGGCGTTCAGTTGTTTGTGCGGCCTACCATGTGCGAGGACGCAGCACTGGAATACATCGCGAGCTCGCGGGGAGACGATGCGGCGAGAGTCGTGCGCGAGTCAAAAGGCCTGCAGCATGCAGTACAGGTTGACCACGAGCATTCTTGTGCTGCCTGACGGATGGAGGCAGGAATTCAACGACTACTTGTACCGAAGCTTCATGGCAACCAACAAAGATTTCTGCCTCACTTCCTTCGGTCAAGCTCCGATCAAGCGATGGCTATGGGGTAAGCAGGAGCTTGAGGCTTGTCACAGAGATGGAGGAGGATCGGGTTGGGGCTGGTGACGGGCGATGAACAGCCCTCATGATGGATTGAGAATGGAGCGGGGAAGGGGCAGGGAAGGGGATTGGAGACGGGCAGGGGAAGGGATCATCGATATAACGCCTGGTGGGGTTGGGAATGAAAGGGAGGTTGGGAGTGGGTTTGCTGCAGGAGGCTCGTGGAAGCAGGAGGAAGGGGTTGATCAGAGGGGCTGGTAGATGGGTTGCAGGGAGGCACGAGCTGGAGAGCAGAGACCAAGTTGTTGGGTTGGAGGCAGGATTGGAGATCTGTATTGGGGGAGGGAAGGGAGGCCGGGGGGCGAGGGGAAGGGCAATAAGGTGTCGTTGAGAAATATGGTGACGAAGAGGGAAAGGGTCTGGCTGTGCAAATTGAACCGAGATGGGGAGGAGAAGCAGGACAGGAGCTGAATAGGAAGGAATGCGGAGGAGCAAGGGACGGGTCAGGGGATCCTGAAGATGGTTGGGTCGGCATGCAGGGAAGGGAGGTGGGGGAGGAAAAAAATAAGAAAGAAAGGGAAGACGATCGACATGAGGACGAGCTTGAGCATGGGAGTCAGCCATACTCCGAGCAGAGCTGTTATCCGAAGCAGCAAAGATGGATGAAGAATGACCTCACCATGCTCCCTGCCTCCGAACCTCGCTTCCTTTGCTTTTCCACCCTGATAATTCGTTGTTCATCACAGTTGACGCGAAGAGAAAAGGAGTCAAACTCGTGGCCCACTATTCCAAGTTTATCAATGTTGAAGACGAGTTTCAGCATACGTACCCTCGTCTTGCCAAGCTCGGGGCACCCTCCCTGCTCAGCATGGCCGAAAGACTTGATGTCCATCTGGAATCCTCCCAGAAGGTGAACTATTCAAAATACTTTAGATTTAGGGTCGTTGTGTCCTTTCCGTTGATTTCTTCCTTGTTTGAGTCATTCCCTAGTCCCAGTGCCTCAACTCTATTGAGCTTCTCGTGACCTTGTTTGACAATTTTCTTTCCTACAGGATAGTTTGCAAATTTGCCGTTCTGTATCAAATATTTGCATAAAGATGCTCGAGGATGGCGCAACTTTTACAAACTCAATCAAAATTGCAGATGATTATGATGGACTGCAGGATGAAATGTTTCAAGGTGATACCTTTGAAGCAAACTTCCTTCGTTTGTGCACCTCCTGAATATCCTCTGACGTCAAAGAATGCTTCCATTTTGTGATGATCTATTGCCTTGATGTCTTGTCCATGATTTCCAACAGAGCAAACATGTAATTTGTGTTCGTCGATGTGATTGTATTTCTACCTCAGGTTTGCACGATGACGGGGATCACAAGCAGCATAGATCTTCACCTCCACGAAGTCGCAGAAACCGAGAGGATGATGACGATGATGACGATGATGACGGAAGACAAAGAAGAGATCGGGCAAGAGATCATATCGATGAGCGATCAGATGCCCAGTCAAGAGGAAGAGAAGTTGAAAGAAGCCATGGGCGAGGCACACATGAAAGTGATCAAAGGAGTCGCAGCCCAGAAACGGTAGCTGCAACCTGCCATTAATGGTTTCTAACTTTTCTCACTCGTTTTCTCTTCGTTTTCTCCTCGTCGTCTCTCTCTCATGATCTCGCCCTCTCCTGTCTTCATCCTCACCTTTCACCCTCTGTGGCCTCTACGTGGTGTCAACAGCTCGCTCGTCGAGACCGAGGCAAAGGCTCGCTCGTGGTGAAATGCCGTGGTCTCCCCTACTCTGCGTCCGTCGAAGATGTCAAACGATTTTTCTCTGGGATCTCAGTGGAAGACGAGGACATCGTTATCTGCCTTGGGAGGGATGGAAGACCCAGGTTGACCTCCCTTCCTCCAACCTCTTAGCAAACTCGTCCGTCTCGTTTTAGTCATACTTGTATCTTTATGTTGGCACGTCTTTTTCTCTCGCCCTCGTTTCTTCTTATGCTTGCTCATCTTGACTTGTGAATTGTTCTCCTTCTCTGTCCTTCTATCGCGTTCCTCCCCCCCACCTTTCTTTCCTCTTCATATCTTTCGCATGTTGTCATTATCCTCGCTGCTCATGTTCTCTTTCAGCGGCGACGCTTTTGTCAAGTTTGTGAGTGGAGGAGACATGGCGTCCGCTCTCGAAAGGGACCGCTCGATGATGGGCCGAAGATATGTGAGTGAAGATGCGGCAGGAGGATGTGGAGGAAGGGAGGTGCTAGGAGGGAAATGCAAGAGTTGGAGGAAAGGGCAAACAGGTTCCTGCCTGGGAGGAAATATCCCTGACAAGAGGAAACAGGTGGAGGTGTATGCAAGTTCGCAGGCAGAGATGGACATGGCGAGAAGTCAAACCAGCCCGGAGAAGATCTTTGAAAGCATCGAGCCAGACTGCAACGGTGCGAAGGAGAGACCATAATGGGAGGGAAAGAAAGGAGGCAAGGGAGGGGGGTAGGGTGATGGGGGATAACGTTGGTAAGGGGATGTGAGACAATGGCAGAAACTAACGATAGAGGCAGCTATTGTCAGGATGAGAGGTCTGCCATTCAGTGTTAGGGAGGAGGACATCCGAGAATTCTTTTCCGGGCTCCTCGTTCGTCCACATGGGATCTTCTTCACTTCTTCAAGGGATGGAAGGCCAACTGGGGAAGCGTTTGTCATCTTCGAGAGGGACGATGAGGGTGAAAAAGCGCTTTCCTTGGACCGCAAGCACATGGGAACTCGTTACGTCGAAGTTTTCAAGTCCAACAAACCAGACCTGGTCCGCTTGTGTGCGGGCTGCGTTCCTGCAGTTGCCCCTTCCATGCCTCCTTCCCTTCCTCCTTCTCTTCCTCCTCATCCTCATCCTCATTCTCATCCTATGCCTGGCTCTCTTGGTGGGCAGGAACTTCGCAGAAGGGAAGCGTCGCCTCGATCAGATGGAGGATACAAACGAAGATTGAGGGAAGAAGGGATGCTAAGGAGAGACGACGGAATGCTCAGGAGAGACGACGGGATGCTCAGGAGAGACGACGTAATGCTCAGGAGAGACGACGGGATGCTCAGGAGAGACGACGTAATGCTCAGGAGAGACGACGTAATGCTCAGGAGAGACGACGTAATGCTCAGGAGAGACGACGGGATGCTCAGGAGAGACGACGGAATGCTCAGGAGAGACGACGGAATGCTCAGGAGAGACGACGGAATGCTCAGGAGAGACGACGGAATGCTCAGGAGAGAGGAGGGGATGCTCAGGAGAGACGACGGAATGCTCAGGAGAGACGACGGAATGCTCAGGAGAGAGGAGGGGATCATCACGACGGAGGACGGTATGCTTGTGCGTGCAGATTTGATTGGAGCGCGAGAAGGAGGGATGATGACGAGACCCGATGTCATGCCGCGAAGGGAGGAAGAGCTTAGGAGGAGAGAACCCATTCCTCCCAGGGAGGAGATGCTGCAAAGGAGAGGCACACGAGGAAACGAGATGCTGATGAGGGAGGACATGATGCGCACGCAAGGAGGGATGAGCAGGAGAGAGGAGGAGATGCGTGTACCTGGGAGGGTTGAATGGAGAGAGGGGCGGGACATGTCGGCAAGAGGAGCCGCAAAAGACCTGGTGGTGAAGGTGAGGGGGCTGCCTTACAGCGCCAAGGAAGCAGACGTCTTTGATTTCTTCTGCTCCTCCAAGTGAGACCATACTTCCTCCCCGTCTCTCCTGGCCGTCTCAGCTCCTGATAGATCTCTTGCTTTTTGCTCCCACATACCCAACCTCCCTGCCCCTCCCTCCCCCTCCCTGCCTCGAGATATTGCTGTCATCCTCTGATCTCTTGCTGTCACCCTCTGATCTCTTACTGTCACCCTCTGATCTCTTACTGTCACCCTCTGATCTCTTACTGTCACCCTCTGATCTCTTACTGTCACCCTCTGATCTCTTACTGTCACCCTCTGATCTCTTACTGTCACCCTCTGATCTCTTACTGTCACCCTCTGATCTCTTCCTGTCAGCGTCAGGCCGAGTGGCGTGAACCTTATTCAGAACGCGCGAGGGGAGAGCAGCGGGGATGCATACGTGGAGCTTGGGAGCGAGGAGGAAGTCATGCGCGCGCTCGCTCTCCATCGTTCCAACTTCGGCCATCGATACCTCGAGATCTTCAGGACCAGCCGAGCTGAAGTCCAGGACAACCTGAGGGGTGGGGTGAGGGAAGTTCCCCCGGTCCTAGAGAGACCGCCAGACCGGAGGCCCGTGGCCTCTTCCTCGACCCTCCGGCTTCGTGGCCTTCCGTTCCATGTGGGGAACAAGGAAATTGTCAGCTTCTTTCGCGGGTTTCAACTTCTTCCAGAGCTCATTCAGGTGGTCGTGACTTCACTTGGACTCCCGTCTCGCGCGTCTTGACTTGTGCTGTCGTTTCTTTGTAGTTGAAGAATCATTCCCTTGCTCTCCTCCCTCTTGACTTGTTGTATCTTGTTTGTTGTGACTGTGCTCACCACCACCTGTTCTTCCGCACTTATGTTCTAATTTTCTGCTCAGCTTGGCCTAAAACCCGACGGAAGAACCTCAGGAGAGGCGTGGGTGACCTTCACCTCCTCAACAGAAGCTCAGCGTGCGATGCGATCCATGGATAGACAGCTCATGGGGAACCGCTACGTCGAGATCTTTCCTGCATGATGTGCTGATGCAAGACAGGAAAATACAACCAAGTCTTCCAACACCTACCGAGGAGTAATGCTGTGCCTCTCATGATCACTGCAACTTGGAAGCTGTTCAGTTTACTCATGACGATCTAAGAAAAGTGAGATCATTTAATCAAAGCCTAGTTACTTTCCTCTGCTTGTCTCACCCATCTTAGCTTAGATACACCCAATACTCAACCTTCTTCTCCTTCACTGTCCGTACCTCCCCTCGGGATGCATAGTTAGTCCAAACAGGAGCAGAAAGTCCCTGTAGTGGGCGTCAGTCAGCAGCTGCTGCATCATACACGCTTACTGTCTCTAGCATCTCGTCTCCATCACGAAGCGCCTCGTCCGAGATCATGTTTCTCCTCCCTGGCGCAGGAATCCTTGCTGTCTTGGATTGAACTTGCAGATCAGCTTGATCAGTCTTCATCATCACGGTGTCTCGCAGCGAAACGCCAGCCCTGCACAAGGCACATCATTCCCAAACGCAATGAGAGCGCATGCGCAGCACTTAGAAGCGATCGTGTTGAGAAGATCTCCTGGAAGTGCATCCCCTTGGGCAACCACCTCGCCGTCCTTAACGAAGTAAATAGTAATCGCCTTCCTCACTCCCTTCATCCACGGATCTTGAGACAGGCCGTCTGGTCCTGCAGGAGGAAGATCTTCATTGGCCAGCGCATTCTGAAACGCCTTGGCTACTCCATCGAACAAACCCATCCTGATGGCTGATCTCTGCCTGCAAGTCAGGGGTCTCGTCACAGAGGAGAGCGCAGGAGCACCTGAGACCTGAGTCGGCATGCGTGCTGCTGTGGTCTGCATGCTGGAGCCATCGGGCTAGGGGAGATGAAGGCGTCGGCACATGCCAACAAGCACCCTGCCACTATCAGCATTCGTCGTGCCATGGCCTTACGTAAAAGATCTGATGCCTGACAACTAACCCACCTACCCCTATCTACGTTTGTAAGATTATCACCCTACCCTAATTGTATTGCATCAAAATGAGTTTTCATGACCCGTCCATGATTAACCCACCCCTTTTTTTCCTCCCCCTAAAACGTAAATGTCCGCTTGCCTGCAGTCAGGTTGCTTCTCCTCCTCGTCTCCCTCCCTCCCGCAAGCACGGGGTCTCTCCGCTCGACAGCCAGCGGTCCGTGTGTGCTGTAGCCATGCCCTGAGGTTTTGACCCTCCTTCACACAACCAGTACGAAACTAAAAGAGCACAGCGTACCCAGCAGCCATGATCAGAATTTCACGGCTGTCTGTTTCACCACGCACGCAGTACACTGGACCTCTGAGATTCCGAAGTCCATCTGACATTGACGAGAGCCAAGACTAGAGTCTCGTCCTCTTTCTTCATGCACAGATAGCTCCTTCTTCAGAATGAACAGGACACAAGATCATCAGGGTCATTGTGTAGCAAGGAACGGAATGAAACCAAGATCAAAACAATCTTAGCAGATTATCCTATGGAGGCAACAAACTAACTGTGCAATAGACGTTTGGATCAAAAGCGTTGATTTTTGATCAAAAGTTCAACTTTGGCAGCCAGGGTGTACTCCGAGGCTGGATGCTAGGGACTCCGACTCGAAGTAGCAGATAACGGAGAAACAACCCGTGTTACGTACGTGCCAGTGGGTGAGAGGAGTAGAACTTCCGGAAATTGACTTGTATCAAGGGTCATACCATGTGTAGCTTCTTTTATAGTCCTGACTCTCAAGGAATAGACCAATCTTATGCTTGCCCCTTGGACCTCACAGGATTTCTTGACGTAGCTGCTTCCTTGTCACTGAGGCAACACAGTAGCAATCCTTGTTCTTCTTCAGTGTCCTGGAATAGCTCGAGAATCGGTCATTCTTTGCTTGCTAGCATCGCCCTTCATATCGATGAGAGGACTTGGCCTATCAGCCTACGTTATCAAGTTGAGTTGTCTGTCGTAGCTTGTCCCGGTGACCGGCGGTGACCGGTGAGCAGGGACTCTAAATGAAGCTAACGCCCGTCACAACCGGCGTAGAGTCCAGCGAAGTTCGGAGGGCACGGGCAGCGGCTGCTTGCCACCGACCCTGACCTACTCGCCGTTTGGCGTACGAGGACAATAAGGAGAGACGGTCGAGGAGCCGGACTCGAGGCTTGACCCTCCTGAGCCGGGACACTGTCGCAGTTGAACTCTGCCGGCGAACGAGCCTAGCCTAGTAGGAGGCTTCCAATCATGAGTTCACGAGTACCTCGGCGGCGAACGGATTCAGCCGAGATGCCGCACGGCCCGAGGCCGCGGGCCGGGCGGCCGGGCTGAAACTTGAAAGTCGCCGGCGGCCGGGCCCGGAGTCGGATTACGGGCCGTTACCCGGAGACCGTGGGGGACTCGGGGAGCCGCGGAAGGTGTCGCCGTCAGCTGGCGATACGTATAAGGGGGCGCCCGCAATCGTCGGAGTTGCGAACCTCTTCACGTCACCCGCTCAACGTGTCGCCGCCTTGCTCAAGGCGCAGGTGCTAATTATGTGGCCCACCTCCCCGCCATGGGCGCAGCTAGTTCCTATCAGAGTTCCTAAGAGTAGGTCCTACCAGAGGCATACTGGGGACACCTCCCATCCTCGAATAGAACTTTTGCCCCCTGCCAGACGTTTACTACAGGGGATGATTGCGCGAGATAAGTAAAACTTAGTGCCATGCGGATAGGATCTTTGACTAAAAATCGACCCAGTGAGGGTAGTTTTGCTCAAACTGAGGGGTGGTGGAGAGGTGATGGGTTATGAATTGGTGACCCAGTCATTGGTGATACGTTGCATCAGCAGTCTCGGAGCTCCTAAAGTCCGAGATGGCGTGTCGTGCATACGTGATATACTGAAATGAACGCCATGATGAAATGGAATATCCATCCAAGGAGACGAAGAGCGTCAGTCAGAAGGCCAAACGTTCCTGTATCTCGTCGCTTCGATATCTGAGCATGCCGCTCAAATCATGATCTAAAGAAGTCCGAAAAATATTTTCAAAAAAGAGAATAATGCGGACCACCCTACCAGTCTTTATTCTCTGATTTACCCTTATAACAAGGGGTACATTGCAGTGATGGCTTGTCCCATGCCTCTCTCCCCACTAGTCTGATTTCGACGGAACTACCCCTACCTACTCCTCATCAAAATACCCCACCCCCTCCAAATCGGTTGCCCACCCCTACTCCAAATCTGCAGCTTTGCTTCGTTTTCTGCCAGATTGACACGTATGATATGCCACCCCTGGATCCTAGTACCCCCTTTCAAGTATGACCCCCGTGAGAAATACCCTAAACCTTGTGAGTGATTGCAAAGGCCAACCTTCCGCTATCAGGGGTCTTACATTGGTATAGAAAGATGATAATATTTGACCGGGTAGCCTTCTCCTAGAGCATATGAGCATATAGCAGACAGCATGTATCACAACCTTCACCCCACCCCTGCTCCATGTGGCGTTAAAGCCCTCTAGGGTCTTTGCGTCCCTTCATTATTTTTAAACCTGACCTACCCCCCACTAAAACACCCCTACCAACCCCAGGCTCTTCATTCACCCCTGTAGCCTGGTACAGATCCAATTCATCACCCTACCCCTCTGGAGACCATGACCCTAGTTCCGAATCTAAAAAGTACCACCCTACCCTGGAGAATCCGACTACCCGACCCACCAAGTACATGCACCGTCCACCACCCTATTCGTCGGGGAGACAAATAGCGGGGAGTACTAATAGCTCCATCCCCTCAAGCCCCCTTCCGCTTCCTGCTCCCACGCTGTCTCAACGTACCTAGAGACCTTGCCCCTCACTCCTCCTCTTCTCCTCCCATCCTGCTACTATTTCTCCTTCTCTCCTCCCATCAATCAACAACAAGCTCTTCGGCCAACAAGATTGTGAACTCCTTACTGTAATTCACAAACATCGGCATATTCACATACCAAAATGCGCAGACCCTGCCAACCGCATGCAGTTCTGGAGCAAGAGCTCAGCATCTTGCTTCAGACGCAGAAACGAGTGGAAGAAAGTGCAGCAGCGATGATGAGAGGCTGTGAGCTTGACATGGCGCGGGAGATAAAGAACCGTGTCCGAACCATCAAAAACCGACTGGCAGCAAAGAAGTCTCGTGATCAAGCTAGAACATACGTGCAGAAGCTTGAAGGCAGCCTCGCCTCGATGGCTGCTCAAAATGAAGCTCTTGCTCAGCGACTTGCGATTGCCGAATCAGAAAACGAATCCCTCCGATCTGAAAACACAGTACTCAAGCGCAAAGTTCCCGGGTCACAAGATGAAGCAAGCACGGTTGACCTCGCCAAGAATATGCTCAAAAGCGGAACTGATGTCAGCGCAACTCACTCGTCGGCTCAGCCCATTCACCTCGCGGCTTTGTTTGGGATGGGCAGCAGCATTTCGGCACCGCCAGTTTGTGACATTGACAGCCAGGATGAACACGGTACGGGGAAAGGAGATCTCTCTCTCGTCTCTAAAGAGATCAAGGAACGTTTTGGTCTATCTATGTTCGATACCAACAAGAATAAGGACGACATCGAATGTCCTGATGCAGACCTCGGCTCTGAAGAATGGCGGAAAGAGAAGAGGAGGAGGCAGAATCGCGAAGCCCAGCGCAGGCACAGGGAAAGGCAGCTATGCCAGCAGAGCAGGGACATGCAACCAAAGTTTCAGTTCGATGGAGGCCTGCAGACTGCTCAGTGGCTTGCAATGAATACTTTGAAGCCTGAGATGGAGCTTGCGGAGTGGACTCAGGCTGGTGGCGTTGGCGGGGTCAGCCTCAGGCCTCATGACACTGTCGATGATCGAATCATCGGTCATGACTTTGGGATCTTGGCACCAGATCATCAGCACACGGCTGCTTCTCACCCTATCTTCGACATCAACACCTTCCCGGCTTCGCTGTCTCGATCTTCTTCAACCGGCAACCTGGCGCTCTCCCGCCAGTCGTCTTCTGGGAACCTGAGCAAAGAGGTTGAAGAAATGTGGCATGCCGTAGGCAGTTTTGATGATTGATACGGATGCCTCCCTACTATCGCGAACAACATACCCCCTTAATCAATAAAGAAACCTTAAAGTTGTCGCCCCCGTCATCTTCGCAATATCTGCGAGGATAATAGATTTGCTCTTCAAAAGAGCGAATGCTTATTTCATTGTCGTGCTTGCTATCTGTTTGTGTGTGTGTTTGCTCTAGAACATATTGTAGCGGCTTCTGTCATTCTTTATTGAAAATAAACAACGTAAAATTCTAAAAAAAAATTGCAAAGATAACCGATTACATCACACTGTATTTTCTACTTCAAGCTCTTCTCACATGCGGACAACAGGTATCTAATTCTTTTCTGTGATTAAATGCTGCAAACTTTGGAGTTTGTCAGTGTGGCAAATCCAAGTTTAATTTGAGACCCTGGGGAAATCCAGAAACAGATGTTCGAGGGGGAGGAAGTCCCAGGCGTGACAGTGTGACCATGAGCAGCAAACATCTCAGTGAGAAGACGATAACAGGACTGAGTATGCCGTCTTGCAGTACAGTCTTCATTCGTCTTTCATACACGACTTGATACACAATTTGATCAACAAATTACTTCTTTTCCCAAAATTTTTGACAATTATTACAAACCTGTGGAAAGACGCTTCACAGACGACCTTTGCTTCGTTCTCTCATTTTAGAGCTCACAACTTACTATGTATGGAAAAAAAAACAGAATGATGATGAATGTGTGAAATTTGAGAGAGCAACAAGCGCTTACAAGCTGTTGAATTGGAACTCCAACACCAATGGAATAACCAATAGATTTGATATGCTCAAGCAAAGCGAAAGACAGAAAGACCGTAAATCTAGTAGTGTTAAGAACAAAGCAATCTGGCGAAGATCTGCTAGCTGGTAAAGGTCAAATATTAGAACAAGTGTATGATAGAAGCGAACAGGGACTTCCAGGCATTGACGTCATAACAAAACACAATAATACAGATTGAAAGAGAAAATTAGAAGGAAGAACGGAGAAAAGATTGAAAGTGAGAAAGAAAAGGAAGTAGAGGAAAAACAAAAAGCAGGTGCATGGCAGATGGAAGCGAGAAGAACGGGAGAAGAAAGTATGAAGAAAGGGATAAAAAGAGCAAGGGAATGAGAAAGTTGAACATAAGAGGATTGAAGAAAGGAAGAAGGAAAAATACGATAGATCAATAAAATAATGGTGAAAGTAGAAAGAAGGGAAACAAGACGGAGAATACGGAACGCAAAAGACAAGGAGGGAAAGAGAAACAAGAGGGAAAAACAAAGCAAGAGAGGAAAGGAAGCATGAAGGACAGGACAAAGAACCAAGAATAAAGATTGAAGGGTAAAGAGCAGACAACCAGGACAACTGAGAACAAAGAAGTGCAGGGATCAGAAAAGGAGGATGAGCGGACATGAAAGGTCTTGTATGAATCAAAACACGGGAAATGAAAACCAAGACAGAAGAGGTAGGGAAGGGTTAACAACAAAGAGGATACAATAAGGAGGAACCTGCCATGGCAATTGCAAAGAAATACAATTAGAAACATGATAGATGGATTCATCAACCCAATCTTTCCTTATCACACACCTCAACAAGTCAAGTCCATCGATCAATCAACAATTCGATCAGTCTATCCTCTCAACAATCGTCTATTTCATCAATCCATCTATTCCAGAGTCATGAAATCTTTCTCATACCGTATTTTGTTGGTCATCTAAAACTATCCCTCCTTACTTTTGTCACTTCAACCTTGTAAACCTCACATAATATCAAATCAATCCATAGAATGAGTTCACGTTCGAAAAACAACCCCTCGAGCACGAACGAGTGTAACAACAAAAACGTCAAGGGAGATGACTGGGCCATCATGGCAGAGACAAACAAAGCGAGATGACTGGGCGATCATGGCAGAGACAAACAAGTCAAACAGCAGGCACAAAGACGAGCTGCCAAGCTACTGACGCAAGAGCAGCCCGGAGTTTCTCACAGCATGAGTCAAGTTGTTTGACTCATTGATGCAAGTCAAAGGAGGCCCAAAACTGAGGAGGCGGTGTAGGTATACACTGAGAGAGCAAGAGATGAAATGAAAAGTAAAACAGGAATGAAGGGATTGACACTGTCTGCCTCCCTTCCTGCCCGCCCGCCCGCCCGCCCGCCCGCCCGCCCGCCCGCCTGCTTGCTTAACAATCCAATCATGAGTTGGGCGACTGACAACTCATGCTGCAATCCAGCCACACACTTTGCGAAATGACACGAGCCTTGGAAGTATCTGATCCACAGGAAGTATCGTGATGATAGAGATTCGCGTCTTGCCAATGAGAACAAGTGCAGTACAGCACCTTTGAGAAGACTGCCAGACGTGCAACGATCGTGACACGGACAGGGTACACATGCTTGAAAATGACGAGATGGGAAAACAGTTTCAACTTGATAGCATGACAAGATGATCAGGACGAAGAGTCTGACCACAATAAAAGAATAGTCGTAGGAGACAAGCCTGAACGAATCGATGAGCGACCAAAACGTAACAAAGAAGTTGAAAACGATGCTTTCCTTTCCCATATAAGACAAGCTTACTAGAGTGCAGCGGGTAAGAGAATCAAAGACTCATGTGAGATGGCGAGGACAGACGGCATCGGAGGCAACCACGAGCGACATCATCGGCGACAACAACACATCGAGAGGGAAATCTCGAACTGCAGGTGAACGAATATCACTTGAAGGATTCGAGTTGAAAGGATGCGAGGATAAGGATGGCGTGCAAGCCAGCCTGTTGCAAGAAGAAGGGAACAACTGGTAGATATGCGATGCTTGCTCGCATTCCACTGACCAATGTCCTTTTCGTACAGCATCAAACAGGTTGGACAAAAGATTGAATAGCTGTCATCTGCGCCCTCAAGGCTCCATCCAGCACGGCAGGTCTCTTAAGACACCTCTTCCTGCATGAGTGCGGGGTTGGACTGCAGGTATGGGGGGATCTAAAGCAGGTTTACTCAGCAACACGTTATGACTGCCCCCAAGCTCACGGGAGCATCATGGCAGTCATCGCCATGTATACGACGGTCGATCTGACAAAGAGGCCTCTTCGTGTTGCTCCTTCAAGACCCCCTCCCACCCTGCCCCATCCTTGCTCTACCCTTCCTCCTCCATATCCTCTCGTGCTGCTGTCACCTGCGCACGTCCAGATACGATGAGATTTGAAAGTTGGCACAAGTACAAAAGGAAACAGACAGTAAAAGTAGCCAAGTAAGAATAGAATAGGCAGGCGATGACTGCATTTCATCGTCATGTACCAACTCATTTTCATTCTTTTTTTGTTCTTTTTATTTCTTTTTTCCTTCTCCCAGTTTTACCACACAAGGTTGTCAGCGTGAGATCGTCGTGATCATTCGTGGCAGGGTGATGACACCACATGACTCTGTAACGGAGGGTGCGACAGATAGGCTGGTAGGGGTGAACCAATCGCTGATGGGGGTGGTTGTAATTTCACGGGTATAAGATTGCATTCACAACGGTTCTGGAGGTGTGAGAAAGGGGTGGGGTCCGACGGTTGTTGCCTTTAGTGCAAAGGGGTGGGGGTTACCGGAGGTGTCTGCCACGGCAAGCCAGGCTTCTTCAAAAACTTGCATTGTGACGTATCAAGTAGGGGGCTGGGGTCATCCTTTGACGATGCCGTCACTCATACGTATTCTGGTCTCGGATGGGGTGGAGGGTATGTAGTCTTATTTTCGCTAAGGTAGGTAGGGGTAGATGGGCGAGGGACGTGACTTTACGGTACGGGCGGCCCATGACCGCCGGGGGCTTGCAGTGGAGACAGGGTGACAGGGGTCCGACTTTGTCATATGATCAGAATCAAGAGATCGTTGGGGCCTCATAGTAGACATGTAGACCCGCACGACGGCAACAGGGGATACAAGATAGGGCAAGTGTGAGAATCAAAAGACTTCTTTTCGCCCTTTGAGATTGGGGGAGGAGGAGAACATCTCCTAAGGCACAGGTCAATGACCGGTCGATGGAAGGGAGGTGGGGGGTGATCGAATCATCGACGGGATGCCAAAAGACTACTTTTCACGGAATAGTCATGGGGTAGGAGTAAGAGGGTCACGTAGAGTCATCGCGCTGACTAAGAGAAGAAGGAAAGTTGAGTGAAAATAGTATGAGAGCATGACCTCATCAGCGCCGATCCTCCGGCTTCAATGCATTGGCGTGTTCAAAGGTCATCGATCAGCCTAGTTAGTACCCTCAAAATCAGTCACTACTCGCCAACTGAAATGTTGAGTTGTAATTCTATCGCAGAATGGCGTATTTTCTTATTTTAGAATTGTGAGATTCGAGCCAACTCTTGGATTGGACTGCGTGGGGTACCGTGACCAAGTAACCTGACGAGCGCCATGGCGGACGGAAGTGTTGGGGGTGGCCTTAAATTAAAGCCCAAAGTGCTTTTTGACGAACTCACTACCCCACCATCTACTGGACTTCAATTACGGAAACCCGGTCAGGAGAATACAGGTGGCAGGGGGAAGACCCGGGTGGTGGGTGTAAGATTCAACATGGACGATTTGCCATAGGGTGGGGTGATAGGGCGCTTCGATTTAGAGCCACATGGGGCATCCGGTATAAAAACGCGACGACCGAGGGCAGTAGGCAGAGGACCATCGCGACCCACACGAACAAAGTGTGTCCAGCAGAAACACAAGATACAGGGACAGACTGACCTGCAACAGCTTCAGGAGATAGTTAGTATTGCAAGCACTGGCGATAGACTCTTGGTTTGTAGATCTTGAGTGGACCTTGACATTGATCGGTTGGCGCGACAGTTCGAAAAGAGATTCGCAGCGAGCAAGTACCGAGGGACTCCCCTTGACAGAATCCATAGAAGTGTTTGATCACTTTCGAGAAAAAACATCCACTGAAACAAGAAAAAAGCCAAGCTGGCTCTCTTACATCAGAACTCCGTAGGAATGAGGAAGCCTTGCCAACCACACGAGTTGTTGGAGCAGGAGCTCAGCATGCTGTTGAAAAATCAGAAAAAGGGCGATGAGGCAGAAACCCCTGAAGATGATTCAGCTAAAGAAATCAAGAACCGTGTTCGTACCATCAAGAACCGTCTCGCTGCCAAGAAGTCAAGGGATCAAGCACGGTCGTACGTGCAGCGGCTAGAATCGAACCTGACCGCGGTTGTGTCGCACAACGAGGCCTTGTTGCAGCGTATCGCCGTGGCTGAAGGCGAGATCGAGCGTCTCAGGTCGGAAAACAATGCATTGAAGCATAGGGTCACTGAGCTGATGAGCGATCCTAACAACGCGTCCAAGAAGCTTGGTCCGGATTCTCGCTCTGCGCCTTCGTCCTCTTGGATTCCAGGGCGTGGCAAAGCAGACTGCAACGCAGATGCCTTCTCCAAGTGCATGGACAGGAAGAGGAGCAGCTGCTACATTGAGGACTATACCCGATACGATTTTCTTGACATTCGACCAGAGACGATGACGCTTGAGGAGTGGAGGAAGGAGAAGCGAAGGAGGCAGAACCGAGAGGCTCAGCGTCGCCACAGAGAGCGAAGGCTTTGTGTTCATGGCAAGGATGTCCAAGCCAAGCAGGAGGAACAATCTGATGCACAGTCACCCCTTTCGTCAATCGAGATAACCAACAGCGAAGAGCAGACCCCCTCCAACGCGCAGGCCGAAGTCAAGCCTGAACCTGGCTCATCACAAGCCGTCAACGAGGAGAAGCCAGAAGTGCAAATAGCGCAGGATCGCTTAGCTACAGAAGATATGTCAGGATTCTCTTTGCTGATTCCAGACGCCAGCGCGAACGACAACTCAGTGTACTTAGAAGCGCTGCAGGAGACATGCGACGCAAGCTCTATGGATCTGGCAAACTTTCCTACTGCTCTTTCTAGGAGCGGATCTTTGAGCTCTTCGTTGTGGGCAAGGAATGACTTCCTTGCTGCGAGTGCGAAGGATGTCGAGGACATCTTTCAGGACGATGTATCAAACTTTGACGAAGTTTGTTGTTAGATTGCTGTATGCCAGTGGGCATGCCATAATGTAATTTACAGCGTCGGATTTGCGGTAGTTTACCTTTTTTAATCGTGATGCTTGCTTATTAACTCTATTGAAACTTATGATACTGCTGCCTTGATTCCATGCCATCAATGATTGCCACCCGGCCCGGGCCCGGGTCACTACGGTGACTTCCGAAGTTCCGACCGGTACGGTCGGACCGTCGGACGGGCCGCGGCGACTCAGGGCCTGACCGTCTAAGGCTCACCGCCGGGCCTTGCCGGGCACCCGATGAGTCCGACGGTCAAGCCTCACTCCGAGGTTGCCACGGTGACGGTGGCACTGCGGCACCGGAACAACTCTACTTCGCGGGGCCAGGGCCGGCCTGTGCTGATCATGTGCGACAGTGTAAAAGTTGCCAGCCTTTTATTGTCGGACTGAAAACTTGAAGCCTTGAAAGCTTGAAACCGGACCGGGAGCAAAGAAGGACGAGCCGACTGAGATAAAGCCTACAAACCCGCCTCAATAAAATACTAGGAAACGAAGGAGGCAGCGAAAACCGCTACTCCAACCACCGTCACGCAAGCGACCATACTCAGATACCGTACACGACTTCTTTACTCAAAGTTAAGTTAAACACGACTCGAAGCAGGGAAACCGTACCTTGAAGGACTGATCAGCCACAAAGAGGGAAACGGTACCGTACGGTAGTGCGCGGCCGGCGGGACGGACCGTTTCCCTCTTCAAGTTGTGGCTGATCATGGCAGTCCTTCAAGGTACGGTTTCCCTGCTTCGAGCCGTGTTTAACTTAACTTTGAGTAAAGAAGTCGTGTACGGTATCTGAGTATGGTCGCTTCGGACTCCCGGGCCGCTACGGCCCGCTACCGGTTCCCCGGCGAAGCCTACGGTTCGGCGCCGCGGTCACCCGCCGACTCGGTGGGTGCCAGTGGGCCTTGAATCAACCCAAGGCAGATCCCTCATCCCCTCCTTGCCCACAAGCCGTTGGAGCACCGATCACTACGATCACTAGCCATGCAGTCCCATGATCGCCAACATTTCTTGACTGGCTCCAATGGTGGTCTCAGGACAGGGGAGGAGAGCACAACGGAGGCAGGGAGAAACAGTTGAGCGATGAAGGATGATAGACAGAGGAATGAGTGCGAGATGGATGAGATTGACAGTGTAAGATGTAGATGCTGTGAGAAGGACAGCTGCAATAGAACACGCTAAGAAACTTCATGGCGAAGAGAGGTATATGGGAACAGCAAGGGATCTCTTTGAGAGAAGACAACTGGATAGTTCTGCGAAGAGAGTCGGGATACTGACCCCGGCAACTACAGAATCCCGTCAAGGGAGAGCGAAGCTGATGCCTCTTCCCAATCCCTTCTGGGTTCAAAGGTACTTGAAAGAACATTCGATCGACTCTCTGCTTGCCACTGCAGTGAACCAGGTGGGCATGGCTGTACCTCGATGATGATGCACGTTTACTGCTTGTGATGCTCCAGGCAGTGGCTGCGAGGTCGAAGGATCCTGCTGCGTCACTTGCTTGCTTCTTCTCCAGATTGTCCAAGAGAAATGGAGAAATTCTGTCGCTGAGAGCGTCGAGGGTGATGGACCAGCAGCTTCAGCAGGCGATTAAGCTGACCATTGAGGTGACAAGAAGCGAGTGGAGGGAGACAGTGGCTGACACGGCTTTCGATTTTCATTGTAACCTTGAAGATTTTTTACAACAATGAAACAAGAAAGATCGCGACTGTTGTAGGAGAGATGACATTTGTGAAGAGCAAGGAAGGCGAGGAAAATCAAAATGTGAGAACCGTCGAACGCGACCTGAGAGTGAGCTGCTTGCTACAGGAGGACGAGGCGACATCACCTGAAGAACAATGTAGCAAGATCGTGGATCGCATCAACCAGGTGATAGGGCCTCCTCAAACCGAAGAATTGGCTCATCCTCTCTGAATCAGGAGATCTCTCAAGGGCTATCAGGGTGCAATATCTGCAACACGAGAGAGTGCGACAATCAGATCTCACATGTGACTGAGACGGTGTAAAAGGCGTCAAGGAAATGAACATTGTTTGGCAGATCGGTCAAGCGCCGAAGTCTTTCCTATCCTTCTCCATTGCCAAATCATCGTCTTATCTCTTGGACAAACAGTTGTTTGAGATCATAGCAAACTCCGTGAAGGTGCTCAATAATGAACCTGCATGCTGTTTCATTCATCGTGATTGCAGAAACTGGAACAAGAAGGAGCCAAGGCCCTGGGAGGAGGGTTTCTTCTTGAGGAAAAGAACCAGGATGAAAAGGAGGGCAAGGGAGAGGAGGGGGAAGAGGGGAGAGAAGGAGAGCAGAGCAATGAGGATGCAGAGGATGGGAAGAAGCCAGAGATCACGAGTGAGCATGTGGATCCTGCGAGAAGAGGTGGCTGATTCTGCGAGCAGTCAAGCTGCCTGTCCCGTTCTTCCCAGCGATCGCTGGACGGTCAAGTTTCAAGGAAAGCAAGGTGATGACCGTTGGCTCGTGGCCTCTTCCTAAGGGACTCTGGCAGTTGCCGTTCAACTCGTTCTGGCTCATCGGGAAACATGATAGACCGATGAGGTCTGTACCTGCTGTCTGCTCCTCCTCCTTGCGCCGACCGCGATCGTATACTGAGTACAAGTGGATGACTGTGTTGGCAGAGAAAACATTACCAAGATGATTGCAGTGTATAAGGCTCTTGGGAGTGTCATACTGTCCAAGTCAGTGCAGGTGAGGCCTGAGAAGCGAAAGTATCATGAGAGGGCAATTTTGAAGCAGAAGGGGCTGAGGATTCTGGGGCAGAGCAGAGCAGAGCAGAGCAGAGCAGAGCAGAGCAGATCTGAACCTGTGTACGACCTGCAGGAGGGAGAGGCTGCTGCGTTCAAGCCGGACGACGCAGGATTCTACCGCACTTCTGCTGCTTCTTTGGAAGAGGTCAGCTGGGGGATGTGTGGGGAGAGTTTGACTGGTGGGCAGGTAATGCAGCTGCTGCAAGAGTGCTCCTCTCAAGCTGGTGTCGAGCTGGGAGGGGACGTGGGTGTGGCGGTGAACCTCGGAGCAAACAACTACTTCGTGGCGAACACTGGAGAGGTGAGGAGAGGAGCGAGGGGCTAACAGTGACGGGCATCTCCTCAGAACGGGACGTACACGTACAAGCCGGAAGAGGAGGCGGTGGAGGCAGACAATTGGGCCCCGTGGATAGAGCAGGTGGGACTAGAGCAAGGAAGGAGGAAACTGACGAAAACATGGGCAGCTGCTCAGCAAGTATCCGTTTGTAGACTGCATCGAAGACGCCTGCGCGTCATCAGACTACGAGACCTGGAGGAAAGTTAGAGAGGTACGAGGATAGGAGTATGATGTTGTGCGCTGAGATACTTCCAGGTGGTGGAAAACCTGTCCTCAAGACAGGTGAGATGTTTGCTGGGGAAGATAAGGGAAGAGAACAGGCAGGAGAAGACAGTTGAGGAGTTAGCTTCAGAAGGAATGAGCAGAAACAGAGGGGATGCTGGTTGACAGGGAGGGATGTAGGGGCAGGCGGAGGAGTAGAGGGAGAAGATGAGTAAAGGCTGCAGGTCATGTTGCTGGGGGAGGAGCTCTTTCAAGATGATCCGGATCTCTTCCGGTCGGGCGTGGCGGAGGGCTGGGCGATGGGAGCCGTGATGTCTCCGGAGAAGGTGCGCGTGAGGAGGAGGTTGGAGCAGGTGGAGTGAGAAGAAATGGTCGAGTAGAGGAGGTGGTATGATAGGAGGCAAGTACAGCCGGAGGACGCACGTGAGAGCACGAGCGAGAGCGCGAGCGAGAGGGAGCAGAACAGGGGTCAGAAGGACGAGAGAGAGCAAGACTCATGTTCCTTCCTCTTTACCTCGATGTTGACTGCTCCGTCGGCAGCTCGGAACTTTGACAGACCTCTTGGATTATGGAACAATCTTCACGCTGCTGAAGTCTGTTGCCTCTTCTTCCCCTCTCTCCTCCTCTTTTCCCGTCCCCTCTTCTCCCCCCACCCTCTGCCTTCTACTTCGTTGTGCTTCAGATCAAGCTCCTCCTCTTTCTGTTTCAGCTGCTCCTCTCCTGATCTATTCCTTCTCTAATATATTTCGGTTGCTTGCAGACCTCGAGCCCAGCGAGTTGTTCTCACGAGTAGAAAGGTGATGCGCCTGGAACATCTCCTCCTCCTCCTCCTCCTTCGCTTCTCATCCTCGTCCTCCTCTCATCCTACTCCTTCTCTTGCTTGCGCTCGAGCTCTGATCCTTTTCCTTCCCCCGTCTTGCCATCAGATCAGTCTACCTGCAGTGTCTGTGACTCCACTCGCTCACGTTCTTGACCTTCAGGGAGCTCACGCGGGCGAGATCGACGCTGACGTTGCGGTCGGGATGGGCTGCTGGGGTCTGAGGTGTTGCGAGCCATCACACCGATCGGTGAGGAGGGGATGGCGGAGTGAGGGAGGAGGAAGATGAAAGAGGAGGGAGAAGTGATGAGGGAGAGTGGAAGAGAGGGAAAAGAAGAGGAAGGGGTCGTGCGAGGAAGAGGCAAGCAAGAGCAGGAAGGGAGGGCAGTATGCGGGAGTGAAAGGAGGAGGGGAGAGGAGGAAAGAGGAGGAAGAAGGAAGGTGAACAACATTCAGGTGGAGCAGCTGAACCGTCTCATCGAGATCGATGAATACCTCAGGGACGAGCTGGTTTGTTCCCTTTTCCTCTCCTCCCTCCTCTCACCTGCTTCTAGCGAGCCAACAGCAAGGAGGTCGCCCTAGTCACTTGGGAGCAGGTACACTCGTCATTCCTCTCCTGCTTCCCTGCTCTTCTTCATCCTCAACCTCCTTCTCCTTGCCCCTCTTCAATCCATTCCGTCCTACCTCTCCCATTCTTTCTACTGTCTCCTAGCATCTACCCGCGTCCTCCTTTCTCTCTCACACCGATCCCTTCCTCCTGCCTTTGTTTCCGTAACTCCCTGCCCTCCTAAAGTTCAACCAACAGGTTCGGGAGGAGGAGGAGCGACTTGTGGTGGAGTTTGCAGAGCGAGCAGAAGCCTCGGCAAGAGGCCCATGAAGGTGCACCAGACGGAAAGGAGGGCAGAAAGCGACAAGTCTGCGGATGCGAGGGATCGCCAGCGTGTGGTGGGAGTTCAGTTGTAACGAGCATTTCAATCGAGCAAGACAGGATCATCGCGAGTCCCTAAGGCACTTGAGATCACAAGATAGCAAAGTCACTCATTGGTGTTACCTCTCCCTTTCTTCCACGCCTTGTTTTCGATGTCTTTGAAAGAGTAGAACCCTTTCTTGAATCTGTTTGACATGGTCACATCTTGCCTACACATCTTTCGGCTGCTACCGTTTTGGTCGTAGTGACATCTCGAAGACAGCTTCTTCCTTGACTGCAACCTCCACCTTTCTTCTTCCTGACAAGGAAGTCTTTGCACTAGTCTTCGTGCGAGAGGCTCTTGCAGTCCCACGTTGCTGTAATCCCCACAGTCATATCCCTTGTGCATTCGTTGCAAGAAAAGCTTACCGCCTTCCCTCCTGTTGTTCCTGCGCTCCTCCTGTTGCTCGATCTCTTAGCTCTGACGCCTTCCTGCTCCTCATTTCGTTCTGGCTGCCCTCCTTTGTCCCCCCTTGCAAAAAATACCGTAAATGAGATCATGCAAGTTGTTTTGCAACTCCAGCAAACCTTTTCCTCTTGCTCGGTATTGGCTGTGGAGAGCAGACTTCATAAGCATCAAGTAAGATCCACATCATCTTCACCTGATCCTCTTGTTTCTCCGCGTCTTCTTGTTTCTTCGCGTCTTCGCTCTCACCACTCGCTCCTTTCGTCATGTCCTCTGAAGTATACAGGGGCAGGAAAGACATGAGGGCACCCCATGATCTCCTCACCCTCGAGAGCACATTTTCCTTCTTTGATCCCTGACGAAACAATCCAGTCATCCCGCGCTTCAACTCTACTGGCTGCATACTACCTCATTCAAACTCGCGAGCAGCTCTTTCAACTTCACCTCCGTCACAGGAGGCAGCTGAAGGCTCTTGACGTCAGAGATTCTATGAAAGTCTGCAACTTTCTTCACTCCCTTGCTTCGAAGCAGCTTCAGGTCCTCTTCGTCCATGTCGTGCTCCTCCAACACCTCCAACATCTTGCCTTCTCCTGGCGACTTCATTTTTCGCCCCTCAGACCGTTCAAACCTGTACCCCCACTACCATCAGCTTCCTGTCTCAGCCAAGTACGGGTACTTTGTTGAGACAAAAGGACGGTCCATGAGGCGGGCTCGTACCTGGGTGAAAGGTTTAACTGCCGAAAATGCAGGCTACCTCCGGAGCGACGAGCGAGGGGGCGCTGGAGGGAGGAGGGGAGGAAGAGGGAGAGTGACGGAACATTCCGTTTGATCTCGATCAGAGGTAAGGCAGTACGATGATCTCAAGGCATCATAGACGATGGCGCGACTGAGTCTACAAGAGTTTTTCTTCAAGTGAGACAGGCCTTAGGGAGCATTGATGGCGCACGGGATGGACGACATCGTGAAGGTATCAAGAGAAAAAGAAAGTCTTCAGATACAAAACGAAAAGTTGGTGGTCGAGAATCTTCGACACAAACGTTTCGTTCCTAAGCTCCATGCTTCCATCACCAAGCTTGCTGCAGACCATCATTACCTCCGGCAGGGGGTTGCGAGCAGTTTGAAGGATGCAAGAAAGCTGTTCTTTGACTGCTTCTCGTCCATCTCTTCGTGTGTTGAACAGATTTCGAAGCTTCAGGGCGAACAATTATCAGAATCTGTAGACCAGCTGAACGACTTGAGGTCCGAGCTCGCATCACTTGGCTCACGGATGGCTAAGAAAGAGCAGGAGAACAGCAAGCTTGTTGCAGAGAGCATGCATCATGCCGAAGCTCTTCAAAGGTTGAGAGATGTCATGAAAGACTGGGGGGTTGACGACAAGTTAGAGCTTGAGGATCAGATACGATGCGTCATACGAAGCGACCGGGACAAAGACAGCATCATTGCAATGCTGCAACAATCGGAGTCAACATCAAGCAATGAGTTACAGAATAACAAATCGAGACTGATTGAAGTGAACAAAGCGATGAATGAGCTGGAGAAGGCAAACGCCTTCCTTGCGACGAGGAGAGGAAGTTTAGAGAACGAGATCAAAACCACCAAAACCAACGCGGAGCGAGAGACGGCGAAACTGAGGCGGGAGATTGAGGAGCAGCAGAGGAAGATTGAGCAGTTGCAGTCACAAATAGACAAGAGTGCTCAGGAGATGCGTGCTGCTGATTCTCAAGCTGCGAAAGAGAAGGTCGGCATGATCTGATCACATGGTTGACTTTGACTTTTTCCATCACTGCAGGAGGAGTTGAGATCTGCGATCAAGGTGCTGGAACAAGACCTCAAGAATGCACAAGAGGTTACAGGTTGTTTTTCTTTGACTCCTCACTCACACCTGAGATCAGGAAACCCACGAGCGGAAGACCATGGAGAATCAAAACAGAAAGAGGGCTGCAGATGCCTTAAAAGCCGACAAAGCCGCTCTGGTATCTTCTGCCAACTGCTGGAAGTTTTTGGCTGAGTGCATTCGCAGACCGTGCTGAACAAACGCGTGGAGGAGCTGGAAGAGGAAGTGAAGCAGCAGGTCGTCTGTCCGGGAGCTCCGACTGCCTAACGTGTTCGCATCAACAGCGGGAGGTGCACAAGGCTCGAATCAGCGAGCTCGAAAACTTCTACCAGAAACAGATTGCAAAGGCAAAGAGTCAGGTGAATATGCATCAAGGCATGTTCATTCCCCTCACTCCGTGCTAGGCTGAGAAGGCAGCGAGATTGGCGTCGGACAAGCAATGGCGAGACAAGCTGACCACCATGGAGAGGGAGATGTATGAGCAGCGGCTGAAGGACGGAGAACGGTTGAGGTGAGAGCCTTCCCTTTGTCTCCTCTCCTCCTTCTCACGCCTTGTCAGGTTCGAATTAGAGTCTCAGGCGCAGAAGATTCGAGAAGACAGCGCGCATCACGAGAAGGCTTTCCTGCTAAAGATCGAGGAGTTGACCTCAGAAGCCCGCGAGCAGCGAGTCAGTTTCAACCGCAACATGCAGGAGGCGCAAGAGAGAGAGCGTGAGCTGTTGAATCAGGTAGAAGAGCTGCAGAAGAAGATCGAGGAGCTGGAGGAAGAGCGATCGCACGATCAGAGCAGGAGGAACACAGAGCTGTCGTCCCTCGTCATGAGCATGGAAGACTCTCTTCACAGCATCAGCTCAAAGCTCAAGCTCAAGGAGGACGAGATCGCTGCTCTCAGAAACATCGTCCAGCGAGAATGCCAGGAGAGGCTCGACCTGCAGGCGAAGCTCAAGCATCTTCAAGCCATGCACGGGCGACCAGACGGCGAGCAGGAGGCTGTTGACTCCCATCGCTCTCCCAGCTGTCCTCCCATGCTCTTCTCTGATAAGCGCGAGAGCGGATGGGGACTACCCACCATCAACCATCGCGGACCATCGCCTGCTCAGCTTTACGACGCCAGGGTGACCAAGGAGAAGCTTCAGGTGCTTTGACATGACAGCGATGCTGATAATTCCTTGACGGCTCGCAGATGCAAGCGCGAAGTCGACGATCGAACGCTTGAAGAGGTTGTACATGTATGTGAAGGTACCCAATGTCATGAGATGATCAGATTGTTTGTTTGTTGTATGTGTAGTAGTTTGTTGATAAGACAATGAATCAAGATGTAAGTAAATGGCGATAAAGAGCCCGGCCTTCCAGCACTGCGGCAGAGTCCTCGCTGAGTCTGACCGCAAAGCCTTGACGGACACCGAGTATCTGACATCCTCGTCAAGAAGCGACTCAGTCAGTAGCTCTTCTTACATGGAGAGAGTCAACCTAGGCGAGTCAATCGGACTTGATTGAAAGGAGAGAGAGAAAAACTCACAATCAAGAAAGTTTATTGACTGAAAATGGAAAATGCAAACCGGAGCAAACAAGGAGGAAAACAATCAATCAGAAGAAAAAAATAAAAAAACATTGATTGGCAACTTTGATGTCAGTTTGACACAATGATGTTTTTTTCTTACGGTGGGTGGCAGCACAGAGAGCAACCAAGGGAGGGAGGGAGCGAGACAGAGCGAGTGATCTAGGTGGAGTCAGAGTGCCAGACTATGAGTGGGAAAGAGGTGTTTCCTCCTCCAAGCTCTGCCCATAGCTCTTTTCGCTCCAGCTACTTCGCTAAGTTCGCGTCGTTGAACTTTGATGGGCTGAAAGACAGCGACAAAATGAGGTCTGCAACATTGAGAGACCATGGCAGCGGCGACGACCTTAGAACAAAGAGATTCTCATACTTCAAGCGCCGATTCGAGCACGAGGAGAAACTTGTATCTCGGAACAAGCAGCTTGTTGGGACCATAAAGGTGATTTGCTCTTCATTTTGGTGCAGGAGGCGGAGTGGAAGGTTTAGGAGGAGTGAACAACATAGCCTTGACGATGCGATGATGGAGAAAGCATGATGAGGAGGATACCATAGATGAAGATAATTCACATAACGTTGTCAGAGTTGATGTCGAAGACAGAGATAGGGAATTGGATGATGGGTGCTCGTAGTTCCCGTGCATGCTGAATATTCTTCCTACAGGTTTTGACCATCGAAAACTTAAAGTTCAACAAGCAAGTAGAAGAGATGAGAGCGAGAATCTTACATCTCGAACAAGAGATGTCAAAATTGAAGCCTCTTGACAACTTGCTCGAATTTCTCGATATGGGAGGAGAAAGGTTTGAATACTTGCTCAGAGCCCTGCCATCAGACCGAGATTCTTCAAGAGGCGACGAGGAGGAGGAGAAGCAGATTGACAAGGTCATCAACGACAGTCAGGAGCTCACAGATCGCCTGTTTGCGCTCTTGCAGTCGTGCGCTGATGATGAAGTTGAGTATGGGGCTCTGGATCGCACGAACGAGCTGCAGATGATCAGGCAGGCGCTACATGGAAACCCTCGCTGGAAAGATTTCCTGAAAGAGGAACAAGACGATGTCCAGCATGGTCAGAGGGCAGACGAGGCAACGAGCGACCAGTTGGCATGGTTATCCAAGGGAAGCCCGGGTGGCGAGGACGAGGATGAGGATGAGTTCGCGCATGAGATCATGGCTGTTGGCACAGAGTTGCAACTTGTCTGCAAGAGATGCGGCAAGACGTTCACAGAGGAAACAAACAGAGACACCTCCTGCCGACAGCACCCTGGCCTAAAGCAGCTGGACGCCAGTTGGAATTCAATCTGGTCCTGCTGCAGGAGAAGGATAGACGCGCCAGGCTGCATCCTGTGTAAGCACGAGCGAGCGATAGACAACGACGCTGAGCCTGACTCAGAGGACGACGACTGAAGGATCTGGAACGCCGTGGAAACCGGGCCTTGGTCTTGGTAGATTGATCAAATTCCGAGGAGTTGGTGTTGAAGAGTGTTCTTGAAGACTTCATTAGAGAGAGTTGGTTGAGAATGTACTCCTGACTGTTCCCCTCTGACTATCCGAAGGGGAGCTGACTCTTGCTGAAGTACTGCACAGCAAAGGCGGTGAAGGCCCCGAGGATAGGGAAGAAGAAGTACATGTAGTCTGACTGTCTCAGTCACTTCAAGTACTGAGCATATCGCGCCAAGTCACCTGGAATCGCTCCTGGTGGAGCAGAGTCTTTGGGAGCTTCGACTGTCTTGCCCTGAATCACCATTTAAAAAAGATGATGACATAGCAAACTTACACTCGGCCGATCGGAGGCCGCAAGCTGCTTGAGGATCATTTCCTTTCTATCCCTACCGATGAAGCGCGCATGGTCAATGTTCATCTGGAGATCTCAGAGTTCTCACATGTCTTCATCCTTTTCCTTCTGCATCTTGGTGATCGTCGACACACGATACCGACAAGCTTTAACAACAATGAGGTCACATGCGGAAACCGGATGTACAACACACTTCTCAATGTCAGATGCGTTTCCGACGAGCGTAACCGAGCGATTTCATGTGTGTTCTTGAAGGCGCAGGGCTATGAAAGAAGCCGATCGCGTAGACAACGTACGTGAGGTCTAAAACACGTGGCGAAAAAGTCGTACCGAGAGAAACGCTTCACACAATCCACAGATAACCACAATGAGGATAGCGCGATACTGCAAGAGCGGCATCAGCAATGTCAGACAAAATGCAGAACTCAAAATCTTATAAACAGTATGCAGAATCACAAACATTGGTTTCGCAATCGGAAGAATCAAGTTGACTTCTTTCATCAGAGGAACAGGAAACGAGAATCAGCACTTTCCCATCGGAGGTGTTTGTGAGCAAGGATGGAGCTCCACATCATCTGCATGTTGAGGACAAAGGCGCAAGGAACATCCCCGACCATCGCAAGTCGGCAAGCTTGTTCCTTCCTCTCACGGTCTCCTTCACCCCCCACAGCTCACGCACCTGGAGAGCCCCCGACATGAGACCTGGATCCAAAGCGTTTTGATTCGATTGGAATCATCGCATTACGTGCCCGGCCACCCGGCGGGCCGGGCGGCGGTGCCGGGTGGTGCCCGATGCCGGGCCCGGGGGCCTCCGCCGGCCGCTGCCCGGCCGGGCCGGCCACTCCGAAGTGACTGGCGCCGCGGCCCGCCGGGCGGCCGGGCCGGGCAGGCTGACACGGTCAACGGGTGACCGGCGGCGGGGCACTGCCGACCATCACGTTGCTGTGATGGCACGATGAGCCTACGCGAGCACCCGGTGACAGGGCCACAAGGAAGAAGACTGAGGAGCGTCGGAGTCAGCAGGACTCCGGGAGCCTCGGAGCTCGGTCTGCCGCAGTGCGACTCAGGGCAGAGGCAGTTGGAGGAAGAGGCACTGAGTTGGAAGGAGCCAAGACGTAGACGGTTCTATTCCAAGGCTGTTACGAAGCGCACTGCACTGGCAAGTTTGATCAGAGATCAGTGTGGAACTTGTGACCGCAGGACTCGGAGACCGCTGAGGACGTGATTCTGCAGCTACCGTAGTACAAAGAGATTGTCGGAGTGTTGCCAGGATGAGCTCGCACAGCATCCCGAGATGTTGGCGGTTCTGAACGGATGCTATTGGAAGCGTGAGAATGGTTGTCACCGGACTTTCCGATCACGCCGATGCCACCTCTTCGGGACATGAAGCACGGACTCAAGGAGTCGATGTCTAGCTTTATGCAGAGATACTTGGCGATGACGATTCGTCTGGTCGCCCGCGCACTTGATAAGTTATCGTTCGGCAACTCCCTGATCGGGCAAACAAACGTTTGTGAACAGATGTCCTCAAGGATCGTTCAAACTCGCATGAACGAACGGCCGGGCTGTCGGGGCCTCGGCAGGCAGCAAGGGAGTACGCAGAGACAGGAATACGTGTTGTTATCTGCTTATACTGTTTGAGACACCTGTCTGTTGGCAGAAGATATTTGCTGGTGCGAGCATTTCCTCATGTACGAAGAAATCAACCCCTCTCTTTTCAGCAAAGATCAGATCTTCTCAGGGGTTAGACGGCGATATCGTGGCTCTGTTTCTTAAACCCTCTTGAACTCTGAAGCTGTTGACAAGCAACTTGCGCTCTTCTTCCAAGTAATCAGTTGGCTGACAGAACTCCAATAGGAGGTCTTCAGGTTGACCGCAAGTATCCAATCGCTTACAGATTCCACTTACTGATTCTATCGGTCCCCTTACATCTTCCTCTTCTTTTCCACAATCCCCAAAGGCACCCTTCCTCTCCGTACGGTCCTCGTCCTCGTCCTCGTCCTCGTCCTCGTCCTCGTCCTCGTCCTCGTCCTCGTCCTCCTGCATGCGCTCCAGCTCGTGCTCCCCCTCCCCCTCATCGTCAAATCATTATCACCACATTGTCATTATTGTCATTGTCATCCCTGCAGGACACACCTCATGCTGGTGTCCTGCATCTGTCTGACAATTTGTGGTTTTTAGGTCTTTCCGCGTCTCACGGGATCGTACCAAATTTACAACGGGAAGCCGATGTGGTACCGCTATACCTCTCATCGACAATTTTTAAAAAGTCATTGAAACTATTTTAAGGCATTGGATTAATTTCGAAATTTCAGAGCAATTTGTCAATTCCCTTCGATTTCAATGGCTACTCTGGGCCGCACCGCGCAGATACGGTACAGCACCCCTGCCCCCAACATGGTTCCACCCACTGTTTTCCCTACCCCACCCCACCGTTGCCGTTGCTGCCTATAGATAGTACCCCCCTAAATCAAAGCATTATCACCCCACCATGTCATCGCATATCCTACCCGAAAAACCTCGTCAGCAAATCAGAAGAATGGATATGCCCGGTAAACAGGTGGGTACTGGAATGTTGTGGAAGGGGTACTCGTTTCATGCTCGTTGGTGTCCGCCCGTGTAAGGCACAGGGTGGGTAATTGGTTTTTTTTTTATATATATTCATTTAAAAGTATACCAAAAGGACCCCTTGTAAACTACCCACGGCCCAGGGTACCCCTGCAAATTTCTTCAGAAAGGGACACCCACCCCTGAGTGAGTGCTTCAAAATAATTGCAACCATTAATCGTGGACCCCTGGTCAACATCGAGTACCTACCTTTTCCAGTATTCAAATTGGGGTGGTAGCCCACATCGTCATTTGTCGTCCCACAACCTCACCTTGCCCACCACCTCCGCGGAACCTGTTCGCCACCCCCTTCCTCACTTGGAATGCACCCCTACCCTCTCAAAACATTAGGTACTATGAAGCCACCCCCCTGTATCACCGTAAATCTTACGTGGAATGTACCAGTCCCTGTTCCACTTTCTAACAATTACAACACTACCCACCTACACCAGAGTATCTCTTCTTGACCCTACCCCCACGAACCACTCGGAAACAGCCTCCACCCCCACCCTACCCAACCTACCCGTCTCGTTTCCATGCCGGGCATGCACGGACTAGGCTGGATGAGCAAGGGAGCAAACAAACCATACGCGCGATAATGGGAACCTTACTCTCTCATGTTGTTTCCCTGTTGGCAGGCTCCATCTTTGTGCTAGTTCTGGCAATTTTTGTGTACTATGTCAGAAGAAACAGGCTTCGACAGAAAGCCAAGGCAGCGAAGCGAGCATCCGAGACCAAAGAAGCCATTCAGAAGCTGAAGGCGTTGAAGAAACAATTAACCAATCAAACAGAGGAACAGTTCTTGAGGGAATTTGTCCAGGAGAATGAGATTGAGTGGGGTAAAGCTTTCAAGATAAGACGCGATCCCGAGGGGGTAGGGTCTTTAGTGGGACAAACAGAGTCAATCGTGAGGAGTTCGAGCTTAACATCTAAGAAACTGGATGGTTCAGATGCTCTGACGAGGGATAGCTCTGGGGGAAGCTCTCGTCAAGATGAGTTGGAAGCTCTTCGGAGAATTCCGTCAAATCACTCAACCATGCGAACAAGCTCCAGCTCAGGAATTGCGGAGACTCCTGATGAAGAAACTTTCCTCGAAAGACTTGCAGAAGCGAGCGTTTTCAATGGAGCATTCAAAGTAAGACGGGAAGGAAATTCCTCGTTTGTGATTGGCGAGGAAAATATGGGAATATTTGAGTCGGCAAGCTTTTCGGTTGCTGATGCGGTAAGTCCAACTCAATCGTTCTGATTGCGATAAAACGGATGTTGACGTTTATCCTTGCAGAATCAAGCACGTCTGGATGAGACACGAAGTTTCAGTGCACTTGACATCCAAGATTCCAGCTTCGGTGCAAGGCCTGCCTTCAGACGCAGGGTTCATTCAGTTATCATGAGCGGGGATCTCATTGAATCAGCACAAAAAGTAGACTCGATGTCTTCCGGGCGTTCTGTTACGCCAGAGCGAAAGCGTTCAGTTCCCGTTCTGGGTAAATCTAGCAGTGGCTCGAGGTTTTATGCCAGAGCAGCAGCGGACAGGAGGAAGCGAATGAAGGAGTTTTCTCAAGATGTGGATGATCAACTTTTTGAACGGTGTGCTAGCGCAGCAACCACTCTGCCAAAGTCGGCATCACGAGGGGAAATCGCTTTCAAAATGGAAAAAAGGCCAGACCCTTTCAAATCCTGGACTGCAACCTGAAATTGGACTCTTCGGCTTTGTAAAATTTTCTACTCAAATGTTCCCTGTATTGTAATATTGGCAGATGACAGAGAATCTGCTACAATCGATAAATCATGCTTTGCAATGGCTATATTGGTGAGCAGAATGGCTATATTGGTGAGCAGACAACAGTTCCAAAGTTCAAATTTGAAGGTCCTCCGAAACTTTAGTCCATGTGTGACTTCATCTCACCATGCGGATTTCAGACTGGGTTAGACATGTTGTATTAATGTTATTCCGTCGCGCACCGGAATGATAGACACAAATGTTCGAGGGTCACGCTTGATGTGGTCGTTGAACTTTCGAACAGCCACAGTGTCTTCATCTCCTATTTTGTCATCACTCTGAAAAACTCTTGAATACCATAAAGTGTTGTCTACTGCAATGACTCCTTTTGGATCGAAAAGATGAGGATGTTTCAACAAGAATTCGTAGTAATCAATTTGTTCCTTCTTGTCGCCATCAATGAAAACGAAGTCGAAGGGTTCCTTCACCTCGTTAACCAAACAGTTGAGAGCATCTTTTGCATCCATCTTCATGATTGAAACATTCACATTCGCCATTTTGATAGCTTCTCGGCAGACATCTTCTGAAGCTGGTTCAGCTTTGAAATTATCCACTGTCACCACACGAGATGCAACAGCTGCCATGGCAATTGCTGTGAAACCTGTGTAAGTTCCAATCTCGAGCACATTCTTTGCGCCTTTCATTCTTATCAGAGACTGCAACGTTGATGCACTCAAGGATCCAGAGAGCATGGAAGTTTTCTGAAGCTTCATGGTTTGTTCTTCTATCCATCGCAACACTTCTCCTTGTTCAATGTTTGAATACTTAGCACAGTAAGTCTCTCGATATGTTCCCAGCTTCGTACCAAGATACGGATCAATCTTCACGTCAGCGAGTAACGACTCATCCTCTGCCGCATCTATAGAGTTGTAGAAGGACATATGAGCTCTTTGCAACCCGCAGGATTTTTTCCAGTTCACTGAATCGAAGGGTTGCTTCCGGAAAGATGCGCTTGTGCCTGAAGTCGTGAAAGGATGGTAGGCAGAAGGGCTTCTGAGGGCAATTCCGGTCCTGTATGGAAAAATATAAGCAAATGTATTTGACTCGCATGAGAAAGGGGTAGAAATGGAACAACACAAGAATGATAAAAGTCACGGTCTACAGGCATAAGCATGACCGTATCAGAAAACAAGAGTAGAGCTGCAACTTCATGGTCGGAAAAACTAGTATGATGTTTGCGACTATTAAACACCTGTCATCAATTCATTAGACTGGCGCAAATCCTACTGGATGATGCATGAATGCAAAAGTGAAGCGGCACCGGACACAAATGCATGGACTTGCAGTCAGCAGAGATGCCAAGGATGAAAGATTCGAAGTTAACAGGACAAGATTATTCATCCTTCTGCAACGCTGTGCAATCTGTGATAGTCTTCACTTTCTCTTTGCCAGAAGTACGCCCTTGCCACCTCTTGAGACCCGCAGTGCAGAAAGACATGGCAAAATCCGTGTATCCTTACTACGTCTTCAGACTCATGTATCTAGAACATGATACTGGACTATTCATTATTTTCTTCATCTTTTCTTCTTCCTCTCTCACTCACTCACTCCCAACTGTCTGAGTAAACGTACGCACTCCTCTTTCATTTTCTCCTCTGTGCAACCAACCAAGTTCGCCCCCCCGGCCCGGCCGGCCAAAATGCCATTTCACTGACCTCCGCTCGGAACTTGAATCGACTCTGTGAGGTCGCCGTTGTCCAAGTCATTTTTGACTAGGGTAGGCGGGACTGCGGCAGTGAAGCGGCTTGACTCAGAGAGGCTTGCGATGGCTTCAGTGAAGATCTAACAACCGGCTTGAACCACTCAGAGTCTCAGGCTGATCACAGTGACAGGCTTGACTCGTGTGACTGATTCCTGCAAGCTAGATGGACCCTTCGGCTTTCTCCTATGGATCCGCACAGCCAAGTCTCCCGACCCCTGCTCCTCCTCCCAACGCGCTGCCCATGGCCTATCGAGACTCTTTCACTTCACTGCACAGCACTACACAACACGACCTCAAAGGCGGGCAATATGCAGGAGCCTCGATGGTACAAGACGAATACCCCATTGCTCAAGAGTGGAGAAGCATGAAGCAGTTTCCTGCAAGCCACCCACTCGTCGACCTCAAGGACACTGCTGACCAATATCCCCCGGGGTCATGGCAGTCCTCTACATGGCCTGAAGCCGAAGATCCTCTTCTAATGCGTGTCCCACATGTAATGAGCTCAAATCAACTCGTGAGTAGATCGACTGGAGCAGGAGCAGGAGCAGGAGCAGGAGCAGGAGCAGGTCTACAGCAGCTGGAGCGGGCCATGAAGTTGCTCAAGACTTCCGTTCACTCCAGTTCGATCTTGCGGCATAGCGAGATCCCGAGGACCACAGCGTACCCAGGCGGAGAGGAGAGCCTTTCAGGGAGCATGAAACAGCGATCGGTGTTGAGCGGGCAGGAAGACTTGCATACAGCTCTGCACAAGATTGAGGTCGAGCTGCGAGATTGTTCCAAGAGTATGCTGGACTTCTGCGTTGAGACTGAGACTGATATGCACATGCTCGTTGCTATGTGAGAAAGAGTCGCTGATTGTCATGACAATGACGTCGTGCTTCAGAAAACGGCACAACGAAGAGCTGTCTGTTGAAGTGGAAACTTTGAAGCATGAAAACGGAAGGATACTGCAGGAGAATGAAAGGCTGAAGCAAAATGAGATTGCACAGAACAATCTCAGAAGACAGGAGGTCTGAGATCGCTCCTCAAGGAGCCAGACTAACAGTGGTACCTCGTGACTGCTTCAGGTTCAAGACTTGAGGAGGAAAATCGCGGAGTTGGAAGATGTGAAAGGAGGAACAAACATTCCAAAGGTGATGCCAATTGTGTTTTGTCTTTTCTCAACTTCATCTCATCTGATTCTCAACTCCAAATTTCTTGCCACATTATCTTCTTCTTTCATCTCTTCTCTGTACCTCATTGTCTTGACATCTCTTCAGGCCATTGAAATTCTCCACTCTGAGCTCGGTGCCATGCAAAAGAACGCCAAGGTGACCAAATTTAGGGAGGTGAAGGTTGATGCGCTTGAAACAGCTGGAGGACGAGGTCGGGATGCTCAGAGCACAGCTGCAGTCGGCTAACGAGCAGATGAGGTGGGAGCAAGAGGAGAGAGGAGAGGTTCGAGACCTGTTCAACAAAGTGTGAGCAGGAGCTGGAAAGAGATTGCGGAGGAGGAAATGAAGGCACATGCTCAGGTCCATGCCGTCCACTCCTGCTGCTTCTATTCACCGTACTCCTCCTCCTCCTCCTCCTCCTCCTCCTCCTCCAGATCATACAAGACAAGAACGACCTGGAGGCTGAACTTCGAATGATCCGTGACTACTGCACGAAAGTTTGGGGTAACATGGGGTAATACACATGTGTTTCCTCTCTTTCCCTTGATTTTTGGCAACCGTCCATGTTTCATCTCTTTTTGTGCTCTTCTACCGATGCATGTACCATGCATGCCTGCTGACTCTTGGTTACTTTCTCTTTCTCCTGCTTTGGAAACGTTTTTTCACAATTAGTGCTACCGTTGCACCTGTTACTCGCGGCTCGCCAACTTCTGACATTTGTCATCGGGTATTGTGAGGAGTTTCTTTTGTTTCTTTTGACGCCTTGTGCGCACAGGCGATTGTCATGTACAACACATCGACGTTTACTGGTCGGTTCACCCAATTCTGATTCAACGTCAAAGAATTTTCGTCTAACTACTTTGATTTGTATCAAGTGTTCGATTATGATGTTGATCCTCTACATACTATCTTCATCTCTCATCTCATCAAAGTTGTCATGTCTTCACTGAGTTGTGCGCTTCACAGCCGACAGAAGTTGGCTCGGATCTACTCTAACGAGGATCAACAAGCAGCTCAAGGTCTGTTCGAGAACAACACATTCCCCTCATCTGGTCACTTCGTTTTCAAAGGAAGGAAAGATGCAGCGAGTAAGAGACGACATCAAGGACTTTGCAAGCAAGTGAGACGATGGCCGATGACAAAGATGTCATTTGTTGTCTTCAAACGTTGACTACTTGTCGTTGCTCAGACTTTCAGCGAATGCCATGAAGGCAGATTTCCTCTCTTCTCCTCTACCGTGGCAGCAATTTCTAAAGAAGGTGAGCATAGCTGAACTTGACATGTTTTAAAGACTACATTTCTGTGCGCTTCGATTCCCTCAACAACAAGGTTGACTTCGTGTTTCAAGCTGGAAGCTGCAACGGAAGATGCTGAGTTTGCACAAGCCCTACAGTTTCTCTTCTCTTTCGTGCGACAAGACTACCTCATAAAGGTTGTGATTGCGCACAAAATCGAAAACTGATGTCATCATTTAGCAGCAGCCAAGAAATCAGCAGCAACCAGAGTTCGAGGACAACATTTCTGCTGCTCCTCAAGTTGAGGTCGTGCCACACGACCTTTCCTCTCCTCATGTCAATCTTGATAGGACGGGATGCGGCGGAGCGATCATCAGCTTTACCCACTTCCTCCTGTGAGAATGGGAGGAGAGAATGAGACTATCAAATGAGCAGCAAGGAAAAGACGACAACCAAGAGAGGAAGAATTTCAAGCAAGAACAAGCGATTGGTAGCGGTAGCAGCAGAACACGTGATGATGCAGCGGAAGGGGAGCAGGAGCAGGAGCAGGAACAGGAGCAGGAGCAGGAGCAGGAGCAGGAGCAGGAGCAGGAGCAGGAGCAGGAGCAGGAGGAATAGCAGCGGCAGCAGCAGGTTTTAGTTGAAAGTACTCTCTCAGGTGGAATCCGTTAGAACCGAGCAGTTTACCAGCTCTCGAGATTTCCTTGCCGTCGACTCCAGCAGATACTCACGACACTCCAGCTTCGCTGAGATGCAGGTATGCAATCCTCTCTGCCTCCTCCTCCTCCTCCTCCTCCTCCTCCTCCTCCTCCTCCTCCTCCTCCTCTCCTTATCCTATCGTTTGTTCTTGGGCACCTCCTCCAATCATCATCATTCTCTCCTCCTCTCCTCCTCTCCTCCTCCTTGCTCTCGTTCTCGAAAGCGGTTCTCCCTTCCTCCTTCCTCCTTCCTCCTTCCTCCACCTCCATCTCGTGCTCCCTCCTTTTCTCCTCGTGGTCATGTTCTTGCATTTCTTGACAGCCATTCAGCGCGCCAGTTTGCCTGGTCGTGGAGCCTTCGACGATCTCTCGCGCTACATTCAGGTGAAGGAGGGAGATGCTGACGTCTGTCTCACTTGCTTCTCTGCTCCAGCCGGCGCAGTACATGGAAGACATGCGGGCAACTCAGCAGCAGGAGAGCTCGAGGACTGTTCAGAGCACGTCGAACAACAACAGGTGGGAGGAACAACGCATGTCTCAAAATCTCTCTCTTCCCTCCCCCGCTTTGTTCTCTACGATTGCAACTTTTGCTCCCAACTCCTTCTGACTTTCTGTTAGGGTTTGGCAGAAGACGTCTGAGACTCCAGCTGCTGTCGAGCAGAAACCTGGTCTCCTCCACCCGGACACGTAAGTTGAAAGTCCTTCAGTTCGTGCTGACAGTCATCAAGGTTGATGCCGCTCAACAAGAGGAAGAGCACGGGGCAGGAGATCTCTGTGTGAAGAGGCCGCAAGAGGAAGGGAAGCAGGCAGGAAGGAGGCAGAGTGTGCATGAGCTGAGTGGGAGGAGGAGAGGATTCGGTTTATTCTCCTGGTCGCTGTATGACTCCCTCAGATTTGAATCTCATGACATGCAAACGACTTGACATCTATCAGCCACAACCTGCCTGACCAGTCCCTGATGAAATCTGCCGTGATGGCGTCGAAGTGATACCTGCCCTTCCTGTCAGCCCATCGTTTACAGCTCTTCCTACCGGACTTACGTAGGGTCGTTCCCTTCCAGGAAGCTCACCACGTCGTTGATGACTTGCTGTGCGTCTACTACCGTCTGCCCTCGGTACGACACCATGCTCGTGTGCTCGAGCTCCGACGTGTCTGTGCAGAAGAAGCTGGTCGCCTCCATGCTGGGCGCCGCCGCCATCCTCCTCATGCTTGAGATCAGCATGGTGTTGCTCGCGTGCAGTCGCTTCCATGTGGTGCGGAAAATCGCTGCATGCTTGCCGAAGGGAGGGACGAATTTCTGCAGCACAAAGCTATCCCCCTCCTCCCTCCCCAGCTTCCTGACAACCCCAGCTCGGTCGAGCGTCTTGACCTCCTGGCCCCCAGCAGAGCTGCGAGTCTTGATGATGGCGAGAGGAGTCGCCTGGAGCCCCTCAGCGGGTGGAGAGTCTTCAGCTGAAACTCACCTGAGCTTCAGAGCCTGAGGGCGATGAGTCTGACTCCAGGAGGTCGAGGAGCGCCTCGTCTCTGAGCGCATCTCCTCGCAGACGTCGGACGTATCCTCTGTCTCGGTCCGTGAAGTACCCCTCCCTCTCCCCCTCCCTCACCATGACCGTCAAGGGGATCCAAACCGACGCCCCGCGCCGAGTCTTGGGGTGGTAGAGATGCTGAAAGAAGCTCGGGGACGGGCGGTACCTGCGAGGAGATGATGGGGAGGGAGGAGAGAGGGGAGCGTTACGGGCTCGAGCTGTAGTCGACCTCCTTCTTCTTGTGCTTCTTGACGACTACCCGATTGAACATCTGCTTTCTCGTATCCCTGAGCTCGCGCAAGTACTCGAAGTAGGTCAAGTTTGTCTTCCCTTCGTAGCTCCACAGCGCATCCTGTTCTATCGGCTGGTCATGCATCTCATACAAGACTCCTTCAGACGCCACGAAGCTCAGCCGAGACAAGCCCGCAGTGACGTCAGCAGGCATGTCGAAGTCCTCGCGAGCCAGGTCTGACATCTCCGTTGGCTTCGCTTTCTCTGACGCATCCAACACCACAGGCGCCTGGAGCTGAGCAGAGGTCGCGAAGAAGCTGGGGTCGATCGTCAGGAAGGAGGAGGAGAGTGGCGCAGGAGCTTTCTTGCTGCTCTCGGGCGATTTACTGCCATCCCCCATGGTCTTTCGTTCCTCTAAGCGGCGCTTTCGTAGTGCTGAAGTTCATCCCTGCCATGAACGCATCATGGCATGGGCGAGCCTACTTACTAACCTTTATTGACTGAAAGAAAGGCAACCCGGAGCAAACTCAGTACCACAAGTGTAACTGAGTAAAGGCGGCGTCGGACTCGCCGCCGCTGAGCCAGGCCCAGGCAGTCACAGAGTCTACCAACCAGCCGCGCCCGGTATAGCAAGTGCCTTAAACCGGCCACGGGCCCCCGGCGGGACTCGGCTAGAGCCTGACTCAGGAGGCCGGCGCGGCCGCCGGCTGAGCCTGCCGGGCCCGGTTGCCAGTCCGACCGGAGCGGGCCGTCCGACGGAGCCGCCTCGGCGGGCCGAGGCAGGGCCGGCCTGGTGACTCGAACTCGGAACCATACTTTGATGAGTCGGATATTGGACTGGCAGTACGGTAAACCGTGCGAGGCTGACTCTGAACTTACTACAAAGAAGACTCAGCTCAGTGTTACGGTACGGTAACTAAGTTCCCCGGTGACTCTCGGAGGCTGCAGGCTGGCCCGCAGCCTGAGGCTGGTCCGAGACCGGGTGGCGAGGCCCCCGCGCCGCCCGGCCTGCCTACACCGTGGCAGTGACGGTGATCGGACCGTGGCAGCTGGGCCGGGCCGGGCCGGGCCGCGGCCGGGCCGGCCGGGGGCCCTATCCGGATCGGACGGTCCGACGATCATGGGCCGATCCGGCCGCCGCGGCACTCAGCCAGTGTATTGCTCATACGAAAAATCTATCGTTCATACATTTGGGGTCTCTATATCCGTCGGGGACGCCCTCTATGCATGTGGAAGTTGCTCGGGGCGGTGCGGGACGGCGTGAGGAGCCTGGACGTGTTCGGAGGGTCCGCCAAGTTCGATGCCTCCCGCTACCCTAAGAGCCAGCCCGGCGCTCTCATCTCCATCCTCGTGCTGGGAGCGGCGATCACCTTGGTTGTGTACAACTGCGTCAAGCTGCATACCTCCGTGGTGGCTGGTGACCAGGATGCTATTGCTAACATTGTGTCCATGAGCGCACAGTATGCGACGTTCAACTCCTTGTTCATCGACTCATCCAATGGGTATGCGATGGTGGCAGACGGGATGTGGGATCTGCCAACTTTGATGTTGGAATCGAGCAACCAGATCGAGTTTTATAACAAGGATGTCAGGAAGATGTACAAGATCGAGATCATCGACAACAATGGCAACCATCGAGGCCTCACATCCAGCTACAGCGACACTCCTGTTGCCTCTGGACTCTACAAGAAGGTCGCGCTGCCTCTGGGAACAGCAAACCAGGACGTACCCCCTGCGGTAGGCAAGGGCGGAGGGTCGTTCACCCTGGCGACTTCACTTGGGGTGAAGGAGCTGCATGCAGGACAAGAGATAGTGAAGGTGCTGGAGGAGATGCAGTCGCAGCAGACGACTTTCTTCGACCATCAGGTCTACCTCTACGTCCGGATCCCCCGTTGGCAGCTGCACGATCTTAAGATGTGTCAGCTGCAGGTTTCGCTCGCGAACGAGGGGCAGTATACGTCTCTGCTGGAGAGTGGTGCTCTGCTCTATAGGGGAAACCTGTCCGAAGATGTCTTCGGCAGCCTCTCATCGTCGCCCTCCACCTGGCTTCCAACAAACTTCATGACCAACATCAACGGAAACACTGTGTATAGCTGGAAGAATCAGCAAATGACGCTCTTGACACTTGCGTCAAACTTTTCCAAGTCCAGTCTTGACGCAGTGAAGAAGACATGGAACGGAGCCAAGTACGTGCTCGAGAAGCAGTTCATGGACTGGCGGGTACAGTTGACCTACCTGAACAACTTCCTTGAAGTGCGTCAGACATGGCAGTGCCTCAGCGGTGGCATGTTGAACCTCACTTACGCAAAGATCAACACCATCCCGACGAGCAACGACACCGTGTTGCAAGTCAGTCTGCCTCCCGGTACCTCCTTGTCCTGGCCGATCCCTCCGTTCCAGATTGTGCTCTCCATGGACGTTCTTTTCGAGACTGTGACAGTCGTCGACATCTCGCAGTCTTCTTCAAGCTTGTCGCTGACTGTCCAGAGAGAGAAGCCCCTGGACTTCACTGCCTCGAGCTCAGGCGGCATCGAGCAGTGGCAGTGCCCGCTCGACTGGTACAACGACTCCAAGGTCTGCGACTGCGAGTGTGGGGCGCCGGATCCCGACTGCCTTCCCTCCAAGAGCCTTCCTGTCGCATGGTGCCCCATCCTCTACTCCAAGGTCGACACTGGGCCCTTCTGCTCCCCGTCTGGCCACTGCTCGCAGGCCCCCCCGACAGAGGACCAGGTTGTCTTCATCTCCAACGGCTGCCAGACCATCGTGCGGCCAGGAAGCGTCGACCTCGTCGGCTACGTGGGGACCTCAGCAGAGTTCAAGAAAGAGACTAACCGATCTTCGTGCGTCCCGTGTCCGGGGGATGACGTGTACTCGGGCTACCCTTCCCTGGACAGCGACGGCCTCTACAAGTGCTTCACGCGCACGGCGGCAATGAGCCACGACTACCTCAATCCGAGGTTGCTCAAGGTCGGAGACGATCTAGTCAGCTCGCTAGAGGGAGCGTCCAACACCTCTGAGCCCAACTGCTCTGTCTACAGCTCCTTGTGGAGCACGTGCATGATGAGCGAGACGAGGAGGAGGAGCACGCCTATCTTTGCCCGATTCGCCCGGGCTGGCATGGCTTTCCCCTTGGTCGAGCAGGCAGGCGCGAAGAATGTGCAAGTCAACATGCTGCTGGGCGAAACTCCTGTCTACCAGGGCTCCCTCCTCCTCTCTCAGCCTCCAACAGATGACCTGCAACTTTTCCTCCTCGGCCCGACAAGCGGCGTTCCCTTCCTTCCCCAGAATCGCTTCCAGCCCGTCCAGTCTCTTCTCCTCAGTGCCGTGCAGTATGGCTCCCCGGGGCTGGACGTGGTAGTCATTAGCTGGAGTCCAGCTGGAGGCCAGGTGAGCTACCGTAGAGGGGTGGACAAGAACTTTTGGGTTCGGTTCGGAGGGAACACAGTGCAGGTACTAGAGCCGATAGCCTCCTCCCTCTCAGGCCTCGCAGCAAGGCCTCCTTCCTCTTCCTCCTCCTCGTACTTTGCTCCGACCTGCGGCGCGATTGTGGGTGGCAGATGCTCTTCCGCTGTAGAGAGGAGCGAAGGAGAGCTTCTGTCATTGCTTCTTTCTCGTCCAGCTTCCTTCGAGCTCGGTCGCACGTCAGTTGTGTCGGGCTTCGCTCCCTGTCCTCCAGTCAACTTGGGAGGTGCAGGAGGAGGCGATCTGCTGGGAAATGCCACCAACAGCTCGTCCAACTCGACATCGCGCAGACTTCTGCAAGCAGCAGGAGCATGTCAAGATGGGGTAAAGAGTCAGCTCGTCCTGCTGGCGCCCCTCTTCCCCTCCCAGGTCCTCACTCAGGTACCGCCGTTCTCCTCTCTTCAGCTCCAGATGTCCCTTGTACCTACTTCTGCTCCTGCTCCTGCTCCCGCTCTTGCAACTGCTCCTGCTCCTGCTCCTGCTCCTGCTCCTGCTCCTGCTTCTCCACTCGCCACTTGCTTCAATTGTTGGTTCGTTGCAATCTTACCGTGTATGTCAGGCACAAAGCTCTTTCGGCGCCGGTCCTTCTTGTGCAACCAACTCTTCTTCTTCTCAACTGAACGGCTCTTCCTCCTGCACTATCAGTCAGTCCGACTACTTCCTCTTCCCTGCTCACCTCCGACCCATCGTCATCCTCCGAACTCGAGGAGGGTCAGCGGAGGTACGGCTTGTCAACGCCACCCAAGGGAACCAGCTCTTCCTTGACAGCGAGGTCGAGATGACCGTCTCCTTTCCTGCTACCGTCGAGACGACCTTCGACGGGAGGAAGCATGCTTGCGTCCCCTCTCACCATCCCTGTGTCAAGTCGGTCTATGGGGTTCAGCTGGATCGCAGCTCAGAGTCGTTCCTTCCTGCCGACAGGTACCAGGCGCATCCCTCCGAGCCCTTCGCCTCCCCGTCCCAGCTCGACCTTGAAGTGGCGCTCTTCACCGTCCCCAACCCGGAGCCAGCACAGATGGGAGGAGGAGCAGGAGGTAGCGGAAATCAGACGGTCGAGCTCAACTATCTTTGCCCGAACAAGCCCATCCTTAACTCGACTCTGTCCTCGCCTGTCGACTCAAGTTGGAATGCGTGGACCGTCCGGCCAGAAAGGTCGGCACGATGATAAGGGAGGAGGGGAGGGAGAGGAGGAAGGGGAGAAAAAGTGGAAGGGGGCTGGAGGAAAGAGGAGGAGGACGGGGAGGAGGACTTGACCGTTACTGATGCTTCCACTGTGTACGGCAGGGACCTCAAACTAGTCTACTGCAGTGACACAAAGATCGTTTCACCTGCCTGCGTCGACCTTGGAGCTGCTGCGGCAGATCAGGTAGCTGTCATGCTGCGAGGAGAGGATATGACGTGACTGCCAGACATGCACCAAGGCCATGCCTCCAACCTTTCAGACTGACTTCAGCTACTCCTATCCTGTGAACAACAAGTGGGAGGTAGGAGCTTCTCCCCCCTTCCTCCACTTCCTCGTTTGCTGCCTGTACTGCCACGTTAGCACCTGTCTCCGTTTCTTGCCTCTCCCTCCCCCGAACTCTGTCCGTTGCTCATCATTCGCAGATCTCCCAAGAAGTATTCCAGCGGTATCAGAACTCAATCAACACGATCGAGTACGACATCGACGTGTCTGTTGTCTACCACCTCCAGTACTCCCGAGAGACTATCAATGCCGACAAGAGCTTTGCTGAGAGCATGAATCAAGGTGATGGAGGAGAGGGAAGCGATGGAGGGAGGGAGTAGGAGACACGAGGGAGATGGAGGAGAGGGGGGAGAGGGGAGATGTTAAGATGTCAGGGGTCAGGAGAGAAGAGTAGAAGTGAGAGAGGAGGAGCTTTGGGTTCACATGGATCTACAGGAGACTACAACGACACCAACAGTTTCTTCCTTTTCAACGGAGCTCTCAATTTCCAGGGCCAGGGTGCTGGATACGACGAGTACTCGAAGCTCTCCTCCCTCCTCCCCGCCAACCACCCTGTCCTCAAGAGCAACCTCATCCTAAGTGTCGACTCCTCCAACGCCGTCAACGACATCATGAAGGCTCGCAATGCAACGCAGGGCAGAGCAGCATCGTTATGGCCCTCGAGTGAACGAGATATCAAGCTTGTCATGGAAGAGTTCAAACCCCTGCAGATCGACTGGGAACTTTCCTCCATAGGAGGAAGGAGCAAGGAGCAGGTACAACTCTCGTTGTCCTCCCTTCTCCTCCTTCCCCCTCTGTCTGTCCTCTGCTTCAGTTAGCTTCCTGATTGATTTCATCCAGGTCATAGTGCTGCAACCTGGCATGGAGTATCTGCTCGAGGCACTGGTCCAGGTCAAGCCCGTCTACGACTCCAACGTGTGGGAGCAGGAGACAATCAGGCGCTGGGAGCGACAAGTCGTGTCGACAGCCGCGTCGGTTACCCCCATCGCTGACCCCAATAAGCAGAACCAGGTTCCTCTATCCCTCTCCTCCTCTTCCTCCTCCTCCTCCTCCTCCTCCTCCTCCTCCTCCTCCTCCTCCTCCTCCTCCTCCTCCTCCTCCTCCTCCTCCTCCTCCTCCTTCCTTGGGAATCACGATCTAGCAGGTGATTGTGAGGTATCACATACAGTTCGATCCTCTGGTCCGAGCACAAACTTTCCGCAAGCAGTACACCGTCAAGAACTTCGCTGACGACTTTGTGCGACTTCCATGCGCCCGAGGACCTGCTGACGTTCGGCTCCTCGCAGGGAGCGGCGACCGGCTTCATCGTGTTCGGTGCCATCCTCCTCAACTGCATCAGACGAGCCGAGTCCTGGCTGTCATCCATGAGGTAGGAGGACCCGAGGAGGAGGAGGAGGAGGAGGAGGAGGAGGAGGAGGAGGAGGAGGAGGAGAGGGTTGAATTGGTGACCTGATGGAAACTCTGCACTGCAGGCACAAGGGCGACCCCTTGCATGGTGAGCATGCGGAAGAGGTACAGTACGCGCGCAGATAGCCTCTACTACTAGCCTCTCACTCTTCTCTTTGTACATTGATTGAACATTTGCCGCATCTTGAATGAGGACCCAACCCGGCGGCTGCAGCCCGGGCCTCTCAGTGTCGATTCGGAGTCCCGAACGGTACCGTCGGTCACGGCACCGGGTACTAGCCACCCGGCCAGTACTGTCACCCGGGCCGCCGGCCCGGGCGGCCGGTACAGTACGGTCACCGTGTGCCGCAGGACCCGGCGGCGACTCAGTGACCTGTTGAAACGGATAATGCAACGGAAATGTACCGGTTCATAACGTATGTCACGAGCCCTTCGCCGTCATGGCGCGATGAGCAGAGGAGGGGAGGGGAGGGGAGGAGGGAGAACATGCGACGACGTTGACAGAGATGGATGAGATCGACTCAGATACATCTTCATGCACTAGAGATATGCAGGTTTGACGTGTAAGAACACGCAGACAGAAGAAAAGAGTGGAAATGTGTTCTCCTCTGAAAAATCCACCTGTCAATCTGACGAGGATTACACTTGAATGATGTGCATCAAATGAAGATTCTAACACACAATTTTATATGAGTCATAGATTGTTCCTTGAATCTTGTTGTATTTGGCAAGAGCGATGCATGTGATGCTTAGGAAACTAACACTAAGAATCTTGCGTCTTATCCACATTTTTCGCTCATGTCGACCATACTCGACTTTGCCACACTCCATTTTGTTACATTTTCATCCAATCTCTAGCGTAAAATACGTTTTCCTGCTTCATTCCTTGCTATCATGCTGGATCATCGTTCACTGAACCGGATCTTGTACGCAGCATGGCGGATCTATCAAGATTCTTTCCTGGCCTTCTGTCGAATACGACTGGGACGTCGGATCAAACCAACGTCACTTCAGGAGGAGGTCAGCCCGAGCCACAGACGGCTCCGCAGCTTCCAGATGGAGAAGACAAGCTGCCAGTAAGATGAGAATCTTGAACTTGCCTGTGCTGATGGTCGTCACAGTCCGGGCTTCTCAATCCGTTTTCCTTCCTCTCGGGATCAAGCACTCCTCCCCCTCCCCCGACCTCCACTCCTGCTGCGAGCAGTGCTCCAGAGTCCGGCGGTGCTGCTATCCTTGCCATGCTGCAGGGTGGGATGAGCTCGAGTGAGGCCCCGAGTGCTGAGGACGCGAAAGTCGCTCAGGTTGTGCCCAGTCAAGCGAAGCAGGAAGCGTGTGATACTGCTGCATGCGATGACAAGCTCATCTCCTTGTGCAAGGGTGAAGCCTTCCATGACGTCCTCACAAGAGACCCCAGTCTCCGCAAGCAAACCAAGGCAACCGCTATCACTATCTACAACACAGAGCCTGGGTATCGCACGGGGCGACTGATCGCTGTGAACTCGAAGTACATCTGCTACGGAGTGCGAGGAGGTAGCATTCGCGTCATCCATCAAAGCACGGGAAAGCGCCTGCTGCAGAAGGGGCACACTACCTCTGAGCTCGCCGACATCGCAATACATGGCGAGAACGACAGGAGCCTTCTAGCGTCTGTGTGCGAAGCAGGGCACTTGTTCGTGTGGGAGATCTTCATGGATGACTCCGATGAAGTTCGTGCGACTGAGGTGTACAGGAACGACAGTGGCTCCGAACTCTTCAAGAGGGTCCTCTGGCATCCTTCCCTCCCCGTCTTGTTGACTGGTGGAGCTGGGAATACATCCAAAGTTCAGCTCATCCGAGGGATCAGCCCAGGCTCGTCGCCTGTTATCGACTTGCTGGCAGAGCACACGGTCACTGTGAACGGTTTGACCTGGGTCTGTGCGCAAGGGGATGCCGAGAAGGATCAGTTTGCATCGGCAGGATCAGACGGGAAAGTAGTTGTATCGGATCTCAGCGGGAACCAATTGACAAGCTTCTCTCCGTTTGATGGAGGATCTGTTCAGTGCGTCATGGCTGTCTGTTCGAAGGATGTTGGTCGATCGTATCTCATCACCGGCAATGATGGAAACAGAAGCATCAAGCTGTGGGACCAGCACGGGACTATCTGCTACCACACCCTCACCTTCCGTGTTCCTTCCCCGGAACTTTTCAAGGCGACGGTGGACGTGGATCCCTTGCACGACTTCATGGTTGTTGCCAACACTGTCACATCAGCAGGAGGAAGCAAGTCTCAGGACAGCTGGTCTGTCTTCACCATCCACATCAACACTGAAGCCTCCGAGCCCTCCTTTGGCTGCATGTGTGAGTTCGAGGTCATTTACCCCATCCTCAGCTGCACGCTGCGGAGAGACGCTTCCCTGGACGCCAACTCAGACCCTCAGGAGCGGGAGATGCACTTATACTGCATGCAGACCAAGGCGATTCAACAGTATCACTTCCGACCCGACCAGTGCTGCATGCTGCCCGCCCACAGGAGCTCCGCGAGTATCCTCCCAGGCGAGCCCTTTGAAGCCTCCAAGAAAGAGGCGCGCCCTCCCCAGAATGTCCCCGTCATCCCCTACCCTATGGCTTCTTCTCCTGTCACGGCAGAGTCCGCGGGCGATGGTGCGGACAAGGTCGGCCAGGACCCTCCCGCCTTCCTGAAGCCAGAAGCGTTTACAGCTGATGCGAATCGAAGCAAGGGCGCAGGAATCCTTGATGTCTCCCAGGCGCAGGCGAAGGGTGAGCCACAGCAGCATTACCCCGCTCTCATGGAAGACAGAGCAGACGAGAGGCCGATGGGGGCTGACGGCTCCGCCTTGTCAAGTGCGGATCTGGAGGCGAAGCTGAGCAGAAGACTGGAGGGGATGTTGAAAACTTCGATGGACTCGTTCCTGGCCAAGATTGAGAAGGAGAACAAGGAGAGGAAGGCGAAGGAGAGGGATGAGATGAAGAAAGCGATCGAAACAGCAACCCAAAAGCTGGCGAGTCAGTTGGAGGAGAAGCTCTCCAAGAATCTGACGGAAACTCTCACCAAGAACTTCCAGCGGGAGCTGGGAAGCTCGTTGAAGACGCAGCTGCCTGCGGCTCTAGACGTGCAATCGCGCTCGCCACAGCACTTGGACTCCATGAAGGCTATCTTCGCCCAGGCGCTACAGCCGATGTTGGACAAGGCCATGAAGGTAACGGCTGACAAAACCGTCGCAGCGCTGAAGCCAGCGATCCAAGAGAGCTTCCGAGCCTCGTTTCAGAGCAGCATCATCCCCGGGTTTGAGACTTCTTGCCAGCGGATGTTCGAGCAGATCAACAACACCTTCGAACGAGGCACTGCTGAGAGGATGGAGGCAGAGAGGAAGCAGGTGGCGGCGGCGAATCAGATGCAGCAGCTTGAGTCTGCCATCGACCGTCTGTCCATCAAGCTCTCTGAGCTTGAAGCGAAGGCTGCTTCTGCTTCGCTTGGATCTCTCCAGGCTCAACCCCGACAGCAGCAGCAGCAGCAGCAGCAAGAACAGCAGTCAGCCGCACAGCTCGCCGCCTCTCTGACAGAGATGCTGCGCCAGGAGCAGTACGAGGAAGCATTCTCCAAGGTGATGACGGGAAAGAGGAGGAAGAGTGCAGGGCTGATGTGCTGGCAGGTTCTCTCCATGTCGGATCTGAAACTTGTCACGTGGCTCTGCCAGAGCTTGGATCCTCGCCATGTGAGTGGAGGGAACGAGGGAGGAGGAGGATGGTCGGGGTGACTTGACCCGCAAGGTCTTTGCAAAGCGTCCTCGTGCTCTGAGTGGTCCAGTCGTCTTGTCGCTGGTCCAGCAGGTCGAGAGGAGGAGGGGGGTTGAGGAGCTTGACATCTCGTCAGCTGGGGTTTGACATGAAGACCGACGCCGCGCTCAAGGTCGCATGGCTCAGAGATGCCTGCGCGTCCCTCGACACTAAGGTCTTCTGCTCTCTCCAGCTCGCCCCCAGCTCAAAGTCGTGCAGGACCCCAAAATTGGACATCACGTGGTCAGCATCCTGCGGGACTTGCAGCTGAAGTTCGCAGGTGATGACGTGGCAGTGCAGGCAGTTGGTGACATGGTGGCAGCGATGGAGAGAGCGCCGGAGGAGCATCCCATCACCCACGACAACGACTTTCGTATCCTCACACACATCCTGCGATCCATTGTTGGATGATTGTACTTGCTACACTTCAGCCGTCTCCTCTCCCTCCCTCCACACACTCCAAGAGCTCCTCTGATGCTTGCCGGTTGCGCAGCACCAGCGTATTCTGTTCAGAGAATCAGTCGTGACATGTAAGGTAGATGAGTGAGATAGGGAAGAAGCAGTGAAAGGTTGGGAGCTTTGAGTAGGCCGGGGAGAGGGAGGAATCGAAAGCGGTGATGGTGTTTCAAAAGGAGGAGGAGGAGGAGGAGGGTCTACAAAATGAGCCCCCACTGCAGGTGGGGAGAGGACGAGGAAAACCTGCATCCTCTCGATAGTGTCGTTGAGGCAGGCGATGGAGCTCTGGTGCTGCTGAGTCTCCTTCCTCAAGTCTTCGCACTCTCGTCGCCTGCTCTGCTCCTCCTCCTGCAGCCTCTTGATCGTCTCCTCCGCCTGACTTCAACTCAGCGCTAAGAGCAGCAGGGAGCGCACGGACCTCGTTGAGCTTCTGCGAGAGTCTGGCTTGCGCTGCTTTCATCCTCCTGGCCTCCGCGCCCTCGAGGCGGGCAAACTGACCCAATGAAACCCATTCATGTAGGGATTGGGGAGGAGGTGGTGGGCGGAGGAGGAGGAGAAGGAAGGTGAGCAGCAGCAGCAGCAGGAAACGTATACTTCACCTCGTCATGCAGTTCCTGGGCGTAGACCTGAAAGAAAGTCGGCGACTGGGCAACAGATGAAATCGCTACCTTGGCTCCCTCCAAGGCGGCGTTAGCTCTGGATTGCTCGCAGAGGAAGCGTTCTTCCCATGCTCTCCGCGACGTCTGCAGCTCTCTGTCCTTGTCCTTACACTGCTCCGAGAGGTCTTCGATCTGTTTTCTGGCTTTCTCCGCCTCCTCCTCCAACTTGTTGATCTTGTCCTGGAGGATCGAGCCAAGAAGTTGACCATTCTACAAGCACATGAGGAAGAGACTGAGCATGGATCAGGTGTGCACGCACCTTGAACATGGTGTTACACTCTTCTTTCGCGGCCCTCAATCGGTTCTTGAGCTCCAAGCTCGAGATTCGACTCTCGTCTTGCTGTCTTGTCAGAGCCTGCTTCAACTTCTCGACCTCCTGCCCCATCTCGCTTTCTCGGCTCTTCGCTTCTCGTCGTGTTTTTCTCAGGTCGGCTTCCACTCGAGCCAACTGCGACTGATGCTGCTGGATTTCTCGTTCCAGCCTGGCAACCTCCTGTCGTAAGCCCTCCTTCTCACATTGACTCGCCAACTCCATCCTTGCCGTCGTCTCGCATGCTTTCCGCCTCTTTGCTTCAAGAGTTTCACGATTTGGCATGCTAACAGCTTGCGGGCGGCTGTCTGACTTGGAGATTCGCCCCTTGTCCTCGTCCTTGACACCAGGTAAAGTTTGAGTTTGATAACGCTCTGTTTCTCCCATCTCGAGGCTTGCAATGAACTGTAAGGCGTTAATGGTCTGTATGTATTCTTCCTGCTTCTGTCAATGCAGCTGTCAGCTGGTCCAAGTTGCACAAGAGGAAGTTAAGCACCTTTCGACTGCTTTCTAGTTCCCATTGTTGTCCGATCAGCCTTTGCGAAAGCTCTGATGTATAAAGATCAAGTTGCTCAGCTACTTTTTCCAGTTCTCCTACAATGCCATCACCGCAGACGATGCAGAAGGACTGGCCAGATCGAGTTTCAGTGTCTACTAGGCTGCTCTCCTTGTGTGAACCATGTTGGTATGAACCAAAGTTGATTCTCTTCCCTTGATGCTTCAGTCCTTCTAGACTCCAGCAGAAATCTTCAGCATCTTGCACAAGGAACCTAAGGATATCATGGCATCTTACAACTTCTTCTTCAAGCTCCTCAACAAGCTGATCCTTGACAACGCTCTGCCTTCCCTTCGAGTTCCCTTCCCTCATCTCGCTTCAGTTTCGTCGTAGCTCCAACCTCCAAAGTCCCTTTGTTACTGTACCCCTACTTTGTTGTTACAGTACCCCTTATGTCAAATGTAAATTTATTCTTTCTTGAGGGTAGGGGTATGGACCCCAACCCCTTCTTCAATTTTGACAAGGCGTGCCAGTTGTTTCGGTTTTGAATTCCATGATGGCACTCGGATGCCTTCGGATCACAGTCTCGGACGACGGTCACCGCCGGCCGGACCGGCGGGCCGGCCCCCCGCCGCTGTGACTCCCAGGGCGTGCGGCCCGGGCCGGCCGGGCGGCTGTGACGGTGCCAGTGGCCCCCTGGCGCCGCCGCCGCTGAGTGCCGCAGTGCCCGGCCGCACGACGGTGCCGACCGTACCGTGGTACGGTCTCCGACCTGCCGGGCGGTTGAGTCCGATCGCAGTCGGCGACTCAGGCTGCCCTGAGTGAGTAGAAGCCGCTCAGCGGCTTGCCCGCCCGGCCGCGGGGCCGGCGGTACCGTCTTGACTTGAAACTTGGGGCCGCGGGCTGTAAACGGTCAGTGACGGAGGTACGGTCGGGTCTTCAACCGTTGACGCCTCAGAAGCAGCCTGCGGCCGCTTGACTCTTTACTGCGCAGTGAACTGTCCGGGGGCGTGCCAGTGCCGCAGCCCGAGTCACTGACTTTACTCAAAATGAAGTTAAAATCAATACGAGGGCCGCCCGGAATCAGGAGAGTCGAGGAGGCCGCTTCCGAGCGCCAGGACCCCGGATGACGGAGCCCTAAGTTGAAGTCCGACGGTCCGGTCACTGTCGCGAGCCGCCGGAGCGTAGTACGGACGGCCGGGCTGACAGTGGCCGGCCCGGGCCCCGGCCGCCCGGCTGCAGTGGGCCGCCGGGCGGCCTAACCCCTCGGCCTCACAGGAGTGTAAAAACATTTAGCTAATCACTTTTTCGTCCGTTGAATGACGCCCATGGGCGGTCGAAATGAAGGAGGAAATGATTAGCAGAGCAGAGAAGCGATTATGATGATGATGAAGAAGATGATGAAGATGAGGATGATAACAAGGAGGATACTTCAGAGCATGACGAGGCTGTTGACGAAGATGAGCATGGAGGAGTCAATCATGTTGATGCAGGTAGTGTTCACACAGCGTTGGTACTTAGAATGATTACGATGATCTTTATCAAGGAGAACGAGAGGGAGAAGGACAGCGAAGAATAAGAAGGAAATGACATGCTGCTGCTGCTGCTGCTGCTGCTGCTGCTGATGATGATGATGATGATGATGATGATGATGGATGAGATGAAAACTAATTTTGCTGGACAAGTTGATGACACCTAGGATGCTAAAGACGATAAGATGAAAAAATAATGATGATTCGGGATGGATGGATGGGCGGATGGATAGACTGACACACGGATGGAGGTGCTGTGATAGGACGAGAAGATCTGTTTCATGTTCATAGAGGAGACCAATAGAGAAATAATAGAGGATCAGTTGCTGCTCGAGTCGATTCTAATGAAATGGAGGCATTTATATTCTGGGTTACATGCCCGACCACTGACGTCTCCTGTAGATGGCGTGTTGATTCCTACTTCCTCATCAGCCATCAGTTGAATGTCGGAGAGTCCAGACTTGGGTGGAGGGTCCTACCTGCCATCAAAACATGGCGTGTCGCTCGAAGTCTTGTACGAGCGATACAAGGAGGACGCAGGTATCCCTCTGCGCAGATTCTTGAAGTTTCTCCGAGATGCCGTCCTGCTGGACAACTCGTGGACATTCGGGCAGGCAGTGACTGTGTTCTTTGAGCACTCCAACGATGAGGAGAGGAACCAGGAGGCGGGGGAGCGAGTCCTGACCCTCAACGACTTTACCATGTGCATGAAGAAGGTGGCAAGGCAGAGCCTCGTTGTCAAGGAGTCCTCGCGCAAGTTCAAGGTGGAGGACACCAAGGAGTCGCAGGAGAACGAGTACTACCTCTTCGAAGGATTGCAGAGGGCCGTGTCGGAGCGACTGCAGGCAGTGCCCAGGTCCGACGAGGATGCGATGCTGAATAAGTTCATCCTGTCAGAGTTGATTCAGCTCTTTTGCCTATCGAACGAGTACAAGATGAGGCTGATCTACAAGAGGCTGATCAAAGTGAAGAGCTGGAAAGAAGTCCTTGCTAACGTGCAGGCCAAGCTGACCAAGTTGGATGCAACCAAGTTCTTTCGTGATGTCATCCCCAAGGACCAGGGAGCAGCGCTGAGACAGGACGACCTCTACGCCATCTTCCGCAATGCCAGCCATGAGATCACCTCCAAGGAATCGGCTGCTCGCGAGCTCTCCAACGACTTCTCCTTCCCAGAGTTTGTGGAGATTCTGATCCGCTGTGCGCTCTCGAGCTCCTTCAAGCTGCTGGAGGAGGAGGACGCCAAGACCCGCGCCTTCACGTTCGACGTGGAAACAGACTCAGTTGCATACGCTGCCGAGCGAGTGAAGGCCTTCTGGCGGCTGGTGTGGAGCTGGTTGCAGAACGAGGTGTCGAAGGAGGAGGAGTACAAGACTGAAGACGTGCTCATGGAAGACTGCCCGATCTACGACGACGCCTCCATCGACATGCAGATGCTCTTCGCTCACTACAGCACAGGGCAGGCCTACACCCAAGAGCTTGACTTCAGCAACCCCAACACCGCCATGGGCTCGGCCGACCTGATACGCCTGTGCCGAGATGCCGGCATGATGGACCATCGGCTGACCTACACGTCGATCATCGAGGCCATAGTGCACACCAAGAGGAGCAAGGAGTGGCTGGCGGCAGAGCTCAACTTCATGGAATGGCAGGTTTTCTTTGTCCGCCTTGCGATCCTCAAGTACGTGGAGCTGCCCAAGATGGACGCAGTGACGATCATGGTGAAGAAATGGCTGCTCCCAATGGTCTACACGGACATTGCGCCGTCGGAGAGCTCCGACTTTCTCTTCAGCCCGCGGGTTCTTATCCTCCTGATCTCGTACGAGAACCACACCGCAGCGCTGCTCAAGAGATACTCCACGGAGAGGAACGTGACGATAGACGTGGAGGGCGAGGTCGTCGAGGAAAAGGACGTGAGTAGGAACGAGCTGCAGAAGAAGCAGTCTACCGTCTCCTCCTTCTCTAGTGACCTCAAAGAAGAGCTGGAGAGGATCAAACAGCCCAACACGTTCAAGATCAAGACCTTGTTCCTCACCCTCGTGGACCTTGTCTCCTTTCTCAAGACTGTCGGGTTCCTTCCCAGGCTGCTCGCGGTCAACGAGCTGATAGACATCTTTGATTCTATCCTCAACGTCAACCCCTCCAGGCCGATCCCTCCTCACTCAGCTCAGATCTCAGTCTCTCACGTGGTGGAGATGTTGGTCCAGTGCTCCCTCCTCTCCTTCGGTCGTCCCCCCCATGCCAGCAAGTACGCGACGAGGGAGGAGAAGGTGCTCGCTGGGATGGAGATGATGGAAGTTGCCTTCTACAATATGACTGGCAGCGTCATCCCCCTCCAGCCAACTATTCTGCATCCCATCCTCGCCGAAGAGTTCAAGGGCATCTCACAGGAGAGCGAGCTCAGGGAGTACCTCCTCACCCGCCGCTGCTGCATGGGCAACGCTCTCGTCCCCGTCCCCAAGCTCTCATCCTCCTCGGACCCCAACACACATCAGGGCAAGCATGCTCAGCGCCTCTATGAGCCCTCCTCTGAGTTGGAGGACGGGAAGCGTCCGGTGAACATCGGCATCCCGTGCCTGGTCCGCGAGCAGCACTTCGCTCCTCCTGCTCCTCATCCCATCGGCGCGCTCATGGAGACTGCGCTGATTCATCACAACAGTGCGAGGTACAAGGCGGCGGTGGACACCTACCTGCAGGCCTGCAATACATGGGTAAACCTGCCGCCCGACCATGACGCTGCGTCGGAGGAAGGGGAGGGGAACATCCAGGAGCGAGGAGAGGAGGAGCGGGAGGAGGAGGAGGAGGAGATTCCTCAGGATGTTGAAGGTAAGACATGCCGCCGTCTCCTTCCCCATCACCACTCCCCTGCACGCCTCCTTTCCTTCACATCGTGAACCCTCGTGAGGGCGTTTGCAGACATCAACGGTGTTCCAAAGGAAGTTCTGCTCTTTTTTTTCATTGCCCTCGGAAGGTATGCCCTTGTTGGGCATCAGCAACAACTGACATGCTGTCAGCGTCTATGAAAGCGCGGGACTTGAAGAGCTGGCTCTCTCCTGCTATTGGTACTGGAGCGAAGAGCAGGAGATGGGGAAAGGGCGGTGGGAGAATGGGAGTGGGCAGGAGGAGGAGGAGGAGGAGGAGGAGGAAGCTGATCTTCCGTTTGCTGCAGCGAGGCAAAGCTGATTGGAGACCAACTGGAGAGCAAGTCCTCGTCCAACTCGGACTGTGCAATCAGGTGAGGGGGGAGGATGGAGGGAGAGGGGAGGAGCTGATGGAGAGGTTGCAGCTATAGCTCCATAGGAAGCGTCTTGTTCCACATGGGGCATTATCAATTTGCTCTCCTCTTCTTCAAGAAGGCGCTTGCGATCAGGTCACGAAGGATTACTCTGCACTCTCCTCACTTTTCTTCCATATCCTGTTCCTCGTCCCCTTCCTCCTCTTCACGTCATCCAACTTTCTCTTCCCTTCTTCTCGTCTGATCGATGACTAGGCAATCGGCTCTCTCCGAGGTGCACATGGACACTGCCCTCCTTTACAACAACATCGGAGCCTGTCACGACATGCTCGACCAGTGAGACCATCGACGCCGCTTCTCTGTCTAGCCCATGCTGCTGCCTCCTGTCCCCTTCTCTCCTCCTTCTCCTGTCATCCCCACTATTCTCTTGTTCTTCTTCGCAGGCTGCTCTCTCCTTGTTCAACTACCACTCTGACGTCTGGCAGGGTGACTGAGGCGTTGGAAAGCTTTCTCAAAGCCAAAGATGTGTTTGTCTACGAGTTTGGATTCGTTCATCCGAGGACGTCAACAGTGATGAGAAACCTGGAAAGAATCAGGTGCGGAGCAGCTGAGGCAAGAAGGAGGATGTTTGACAGCGGTTGATGATAGGAGCCGCAAACTTGACTTCAAGATCGGCTTCGTTGAACGGAAGCCCACACTGTGTCCAAAGGTAAGATGATGCGTTAGACTGTACTGAAGAGACAATCCCCTTGTGAAGACAACTCTCATCTCAATCTTAATGCTTCCTGCGCCCTGTTTCTCGTTTCGTTTCATAGCTGTGCTCATTCGTGATAGGTTTTGGCTTCAAAAGGGAAGACGAAAACAAAGAAGGGGAAGAAAGGAGGAAAGAAGAAGAAGAAATGAACTTGTCCTTCTCCTCCCATGTACATAAAAGAAAGGTTGAAATCATATTTGTTCCCTTCAACCCTGGAACTCTTGCCCGCCAATGACATGAAAAATTTATTTCACAAAACTGATCCAGGACCGCAACAATCCCTTGGTTCCATCCCTCACGCGCAACAGCAAACATATCAGCAATCAGAACATGAACCCTCCAGCCGGCCCGGACATGGAGGGTGCTAGCGTTGACTTCAAGCTTGCAGTAGGAAACGTCTTGTCAGTGCCGATCTATGTATTCATATGAGCACGCCCACAAATATCAGAGAAAGCACAACCTGCTTCAAGGCAGCAGAGTTGGACCCCGTCGACCCCCCACTAAAGATGTATGCATCGAGATTGGGATGCCCAGGGTACAAATCTTTGAAATTCGTCGAGAACAACTTGGTGCTGTAGAGAGGTGAGTTAAAGATGCGAGCAAACAGCAGAAACCGGCAACCAAATTTCGCACAGACAGTGTTTCTGATATACATCACTCTTGCTCATTCTACTTTCCCCCATCAACACATCCGTTTATAAACAAGTGAGTACAAATTCAGTCAGCTATGGCAAGTACGCCACATCTCTCTCCCCAAAATAAAGAAAGCAACAAGAGTGCAGACAGTTTGACTTGAGCCATATCAATGACTTGTCTTGCCCAGTTGTTGTCTTTTCAATACCTTCACTGGTATTTCATCCTCATCAGCATCATCTTCCCCCAACTTACATCATGCTGGCCGCGAAGTGTCGGTCTTTGACTAAAAGAAACGGTACAACTGCTGAGAACCGGGCCCTATGTACGTGGTATGCCCACTATATTTCATAGGTGCAGGTATAAGTAAATTAGACATACCTTGATACTCTTTATACCGTTCTCGCTCTAACCAAGAAAAGTTCGGGAGGACCCCAGATTTCTTTTAAAGCCCGCCATCGAGGGCAGACATGACGGTGAGGCAGGGAGCTCAGCGGGGATGAGGGGCACACCGCTCTCATACTTACCTGGCGAGGGTGACCGCTCGATCAACAAGGAGTGGCCCTGGCATGGAGCACGACATCGCACTCGGTCGCTGTGAAGTGTCATGACCTGACGTCCTTATGGGCGCGGGCCAATCGCATAATTTCTGTAAGCGTGGTACTTGCGTTCGCGCAACACCACCGTCATCCTCTAAACAAATTAAAGCTTCCAGGTCCAAAGCCAGTTGGTGACGGATTTTGTCTTGACCAGCCCCGACTTTGTGCTTGTGTGCTACAGAACTTGACACATTGCGATCACTAAGGTAATCATCCGTGAGAAGGAATGTAGTACTCGAGAAATAAGAATCCTCCGACAACGTTTCAATCCTCCCTTGAACAAATTTAGTTTGATGCGGAATTCCATCGCTCAGCTGCTACCACGGTACGGTACGCATCGGAAATCCGATGACATGCTGTCGGCGTTCAGTTCTACGAAAGGACATGATGTTGAAATGAAGAAATTCTGTGAGCAATACTGTTGAATGAATTTGAGACTGACAACATTACAATTTTCTCCTGAACACCTTCAGTTTAAAGCAAAATTCAATAGCAGATTTGGGGTTATGTTGTTCAGAAAAGGCTACCCCTCTTCTATCGGGAGCATCAAGGGGTAGAGACCTGGCTGCTGCAACTACCACGGCATCCAGCACGTATACTGGAGGAGGACCCGCGCGACGATTGATGTCAACAGCAGCACTGTTCATCACTTAGGTTAGGCTCTTTCTATATGTCATGCAACTCAACGGAGACTCAACGGAGCCGCGCTCTTTTCAAGATTGCTCCTTCCGCGAGCTTGCTCAAAACGTTCGAGCCTGGTCCGTGGGGACAACTTGTGTCAACCGGCGATCGGTGATCCCAACAGCTGCTACCATGGTTCGCATCGGAACCCAAGTTCCCATCAGTCTGGTGCTGTACAACTGGGTATTTATTTGTCTAACCGTGTGTGAGAATACTCCACTTGATGCCCGGAAAAACAGTGTACTGGGTTTGCGAGCACACTCTTGCCTTTCGTTTTACTAGAGCACGCGTCTAACACACGGTGTATTGCACGTTCTGCCTGTGTGATGCACAGCATAAGTGCTATGCAATGATACATACCTCCAACAAAGTGAAAATGGAGCTTTTCGCTCCCACTACCGCGGCTGTTGTCACATGCAGTACACAAAGAAGCTCAGATTCACTGCCTGCATCCTCCTCATCCCAACAGCATCTGTGCTACATTATTGGGATAGTTCCGCCTCATAAAAATGCTTCGAACTGCTCATCAGCTTGATAGCTCATGAACCATGGACATAGTTTGTACCAAGACATCATTGCGATGCAGAAATGATAAGATTACAAGCTTCTGAACCTGAAGTGTTGAAAATAAAAGACAGAGGTAAAAAAAGAGAGGAATTTTCGGTAACACAGTCTGTACTCCAGGCTTGGCGCCACGTGAAAAGGAGCCTTTGATCTCAAACATTGATTCGAAAAAGTCATTCAACTCGACATCATATCAGATATTCAGATAATTTAGCTTCCTTCGACTAATCTGGGAAATGGCATGCCGCACCCTCGAGATAGAGATGAAGCTTCAGTGAGAGTATATGGAGGCATTTATGTGCCAACATTTAGAGTTCATCTCAAATGAAACTGAAGAAGTGGACCAAAAAAATCAAGTCGAGTACTTTTACAACTTGTCGTCACGTTGATTTGGGTGTTGAATCGTCCATCGTCGTCGTCATGTGGTACGCTCTTCACTCACCGTTATTGGCTCATCTGAACACCTGTTTGCGTACACCACCCCCAATGTCCTCTGTCTTTCCCACCCCTCCTTCCCCTTCAATTGCCCGCCATCGAGGGCAGACATGACGGTGAGGCAGGGAGCTCAGCGGGGATGAGGGGCACACCGCTCTCATACTTACCTGGCGAGGGTGACCGCTCGATCAACAAGGAGTGGCCCTGGCATGGAGCACGACATCGCACTCGGTCGCTGTGAAGTGTCATGACCTGACGTCCTTATGGGCGCGGGCCAATCGCATAATTTCTGTAAGCGTGGTACTTGCGTTCGCGCAACACCACCGTCACCCTCAAACCAAATCAAAGACCCACAGTCGAATCAAGCATGTGCGGATTGGTATTTAGTCAAATCTCGAGCATGTGAGTAGCAAATGTCCGTCGTTTTGAGACGGTGGTGGTCACCGCAATTGAAATCCTGTCAGCATTCATTTATGTCTTGTACCTTGGACCTGGATGGTACCTCTTGCTGTTGAGACTAGGAATTGTATTGCGGCATAGAATGGAGCTTGGGCTAGTAGGCACATTGACGGTCCGGACAGTACCCCACCCCCCGGATTCTATCGGTGGGCCCCTGTGGGGGTGCAACTCCTGCTGACAAACTCGACCACATGGTCCAGATTATTTCAAATTTATTGAGTAAAATTAGTACTACCCCGGCACGGGATCTGGGAATCTGGACCTCTGGGCCACGCGTGAAACGCTGACCTAAGAATCCTCCGACAACATTTCAATCCTCCCTTGAACGAATTTAGTTTCAAGGCTTGGTGTCACAAGCTGATCGACGATGCTGGAGGAGGACCCGCACGACGCTGACAGTGCTGTTCATCACAGTGACTTATGACAGTGCTGTTCATCACTTAGGTTAGGCTCTTTCTATAAATCATGCAACTCAACTGAGCTCTTTTCAAGATTGCTCCTTCCGAAACGTGGAGCTTGCTCACCACAGCCGCCGCCGAGCCTCGCGACCTTGAGCGAGACATTCCGGTCGGACAAGTTGTGTCTATCGGGCATCGGTGATCCCAACAGCTGCTACCATGGTACGCATCGGATCCCAACAGCTGCTACCATGGTACGCATCGGAACCTAAGGACCATTGGTTACTCCGCCAGCAAGTCACATTTCGACACGAAATACTAAAGCTCCTCCTAATTTGTAATGCCCAGGCGGAGTGGCAGTCTGAGATCGCAATCCGATCTCGATGGCACAGATGATTGTTGTATCGCTGAATCCCTCGTCTTGCCCACAGCACGGCAGTGACCACTGGTGGTCTAAGTTGAGAATTACTGTGAGATAGAGAGCTTATCTAATCCACATGCAACTGTGACCCACCTTGAGCGTCACGCTATGATGTGCCACATAGCAAGCCAGATCAAACCACGGAGGACTATAGTTCAAGTTCGTGTAATCTTCAGAATTTGCTGTGGTGGATCAGTTAATACACAATCTGGCTTTTCAGATATTCGCTCGTATTATCACCGTCAACTCTTGTTCGCCATTTATACCAATCCAATGATAGTGTTTCAACGCTTTGCTCAGGCAAAGTGAGTGCATTTTTGGGCATCCTCGTAAAGAGCTCCTGACTGGAGGAGTAACACATTCAAAAGCTTGGATTTTGTTCCTGGCATTCCAGTCCACTTGCATTCAACAGCATATGCTTCCCCGTCGACTATCTGCCGTGCACAAACAAGTTTATGATTTGAAATTGTACCCTACCTTCTCCCCCAAAATCCCCTGCGTTTCCCACCCCTCCTTCCCCTTCAATTGCCCGCCATCGAGGGCAGACATGACGGTGAGGCAGGGAGCTCAGCGGGGATGAGGGGCACACCGCTCTCATACTTACCTGGCGAGGGTGACCGCTCGATCAACAAGGAGTGGCCCTGGCATGGAGCACGACATCGCACTCGGTCGCTGTGAAGTGTCATGACCTGACGTCCTTATGGGCGCGGGCCAATCGCATAATTTCTGTAAGCGTGGTACTTGCGTTCGCGCAACACCACCGTCATCCTCAAAACAAATCAAAGACCCACAGTCGAATGCCTGTTACATTGTTGACGGAATTACAACGACGGGAGACTTTCTTTTCGAGTAAGACTCAGCATGAATCCAAGCACACTTTTACGGTCACCGGGAGGTACGGTCAGGGAGTTTTAATGTTTGAAACAAGGTTTCAAACATTAAAACTATTTTTGACCTTACACGCTTTTACACGCCTGGGGGGTGCATATACAACCAAATCGCCTGCCCTCCCCCTTCCCCCATTGCTGCATCCGCACCCGCCGGGGCAGGCGGCGACTGTTTGAATCCCAGATGGCTCTCAGCCAATGGCCCTTTCATCGTATTCAAGCTCCAGGCCATCCAAGGTTGGATCATGTGTGAATGTTTGTACTTTTTGCGGCATACTGCAAGACGACATTTCAAACAGCTCGAGCTTGTTTTTCAAAGGAAGCTGTAGGAATCAGCATCGCCATGGATTCCAGAGTCTAGGGCTGTTTTCGAATCCATTTGATGATCATTGCAAGATGGAGAATTGCTCGTTTTTGGTGATCAAGCATCCACAACCCTCTTTCGTATGATTGAGCTTCGAGCACATCTCTGACTGTAGAGTTGTTTGGTGTCAAGATTGTTTCTCGTAAAGGATCTCTCTGATTAGGCAATTTATTGTTGTTTTGGTTGGCATTCTACAAGACCCATTCTTCCTCCTCTCTGTGTCAACCAAGCACATATGCATAAGGCATGTCAGTCGTGTAGGCAACTTGATTGCAAATAGATCGCAAGTGTAAGATCGATGAACTATTCAACGCCATGAATGCCGGATGTGAAAGAACTTCCCTCAGGACTTCTCAGTATCAGAACCAGCGAGCTAAGACATAAGGTAGAGTCTCCATTGAATATCATTCCTGCGAATGTAATGTTTTTATCAGTTGTGGGGAAGAGAAGCATGGAGACAAGCGGGTGCCCAAGCGAATAGGAGCATCTTGCGGATGTAGGTTTGGACAAAGACGGCGATGATTCCGAGGTTGTGAAACAGGCAGCGAAAAGATGCTGAGGTTTTCGGAGTTCATAAACATGGCTTGTGACGAGCATCGAGCATGTCACACGTAAAGCGATGGAAAACAACAAACAAAAATTGTAAAGCAATCGAAAGCAACGAAAATCAATGGAAAACAACAAACAAAATTTCTTCTCAAAGGTCTAACGAGTGGTGCCAGGTTTGCAATCGAGAAGTGAGAGATTTCACAGTATTTATTATTTTCGATGTCGTCTTCATGAAAAAATATATACCCATGCACTCTGAAATTATCGTGGAGATCATCGTTGGCATGCTCCAACATGCAAGGAAAGCTGAAGAAACACATTTTTGGTATAGCATTTATTTCATCCGTATCCTTGTAAATTGATTGATAACAATCACGGTTTCCAACTTTGTTCAAAATTCTTTTCAGGGCCACACAGGGCACTCGATTAGTTATAATGGTTTCGTCTACATGTTCCAAGAGGACTCGATTGTACATGATGTACACTTCGACAACCTGTGCATCTGAGTGCAGCAATTTGATCATGCCCAGTCGATTCACTTCAACGCCCCTGTGATCTTCACACTGAAATTGAACCCCTGTGCCAGGCTCAAGTATGATATTCAAATTACTGCCTGGCTTTTTCCAGTACATCCTGGGCAAGTCTCGATCATCAACTGACGTATGCAGGATCATTCGAAGCTTCAAATCTTCAGGTGTCTTTGACTCATCACAAGTCTCTTCCTGCTCCAAGAATGTATCGAAAACTTCCTGCCTTCGCCTTCGCTGAATTCCATTTGTTGCTGATACACGACGGTGAAGATTCATTTGTTTGGTGTCTATAACTGGAGCGCAAGGGAAAGGGAAGCAACGGGGAGGGAGGGGAGGAGGGAGCAGGGAGGGAGCAGGGAGGAAGGGAGGGGAGCAGGGGGGGGGGGGAGGGAGGGAGGGAGAAGAGCATGGAAGGAGGGGAGGGATACTTGTTTGCTATGGAGATCTCAGGATTTTTAATGAAAATTATTTGCTCTTTGATCGGGGGCAAGGGGACCTGTGTTTCGGTGGCACCCTGTAGACATGGGGTAGGTATCCATATAAAACAACCGGTGTAGAAAAAAAAGATTGCCGTTGCTAGCTGGCATACGACTCCTTAATTTGAAAACAAAAATACTTATTGGCTAGATTTACTACACTCGTCAATGGCTGACACTAATAAGATTTCATGAGCGTGTATCGAAATATACGAATAACCCTACCCCCTTCATATCAGACAAACATACCGGTACACAGGGCAGAGAGCAGCCAAGAGGCGTGTAAGCCGGAACTCAAATGCTTAAAACGAATATAAAAGAGTACTGAGTGGTACAAATCATTCTGGTACAAAATTGACTAAAAACTGTATGCTTATGATCAAATTAACAGGTACAAGTGTTTGTTAAAAGGATATAAGTTTATAATTGGGCATTAGAAAATACCATGGAATGCACTGAGTCGCCTTTACTCAAAGGTACTGAAAATAAAAACTTGCGCCGGCCCTCAGTCGGCGAGCAACCGTTGAACTCAGTGACCGGACTCAGCGGTTCAGTGGGCCGGCGCGGCGGCCTCAGTCACCGTGGCAAACGGCAGTGCGCGGCCGGCCCGGACACTCGGATCATAGTAGTTCGGGCTCCCGGATTTCAAACTGCCCGGCCAAAGGTTGTAACCAGGGGTAAGGACGTCAGGGGGTGGTGGATAAGAGGGTCTACTCAAACATATAGTCAATGGACCTAATTGTTCAATTAGAGAATCTTATACCTTTGAACACCATAACACTCAACTATCACCAGTAGCTTTGGTGGTAAGGTGGGTAAAGGCCGGGTAGGAGTGCGTTGACGATGGCGCAAGCCCTGGAGTTGGCAGAGCCCAACGTGATAGACGAGGAGCTCATCAGAAACTGCATCACCACAGTGGAAGAGATCAGCATATCTGAAGACAAGAAGCGAGAGTTCAAACAAGAGACTGCATTGGAAGACATACAGGTAGCTTGCCGACCGTTTTCGTGTCCTGTGGTATTCAGTTTCTTCTTTAGGCATTGACCTTCAGCTTCCAAAACATATTGAAGATCGACAATCTTCATGGATTACTCTCCCTGGTAAAGTTACAGCTGGACAACAATATCATCGAGAAGATTGAAAATATTTCTCATCTCACTAACCTAGAATGGCTTGATTTGTCTTTCAACAACATTGGAACGATCGAAGGGCTCGAGAGTCTCATCAAGTTAACAGATTTGAGGTTTGTTTTGTTTCATGAGAGTGGAAACAATGATTTTCTGACTTGCTTTCTGTTTTGCATTCAAAATTTGGGTTTATTTCAAATCTCCTGAAATCCACGGTTCTTCTGAGCAGTCTGTTCAATAACAGGATCGAACGATTGAAGAACTTACAAACATTGACGAACTTGAACTGTCTATCAATAGGAAACAATCAAATCACGGATGTTGTCAATGCGATTCACTACCTTCGACCTTTTCCGAACTTACGAATTCTAAACATGCAAGGGAATCCATGCAGCAAGGATCCAGAATATCACATGAGAATCATCGCCCACTTGAAGGACATTGTGTATGTGGACTACCGACTTGTTGATCCTGATCAGGTTCAAAGTGCGAGGGAGCACTTTCAAGATGAATTGTTTGAGGTGTATGAAGAAGAAAAGCGGAAAGCTGAAGAGATGCAGAAAGTAGAGGAACTACATCAGCGACAACAACAGCTGAAGGACGCAAACTTAGAAGGGATCAACACCCTGTTAGATGAAATGTTGAAAGATGACACAGAGCAAGAAAAACTCAAAAATCTTACTTTCTGGCCTGAAGTCATCGACGAGTTGCAACATGAGTTCAGGTGCAACTTTCCTTGCAAAAAGAAGTTTCTAAAGATTTATGCAGGCTGTTGTCAGAAGAATTCATTGAAAACACAATCAAAGAAAATGTCAAGAAAGAAAATGAAAGAAGCGTTTTTGAAAATGCCCTGAATAGAAATAGAGAGGAAAAAGGTAGGTGCACTCTGCTGACTTCTTCTGCTGAGTGAGCGTTGGCCTGTAGATGAAGCCTCTATCAGCCTTGTACACAAATTCAACTTGAAGAAGAAACATCTTATCCGACAGTTGGAAGAAGATAATATAAGGGAGGAAGAGGCTGTCGCCTACCTCAAGGAACTACAAGAGAGCAATGTACTTGTGTCCCGTTATCCCATGAAACCTCTGCTAACTATGTGATGGAAGTTGGAGCTCAACGATGACTTGTTGGAAATCGAGTTGCGTCAGATGGAAGATGATGATCAAATCTTATCAGGTGCTGCTAGTTCCGTCATTGCTCTCCCCTGCGGTTCCTTGATGTTCCACTAGACTTCGAACGGCGATATGGCGATCTAGTCAACAAGTTTGTGGAGTCAGCACAGAACGAATTCTTCTCAAAAGCGCGTGAGCTCGAGAACAACTTCTATCAGAACTCGCTACGGGTGTCTCCTGCAGTCTGTGGTTGCCCCTCGTGATCCTTTGAATGCGCAGATGATTCAGGAGGAGCTAGAGCACTTTGCCGCTGGACAACTGGATGAGCTGACACCTGAAGCAGCCATGGTTCTAGGAGACAAGGAGCTCATCCTCGCATCCATGAATACTTCCCATGACATCCACCTTGGAAAGATTGACGGGTGAGTTGAACCAGACCATTGGCAGCGCATGAAGTTGGTTTGCAGGTTAGAAGATAAGATCGTCACAAACGAAAGGAAGAACTTTCACTCTATGATGGAAAAGGTGTGATCATCTGAGATATACAAGCTTTTATTGAATGCTACTGTTACAGGATAGGAAAGACTCAGTAAAAAGAGACAGATCTAGAATCACGGAGATAGGAGCCATCATCTCAAGGAACAAGCATGAGATAGAAGAACTTCTGAGAGAGATGGAGCCATGAGAGCAAGAGACTGCAACCTGCCTCTGACGATGGTCTCATTGATTCTTGTTGTCTGGTAACCACATCCTAGACATCTCTTGCACCTCCTGCAAATCCTCGGGAGTGCCGTACTCTTGCGCCTCGTAAGTGAAGATTGAGATGACCAACTTGGCGCTGTTTCGGCCGCTAGGAGTCTTCAACACCCATCCGTTCCTGATGCCATCCGTTCCCTCCAACAGCGTCTGCTCACCGTCAGGCCAAGGCGCCAGCCCACATGACCTACCTTCAACGCTCGAGCTCCTTGTAGCTGAAAGGCGTGGTCCTCTGACCAGAGCTCGAGGCAGCGGGTTAGCCGTTGCAGCCCTTGGTGGCTGACAAACTCTTTCTGGTTGTCTTGGTGCAAGGAGAGGAGGTGCTTGAGCGACTCCAAGACTGACGTCAGCACCACATCCTTGTCGTGCTCGAACTCCTTCAAAGCGAAGCAGAGGAACGCCATGGCCCCCGCCTCGTGCACTGCTGACTGCTTCTGAGCATCTGACGTCACGTACGGAAACCTCTTGCTCGTTCCAGCTGCTCGATGCGTGCTTGGAACGAGGACCATCCTCCCCAGCGCCTGGGGCAACGAGTCAAGGAGGAGAGGGCTTGTTGGCCGTACCAGAGCTCCATGCGCCACCACCCAGTTGTCGTACGGAGAGACGCGACTGCGTTTCAAGCTCTCCAGGTTCCAAGAAAGAATTTGATTCGAAAGGTCTTCTTGGTCGCCTGCTGCCTCTGCCTCCTCTTCTTCTTGGATGCTGTGAAACTTAGTCGACATGACCGCGTTGATCTTGGAGGCGAGTCGAACACACTGCTTTGCTTCGTCACTCCCTCGTCGAGTGCTGGACTTCTCACCTTGTCGTGTGATAGCGCGGTGTTGGATACAGTCAGAGCCCCTATGGCTTCACAGTAAGAGCGGGCGAGCACAGGATCATGTGCGAGTAGCGGCTCCAACTCCGTCAGGGTAGTCATGATGTTGAGAGACTCTGCCGTGTGCTGAATGCTCTGAACATCCGCAATGATCTTTGTTCGCACCCACGTCAGAGGCGAGAAGCATCGCAAGTCACCATGCCTGTTTCGCTATCCCCTTTCCGAGCTGCAAGGACTGGAGGGGGAGGTTGCAGATGGCGGACAGAGCGAGCAAGCCGTTGGAGAGCAGGAACGTGTCGTGAGGATGCAGCCTGAGCGACCCGTTGATGGTCTCCAGTCCTTGGGCTTCCACTATCTGCCATGTCGTCTCGGTCACGAGGCACCGACGGCACCTCAAACCACCTGGCTCTTGATGCGATGCGACGTCTCGGCGAGCTGCCCGATGGCGTACAGTCCGTTGCTCACCAACGTCGCCTCATGCTTGTGCAGGCGGGTGCAGGCGATGGAGCTCAAGACAAACACGTTCCACAGCCCTTCCGTGCTCGGGTCTGCGAGAGAACGCTTGCTTGCCTTGCCCACAAGCAGCAGAGCGTCGGCTACAATAACAGGGTGCGACATGTGGTCAGAGAGGATGGAAGGGATCATTCTAAGAGTATCTTCAGGCAGCGCATGCTCTTCCGCTACATCAGCAACAAACAAAAGCGTCTGATCCCTCAGTCAGATCTCTCCCCGCCCGCAGACACCAGGGACCTCGAGAACGGTAGCAACGTGTCGCTCCTGGGTGACCTGACGCACGACGTCCTTGAGCCTCTTGTCCGCTTCTTCTACTGGCGACAGCTTTCTGTCCTTGTCTCTTTGCTGCATGGCATGTCAAACTCAATCCGGCTGCTGTCTCCTCCTCGTCACGAAAACTCTCGCACACCCGCCAATGTGTCTGACATCTGCTGCTGTACAAGGAGGGGAAGCATCACACCAGCGCATGCGAGGACGTGACATAGGCAATGGCGTTGGAATGACGATAACATGCCGAGGAGAGCAAGGAGATCGATTCTCGCATGCAAACGGCTTCCTCTCATCTCGCCCGGCAGCTATTGCAATTCAACGCATGCCGCACTGCACCAACTCCGAACATGACATCCTCCTCCTCCTCCTCCTCCTCCTCCTCCTCAACTCTTCTGCTCCTTACCTTGGCAATCCTTGCCTCAGCTCGCTCAAGCAGCCTCAGCTTTCGCTCAGCCATGGCCGCATTCCCCGACATGGTTGTTCCCGCTCGCACCTGCTGCTAGAGCGCCGCCATGCTCAAGTTTTTACTCAACTTGAAACCAACAAAATTCTGATAACTTGTGGCCTGCCACTAGACCCTCCCCTCTCCCCCCTCTCCCCCCTCTCCCCTCCCACCCCCTCCCTCCCCCTCCCTCCCCTTCCTCTCCTCTCCTCCCCTCCCCTTCACTCCGCTGCCCTCTCCTCCACTGCCCTACTCTCTCTCCTTCTCCTCTCCTTCCCCTCGCCATCTCTGTAACTGTGCAGGCGTTGTCATACCGCCATGGGCAACTCAGGAACGAAGGGAGGGGCAGCAGCGATACCTGGAGCAACAGGCGAGCTTCTCTCGAGCATGCTTTCACTGTCAACGCGTGTTGATGCGACATGCAGATGAGGAGCTGGCGTCGTTCAAGCACAACTTCACCCGCATTGTCTCCTTGTCGGGCAAGGTGATCTGACGCGAGGATGAGAGACATGCTGATGTGACGCATGGCAGCAGAAAGACTTGGATGAAACTTCCCTCCGCGAGGCCCTCAAGCTGCCTCCCTCCCTCTCATCTCGGTTGCTTCACAAGTTTTTCCTCCACACACTGACGGATGGCCGTCAGTCTGTTCGCCGCCATGCGGAAAGTAGTGTCAGAGAGCAAGGGTAGCGCGGGATCCAAACTGATGCATTTCAGTATGGCCGATACTGGTGACTGTCGATGCTCGAACTTAGCGGACCTGACGCTTCTTGTTGAGCTCTCGTGCTCGGTAGGGTCTGTACCACAGATCGATTTGACAGGAGATCTTTCTCACTCTCGGTCCTCTTTGAAGGCTCGAAGACTATCAATAGAAAGGTCTACGTGCAAGCTTGTCTCTTAGTAGCAACTGACTGGCAAATTGACAGCTAGCGCGAGAGCTCTATAAGACCATCGCCTTTCATTCACTGCCAGATGATGGAAATGCTAGGTGTGGCCTGCAGAACCATACGTCCCTTGCCTACCTGCCTCTCTCCGTAACCTCCTGCTCCTGCTCCTGCTCCATCCTTTATTCTGATTCTCCGAATGTCAGCGCGCTGGCGGAGAGACTTGCAGACATTAGCGTGGATAACGCTTTCGAAGAGGTTCAAGGGGACGAGATGACAAGAGAAGAAGGAGACAACTGGTTACAGCGAGAGGTCGACACCGAAGGCTTCCTTCCTGACCTCCTCCGCTCGGCCTTCCTGCTCTCTGCCAAGGACTCGTCCATGCACAAGAGGCAACGGAATGTTCCCCGGCTAGCTCGCAAGTCGCGTCTCCTCTCAGACGAAGTGCTCTGGATCTTCGGCCCTCAACTCCCTCCCACATGCGTGCAGAAGCCATGGAAACAGCTCTACAGCAGCGTCAAGCACGGCAAGTCCTTCTCGCGCTTCATGTCCAAAATCCTCTTCCGGGGTCCAACGTTGCTCATCTTCAAGGACAAACTGGGGTGTGTCTTCGGAGGGTTCGCCTCAGTGTCCTGGCACAAGAGCAACAAGTTCTATGGGGATGGCCGATGTTTCTTGTTCTCCTCCTCCCCTAGGATGAAGATCTTCCCTGCCAGCAACGTCAACAACAACTTCATGTGGCTCTCCACCAACTTGACCTCCTGCTCCAACGGGCTGGGGATGGGAGGACAGAAGGACTTCTGGGGCATCTACGTGGACACCATGCTGGAACGAGGGGTGTGCCGAGCTCCTTGCTCTTCCTTCTGCAAGATGCCCTGCCTCTCCTCCTCCCCCGAGTTTGAGTTCGAGGAGGTCGAGGTCTGGGGTTGCATCCCCGACTACGTGGCAGACGAGAAGGAGCTGGAGGCAGCAGGGGTGAAGAGAAAGCCCGTGAAGTCGCTCGACGATTACACGGCAAGGAAAGACGGCAAGACTGTTCTTGATGACGTGGAGGCTAAGGTAAGAGCATGTGATGCTGCTCATGATGACGAGACTGTCAGGCTATTCTTGACGCGGCCGGGGTGGGAGGATACAGCGACGACGTGCGTGCGTACGATGCGGTGGGTGAAGGAGTAGAGGGGAGGGAAGGCGAGTCGTGAGATGCCTGAAAGGTGCTGGCGAAGGAGGAGAAGTCTCGAAAAGCAACCAGAGAGGAGGCTGACGCAGGCTCGGACAGCGATGACTTGGAGTACCAGGACGAGGACTGAAGGGAGCGAGAGAATGAGTGAAGTGGGGGAGACAGTGGGAAAGGATTGTGGTCGAGGAGCTCAATGTACTCAAGGAGATCAGGTAGTAGCGAATTCCAACGGGCCCTCCTCGCCAATCATTCCTGCCCTTCACGACTTTGCATCTGCACAAGTCATTAAGATTTACCAGAACGAACAAGTCAGAGATTAACGAACAGCAAAAGTCAATGCAAAGGAGGAAACATGGAGCACAAGAGGTCGTTTGTCAATCAAAGTTAGCATGACCATAATCGAAAGTTAAGATCATGGGTATCAATCGTTCTTACACAGAAGTAAAGATTTGAGTTGCTTCACCTTCTGGTCTCGAGTACGGATGTTCCATATGTACAAGGTCCTGCACCTGCCGCATGTTTCCCGTGCTCACGAGCCATTCCTTGAACTTGGCCTGCCATGCGCCCTCAGCCTCCTCACCCTTTTCACAGACCCTCATTCTCACCTGTATTGCCTTCTGTAGCGCCTGCTTCGTGCTGCCGGCGCCCGCCTCAGTGTCGGCGATCTCCTTGCGCAAGTCCAGCACCTGTCAAGCTGCGTGACTAGCGGCAGGTCACGAGAGGGCAAACTGACCTGTTTGTGCTTCTGCTGGAGGGCAGTCGCGTAGTTAGGAGGCAGAGGGCAGGGGTTGGCCTGTGCTTATTTGAGCTCCAGCAGTGCCCAGAGTACCAATAAGACAACCTGCGAGGCGACGATGGAGGAAGGCTGGGGCTGGTTGGACGGCACGGTGACGCAAAAAAAGTTTTGAGGGGGCATCTGCGAGAATCCAGGAATGGCTGCAGGCTGGTGAGACGAGAAGCTCGAGGAGCAATCATCACCTCCTCCAGTCAAGACGATCCCACTCGCGTTCCGAGAGATCCACAACGCCTCCGCCCAGCGGTTCTGCCGTATGACATCAATGCTGCAGGCTTCCGACATGCCACAATCACTTTGGATCGATCGATCTGAAGAAACCTCCACATGGCAAGACAGTCAGCAAGGAGGGCGTTGAAAGGAGCCACTATCAGGTCGTGGTTCTCGCCGAGAAGAATCTGCCACATCGGGGTGACAAGGAGACAAGAAATGCAAGGCAAGACTCACGGGCTGTCTGTTCGTCAAGATGTGTAGAGTTGTATCAATAGAGTTCGCCACGTGCAGCCTTCGGCACCCAAAGATGAACTTTGATCTCTCGCAGTTGTCCATGGTCACCAAATTAGCAGCAGCGATCAAGATCGTGCAGTTGACGCAGCCAGTGATGACAACATGATGCAAGGGAGCCGTGATGTAGATGAAAGAGTCATAACAGTTCTGAATCTTCATCCATTTCTGCTGAGAGGTCTGCCATGCTTGCTCTTGCGATGGAGCGTTGGGAACAAGCTCCTGGGAAGAGCGGATGATTGTCGATCGCGATATGTTGTGGAGCATGAAGCCTCCCGAACGTTCTGCTGCTGCCGTCTCGATGACAGAGCTCTCGCCATGGACCTTGGTGGGAGAGGAAGCGGAAGAGTGAAACCGTGCAGGAGAAGGCTGCTCCTGCACTGGCAGCGACTCGGAGATCCATGAGCAAAGATCGGAGACGCTGACCAGCTCCTGCTTTCCCTTCCAGAAGGGCACGAGAGAACTGAGATTGCTTTGAGGCACTCCATATGGCGCCATCAGGATCGCCCCCATAGCATCAAACTGCGAGGGATGGACATGCGTTGAAGATGCAGAGCCTGACACGATATGCAACAGCTCCTTGACGTTCTTCTGGATGAAGCTGATCTGCTTCTTCTCCAACTCAGACGCCTTGCTGCCAGAGACCACTGTTCTAGGGGAGAGCTGCTGCGAAGAGCGAGGGGAAAGAGAATCCGATGCTGTCAGCTGAGGATATGCAATGTCCGCTCGCAACGCCCTCGGTGTCCCCCCGATCAAAGATTCATCCTTGTAGACTGCAAGCACATACAAGAACAGGGCGAAGGGGGCGGGAGAGACCGTGGAAGCATCTGACGCATTTCCCTCGCACATACTATCAAAGAAGATGTCAAACACCAGCTGCGCATACCCTGTATCCATTTTGAAGCTCTCCTTGGCATACTTGTGCCAGCTCGTCAGTGAGATAGAGGTTTCTTGAGCCATCCCCGCTCGCGCGCCATTGTTCAGAGCCACAAACTCACAGAGCTGGTTGACGTTTGGCATGTTGGAAGGGACGGGGAGGATAGCATGATCAAACAGTGTAGTCCTCGGTACTAGCGCCGCTCCTGACTTGGACGTCGCACTTGCCGAGGACGCGCCATGAACACGGTTGAGATTTAGAGACATTTTGCTAGCTAAGGAGGAGTTGAATGAAGAGCTCGCCATGGCAAGTCGATGGGATTCTGATCTATCAGTCTTTCACCCACGAGCGATTTAAGCACAGCAGGCTACAGAGCTCAGGCTTCACGTCGGAGACCCACGGGAGAGAGAAAGGAGGATAGGCAGTCGGGCGGGGCGATCGTTCTCTTAGACCCTGTAGTAGATTCAAACCATCTTCATGCCTCACTCCCTCATCTCCCCAAGCTCCTCTCTCGCCTTACTCCCGCTCCCGCCATTTCTTGCCGCTCGCACACCTCCCGGATACCGTGAAGGATACCCTCCCGGATACTTGTGAATAACTTCACGGATACTTTTGTCGGATACTCCCGGGCCGAACCGGCCGGGCGATGTTTCGGTGCCGTGGCTGGTTGAGGTTTGACTGGTCAATGATGGGGATGAGGGGTTGAAGTATGCTCGGGGGGGACGGTAGTTTCCTCTGATCCGATCCCCAAGTTTACTGCGAATGTAAGTGACGGCTACAACATTATAGAATTTCCCCTGGTTTACCCCAATTTTAACACTCATGTTTTCGATTAATACATAGTTTTTGAAATACGAAAATGATTTTTTTCAAGGGTGGTATTCATGCTATGATCGTGACCAGTGCTTTTCTTTAGTGAAGTCACGGCCCCACCATGGCATTCACATGGTCACGGCATGGACCCTATAAGAGTCGCAGACTAAAGGTAGGGGTGGTCCTGCAGGGATGCTGAGGACCCTTCGAGCAGGGCAGGGGATGGCGGTCAGAGCAAGAGGCAAAAGGGGAGAAACTTGAGGAAGGGGAGGCAAGAAAGTGAGGCCATCTAGAGGGAAGTTACGTAGATTCAAGGGGTAGGTGGGGTTATCAGTGAAATGATGAGATAAAAAGGGGATATTCAGTTGATCAAGAGTGATAACGGGGGTGGGGTACTCGAAGCATTAGCAGATATATGTTCTGGGGGGTTCCTTTGGCTCTTAACCTTGGGGAGTTTGTACGGTAGGGGTCTGAGTAGTGCAGGGGGATGTAACGATTGGGCTTGAGAGGGGTCCATTTGTAAGGGTGTACCACCCCTACCTCCAATGAGGCCGGATGATGAACCCCTTGGTTTCAATCCCTGCAATTCCTGATACCTCCCCCACTTCTATGGCCTTGAGAAGCGCAAAAGCGGCAGTGAATTCAATCATGCGCTATCGTTAGAGCGCGAGCGAGCAAGCGAGCGAGCGAGTAACAAGGAAGACACTGATAGCTTTACCTAAGGCGCTGATAGGTCTACCTAAGACACTGATAGGTAGATTGCAGCACAAAGGGCAGTATCCCCGTCATGGCTGACTGGAATGGTGCGCACAGAAAGTGGGACTCCGACGGCAGGAGTAATGAACAATATTCGTTGGGAGGTGCAGATGAGCCTGCGTATGCTCCCAATCAACTTGGTGCCAACAGCTACGTGAGACGAGATCAACATCAATACCGTTTCAGGGCTGATCCTGGTGCCGGTGTCTTCGACCATCCACTCCATGCATATGCGACTGGTCCATTTGTTGGTATCCCAAACATGCCGCAGAATGTGAATATGCCACACAATGTAAATATGCAACAAGACCTTGCTTATTCCACGAGGCGAAACAGCAAGTCTTCTGAAAGTTATGGACTTTCCTATCCACCATCCATACCACAAGCACCCGTCGATGAAGAAGTGTGGGTTTCCGAAGCATGGAGGTCGCTAAAGACCCGGTCTCAGTCCTCACGATCTGTCACCACAAAAGATGTCACTCAGCAATTGAGCTGGGAGAATATTGACGAGCCAAGCGAACGTGAACCGGGCACTGGGGACACACAAAGCGAAAGCTCTCACGTAACTACTGCCAAAGACCCTCAGTTTGCGCAACCTTCGGATTTTTCTCCCAAACAAACAGGAGCTGGAAAGAGTGGACCCAAGTCGACAGAAGATTTATCGGGGACTTCATCGATTGAAGATCGTCACTCCTCAGTGAACTCGGAGCTTGAATTGACTTCCTCTGCTCCATCTTCATGTGTTTGGAATCCTCCCAATTCCTCGAAGCAGATGGACTCGAACTTGAGCCAAGCGGAAACAAAAATTTTGGAGAAGGTTGATGAACAGAGGAACTCCGAGCGAAAGGGAAAGACTGGTTCTCCTAGCAACACAGCAAAAAAGAGGAAAGAACGAGATCTTCCAGATGACATACATTACGGAAGATACGACGACGACTCTGAATGGACTCTTGGGCCCGGAGAACCAAAATGGAAAAGTACGTGGAGTAGGTAAACACCAACGTACTTGTCTGCAACTCTTGTCTTTGCTTCTCTGCTTCTGGAGGGGGGAACGGGGTTTACGACTTCAGTTTGGTTTGTCGTTTTCCTTACAGTACTGTTCCTTTCAGGTTTGGGAAAAGTAATAGTGGAGAAACATCTACACACGAACAGGACTCTAGTGAGATTCCTAGCGGTGTAGTTCAGGCTGCACAGTCTGAGGAAATCGCCAATCCCAAAGTCTGATAGCATACCAGTCGCCAAAGGATAACAGTGAACTGTCAAGTTTGAATATTTATTTCCTTATGTCCATGTTTCTAGTATAAAGACTCGGTACACCAGAAGTTGAGAGATACATCACATGATATGCAAAGAATATTTAAGCTTCAGAGTAGGGACGGGCCGCTTGTGCCGCGGATGCGAGTTGCTTAGTCCAAGGGATGTACCATTCGCCCTATATCGCGTCAGCCAGCTATAATCAATGCTAACAGTCTTACGTTCTGTCCTTGATGTCCATGCTCAAACGACTGATGTCTGCGATCTGAGTCAGCGGACGAAAGATGGAAGATTAGCCTTACAATCGCTTAAGAGCCAATTGTTGGAGCAGATTCTGCCGCTGCATCTCCGAGACACTCTGCTTCTCATCCTTGAGAGCTTTGACCAGTTTGCCTATAGCTTTTTCAGAACGCTCATCACATGATTGTCACTCTCAAACACCTATCATCTCCTCTTCCACCAGTACAGTGCTCTGCGCCATCTATATCTCAAGTCAGTAAACCTGTAACAAGGTAGCCCACAGTTCACCTTGGCTACGTTTGCAAAATCTTTTCTCTGCTTCTTCTCATTATGATACAGTGAATCCACTTGAGCCTGAAAGCGAAATGGGCAACTGGCTCACATCTGAACGCTCCAACGTTACCTGCAAGGCTCCTTCGGTCTTGACGGCTTGGAGCGCATCTCGCTGTGACACGACGAGTCATTAACGAGCAGCACGTTGAAACAAAGCGGGAACCTTGGCCTCTTCTTTCTCATTATCCGCATCCTTCAGCTTCTCTCTCTCCTTCTCCAGTTTCCTTGCCGCCAAGATCTACACGTGCCGAGTCAAAAATACGAAAACAATTATGGATATTGCGGTTGGTTACCAGAAGGTTGGATTTTTCCTGCACCCCTTGATCTTTAACCTCCCATTTGTCTCCTAGTCAAAAGTGAGTAGCAGACATCAAGGGCATCGCATCGGGACCGGGTGAACCGAACGGCCACATCGCCTTGGGTTTCTTCTTGTTTGCCAGACAATCTGTCGAATCGTCTAGCAGAGCCCCAAGAATTCCATGCCTGATCTGCTCCACAATTTTCTTGCACTTGGGATCAGATTCCATGGCAACAATCCAGTCCTTGGCGTTTCCGTCTTCTTCTCCTTCCCCTGTAGACCCAATACCCATCGAGAGCTGCTGGAAAGGCGCTCGAGCCTCGAGACGAGACTCTGAGTGGACGCGACTGTCACTGCAGTCAGAGGAGAGACCAGATCATGGAGGGCAATCAGATACCTCGAGTCATGAGGAATGTTACCAGACAAGCCCTCAGAGCTTCGTCTATCCGCCCACGATGTGATGGTGTCGTCGTATGACGGGTATCGTGGCCTGTCACTTCGCAAACGGGACAGCTGAAGGAGGGACTGAAAGCCTGGTCCATTGTTCTGAGATTGAAGGAAATCGGTTTCCAGCTTCTTCATGTACCCTCTCGAGTTCTGCTCGTCGCTCTTGAGCTCGTCTCGAAAACTCAGTTGCGCTGCTGCGTTGTTGGCTCCTTGCAGGATCGCCTGGTAGTCCTCGTCTCTCACTCCTCCAGAACGCTCGCCTCCCTCTTGGTTTGTATCCTCTCCAACAGCATAAAGCATAGGAAACAACGAGCTGCCCTTCTTCGCTGAGTTCAATGCTCGATACTTGGTCATGTAAAGTGCACTCAACGGATCTCCAGACTGATCGAAGGAAGCTGCTAATCGGGAGGAATGAAAGTCCTTGTCATCTTGTGCATACTTCAATTGCAGTCTGTACTCTGCGGCCTTCTTTCTGTCTCCTCCACTTGTATCTGAGTTGAGATACGACGCCATCTCTGATGACCCCAGACCTGAATGGATGCGAGGCAATCTCGCCACACCCAGTTGGTTCTCAAGTTCCTGATCTTCTTTCGCAAACTCCCTTCTCATGCTCTTTGTGAGGTCTTTCATCCCCCCATCATTCACAACTCCGCCTAGCAAACGCTCCTCCAACTCTGCTCCTCCTCTCCACTTGTCACCTCCATTCAGCCACAACGTAGTGCACAGAGCACACAAGACAAGGCCGCTACAAGCAAGGACCACACCTCTCATGATTCTTCTTCCAGCTGCTGACGAAGTTGCTGACCATGACCCTCCTCTGTCCCCTCCATCCTCCCCTCCCTCACCACCGGCACGACAGCCACCTTCGCCCATAGTGACGCTCCGCCGGAAATAGACTGCAGAACCTGCAATGATGGTAGACCAGACCCGGCCCGGCCAACTTACCGTAGTACTGTCACCCGAACTTCCAGGCTCCGACCACCAGCGTCAGCCGGGCCGCACTGCCGCAGCTTCCGAGGCCCGACTCGCCGAGTCGTGTCGGGCCGCAGAGTGTCCGACACGGCAGCCTGCCCCGGGGGCGACTTGCAAGGCTGACGGCGCGATCGGATAGCGGCATTCAATCAACGTGCCCCGGGCCCGCCCAGCCGGGTACCGGGCCGGCGGGGCCGGCCGGCGGCGCAGGCGCCGGGCTCTCCCCGGCGAAAGCAACCGTGACTCAGCACTCAGCGTCAGGCTGAGCAGTCACCGTGTTCCGATTCCGCATGCCGCTCGCCGCCGGCCCGGCCACAGATCATCGGACTCGTGGTGATTAGCGTCCGATCAGATTAGCCTCGGACTATTTGGCACACTTTTCAAGTATTTAAGTTGCCGTTTGTACAGGTTCATTGAACACGTCAGATATTTTCACATAATCTCACAGCATTGGTTATGCTTTTTCGCCGTCTTGTAGAACTTCTTGCTCTACCGGAGTTCATGTCACGCTACCATCTTGCCCGATGCTCAACCCTCACCTGAAGTGACAGCGAGTCACTCTTGTCGATGAGATCATCGAGCTTCTCCCTGCACAACCGTGAGACTCAAACCTAGTCCAACGTCCGACGACTCTCACCCACGCGCCAGCACAGCATCGATAGTGTTGTACAACACCTGCACCAGGTGCTTTACACTTGCATTCTCACCATCCCGAGTGCAACGAACCTGTTTCGTCTCCTCCAGTTCTCTGATTCAAAGTCCATCAGGTGCTTGCTCGCTCTAACAGACTTCTCACCTCTGGATCTTGGTGATCTTGTCGGCTTCCGCAGGGTCCTGGTACTTGACAAGAGCCTTTGCGAGCAAAGCGTCAGGTCGGCGATGTCAAACTCTGTGACTTGACCTGCTCAAGGTCTGGAAAGGACATACAATTGTCGTTCTTGTCTTCCGACCACTTGTCGACAGTCAGGACTGTCCAGCAGAGAAAACGAGCGAGTCACCTTTCCATTGTTTGCTTCAGTGAAGTCATCTAAGAGCTTCGTGATGATCGCAAAGGCGACCTGTCAATTTGTCAGACTGTAAATCAACAAACATGACAGTAAACCCGTTGAGGGTACTCCGAGTCAGTGATGCAGACACCTGTTTGCAAGAATAGCCTTGTTATCATGCAAACAACCTCCACACAGGTTAGACCGACCGGAGATGCCATTGTGACGACAAATGATGTAAATATAGTTTCCTGCCATGCCAGTCAGTCAACGAAACCTGGGAATCTCCCTAGACTCGCCTTCATGCTCCAGCCTCTGGTAATCTCCGGGGTTAGTCTTTGCTACACATGTCCGAAGCACAAGAGCTGTGATCTCCTTCACAGTGCCTCTCTGACATATTCAGCGTGAGAGACGTTGAGGAGTCAATGAAGATGATACTTGAAAGAAACTCAGCTGGCTGACGTCCACCGCATAACCTGTGACACTTGTTATTGGAGAATCATGAAGAGAAGTTGTAGCTCACAGAGATGCACGGGTTCCTTGATCGATGCGTCCGCATGCTTCCACCTAGAGATTGAAAGTGCATGGATCTTCATCCTGTTCCAAAAGAATAAAATCAAATTCATGCAGATTCGCTTTCAAATTCGCAGAAATGAATTCTCTTCTTCAAGCTCCTCTCCCTCAAGTGACAGCACAGTATTCGAGATCTCATCTGAGCTCTAAACAAGACAACAAGCTGCCATTTAAAAGTTTGGACCTTCAGTCGTGTGCGTGTGATTCAACCAAAGTATGATTGACCCCTAGTCATTCAGTGGCGTTGCAGTTTGTCATGGCGTAAGAAACCACCTCAAGAGAGCTAAAAACTGCAACAATAAAAGACGCTGAATACCAAAACAAAGATGCCGGACAAAGATTATGCTACACGCACGTCGTCTCTATATCCAAGAACTAGTTCTGACAACCAGTATTCGATATCAAACGGCTGCAAATTCACCACTAGGAGCTGCACTAGAAGAGTTGATACAGACAGCTTCTAGCTTCTTCTTGGAAAGCTCCTTCCTTGATGTTTCTTCTCTTTCCGACCTCCTCCTCCTCCTCCTCCTCCGTCTGAGATGCACTACTTCCCCTATAGCCGCCGCTTCCTGCATGCCACCGCAACAGTACGACACTTTCAGTTAATATAAAAGTTTCAGTCTGAAGTTTCTGGTAACGCCCAGAGTCTCAAAGTCTCAAAGTCTCAAAGTTCACAAAGAAATCCCCCATTGATTCCCCTGCTACCTATTAGGGAATGGAAGGGGGGTTGGTAGCGTCAACACGAGGGGTGGGGTACCACAGAACCCGCAAAGTGGGTAGGGTAGTACTGTTAATTAGTATCAGAAACCGTACTGTACTGTATTTACAGGAGGGTGAGACAGCATAGAATGCTTTTGATAGGGTGGGGTGATATTGAAGATCTCTATCCTACATGGTGGGGTGGTCGGCAAAGGTTAGCAATGCAGGCAGCGGCCGAGGTGGTCCAAGGGAGCGCGAGGCAGGGGGGCGATGAAGAAAGGAAACAGACAAAGTGAAGGAGGACAGGAGATAAGAACCGAATGTAATCCCTTGGGTTTGAGGATCCGGTCATGGATGCTCGAGATGCGAGCGTCTAGCATGGTTGAACCCAAAAAGGGAAACAAGTTTTTTTTCATGCGGGAGCAGAGTCGGGAGAGGATAGGTATGAGGTGAGAAGAGCATCGCCTCTTGTAGATTGGATGTGGAAAGGTAGGCACGATTGCAAAAACTCGCATGCTGAGCTGAAAAAGAGGTCGCACTGCCGTGCCCACCATCTCGAGGGTATGCAGGGGGTGCTGAAATGACTGAGTTTCCTTGGTCAGGAAGGACTTTCTGCATCGAGGAGATGACTTCTCATCAGCTATTCGGCTTTACCTTCCGCGCTTGCGTTTTTCTAATTCTGTTTTTTGAGAATGTTGTGTGTTTCGCTCCCTCTCTTTTCCCAACCATGAGCATGATTCCTTCGTGGCGGCCGAGTCTCAGGGCATTGTACAAAAACCAACGAGTGTCGTGGAGCGCACCTGCTTACAGCAGACCAGCCATACTGCCTCAAACCTGTGTGAAGATGAAAGATCAAGATGGTGAAAGAATGGTCAAAAATCAGGATGCTGAGCCGTCAAGGAAGCCCACCTCGCTTGAAGCTGCTGCCTCCCTGGATCTAGACCAAGCAGAGAGCGACATGAAGCTGGCGAACATCAAAGACGAGCTGCAAGACATCAACAAGAAGATGATGGCCACCCTGCGCCGGAGGAAGACGTTGCTGAAGAAGTACAGAGCGTTGAACCAAGCAAAGGCTGAGTACGAGGACTTCGTGGGAACAATCAACACCTTCTGCACTGCCGAGGAGTTCGACATGCCGCACGCATTTCGACGTCTGCGTGTGTGGAGCAGAGGCAACGCCAAGTTCATGGAGGAAGGGAAGGTGCTGCACGTGCGAACGGGCTCCCGCTTCGATCAGGACAGCGGGGAGTCAACGTACGAAGGGGAGGGGGACGCGTTCATATTTCCGTATGGCGTTGTGGTGTGCTGGGGGCTGGACGAGGAGCAGGAGCTCGAGCTGCTCACTGTGCTGAGGTTCTGTGAGGTACAGGGATACGTAGAGCCTGAAGAAGATCACTTCTCCTACACCTATGGGGAGGGTTTCGATTACGTTTTCAGCGAGGACCAACTGATCCTGACCACACGGCCCAGCAAACGGTAAGAGGCAAGGGGTCGATGTTGCCAGAGATACTGTGAGAGATGAGCTAGATGATGGTGTAAGAGATGAATGAGATGATGTTGTAAGAGATGAATGAGATGATGTTGTAAGAGATGAATGAGATGATGTTGTAAGAGATGAATGAGATGATGTTGTAAGAGATGAATGAGATGATGTTGTAAGAGATGAACGAGATGATGTTGTAAGAGATGAATGAGACGATGTTGTAAGAGATGAATGAGACGATGTTGTAAGAGATGAATGAGATGATGGTGTAAGAGATGAACGAGATGATGTTGTAAGAGATGAATGAGATGATGTTGTAAGAGATGAATGAGATGATGCTGTAAGAGATGAATGAGATGATGTTGTAAACACCTTGTGAAGTTTTCTCATCGCTTTCTTGGCAGGACCGAAGATCTCGAGCGATCTGTTCTCGAGAAGTTGGCAGCTTCCCACGGCTTCGCTCAGTCTTCCCGGCTCGCCGCGTTCGCAGAGTCTGTGCAGCAGTCCATCGAAGACACACGAGGCCTTGCAGCAGAGCTGGCAGCCAAGGGCGACATTGTCAGCCAGAGTCAGGTCAGCTCCTCCTCCTCCTCCTCCTCCTCCTCTTCATCCCCATTCTCCTAACAGCATTGACTCACGCTGTTTCTGTCAGAGGGACATTGCCCGCACCTACGGTCGCCTCATCCTCGACCGCCACACTATCTACCTGTACGCTGACGTTCTTGACACTCCCGACGTGTGCTGGGAGAATCCAGACCTGGATCCCCTCTACCGGCTCGTTAACAAGTACCTCGAGCTCAGCCCGCGCGTCGAGCTTCTGAACAGCCGCGTCGATGTCGTGAGAGAGCTGCTGAGGTCTGATGAGTTTGCTGGTTTGTTGCGATGACGATCATGGTGATGATGACGATGATGATGGAGATGATGACGAAGACGATGATGATGATGATGTATTGAATCATGTCAAAAACAAGACCATTTTGATATTGATCGCCTTTGCAGCCTTCTCTCGGACGAGTTGCAGAACAAGCATGCGAGCAGACTGGAGGAAATCATCATCTTCCTCATCACTGTTGAGATCCTCATCGAAGTGGTCAAAGACATTGTCCCCATGGCAACTTCTTGGGTACAGAAGAACGCGGCCATCAGCGCCGTCGGCGTCGCTCCCTCTCTCGTCGCGTCGAGTGCGGTGCAGGCGATCATGGTGAGTGTGTGAAAAATGGAGGAGGGAGACAAGGATGTTGAGGAGTGAGAGAGAAAATGATGGAGAGGAGAGAGGAGGAAGGCACAGTATGAGAAGGCAGTGGCTAAGAAGGACAAGGAGGAAGAAAATGAAGAGGTACCAATGATAAGGGGAGAAGATCGAGGAGGAGAAAAAGGAGGTAAGGGTGAAGGCAAGGATGATGACAACGAAGAGCAGATCACGACCATCACGTGCTTCGGAGTGCTGTTGACAGGAGCTGTTTTCACGGGCCTCTACTGGTGGTGGACGGTCTTCAGGTAAGTCGCCCTCCTCTCTGCCTCCGCCTCCTCCTGCTGATGGCATGAAAAGGCCTGGAAACTGGTTGAAGAAGTACATCAAGAGATTCACCTCTCATACCACGGAGGTCACTCCCGTCCTCCCTCCTGACTCATCCCCTCCCCTGTTCCTCTATCTATTGCCCTCTCTCTCGCTAGCACTCCTTGCTAACAGCACCGTCGCCTCTCGTTGCTTTCTCACCCTCGTCTAGGTGGCGAGAAGCCGCTTTGGAGGAGGAGCAGGTTTCAGATAGCAGAAGGCAGCGCTGCTGTTTGCGAGGGGGTGGGGATTTGCTGAAGCGACAGAATGCTTCCGGAGATGTCACAAGCTGGGATATGTTTTTCCTTTAATCACTCGAAGAATGAAACATAGTTGACATGTGCGATAAGAGACGGGATTTGAGAATTTCAGGACGGAACAGGAACAGGAGCAGGAGCAGGAGCAGGAGCATCAAGGCGTGAGGGAGGGAGTTGGAGCGTCAGGGAGGATCAGGAAGCAGATTTAGGAACAGGGGGGAGAGTGAGGGAGAGGGGTGGATGACTGGGAAGCGAAATGCCGACAGCATTAATGCTGTAGACCACAAGCTGCGCAAGTCCGTGTGAGGAACGAGAAGGAACAAGGAGAGGAGACAAGCAGGATACAAGAAGAGGAGGATACAAGAAGAGGAGGGAGGAGGACTGGTGATGGAAGTAAGGAAGAGGGGAGAAGGCATCGGAGGAGGAAAAAGGAGGAAGAAGCAGAGGAGGAGGGAAAAGGAGGAAGAAGCAGAGGAGGAGGAAAAGGAGGAAGAAGCAGAGGAGGAGGAAAAAGGAGGAAGAAGCAGAGGAGGAGGAAAAAGGAGGAAGAAGCAGAGGAGGAGGAAGCAGGGAAAGAAGACCTCTGTGATCTGTCGAGATGTCGCGAGCCCTGCGATCTTGACGCCGTTGATGCGTCCGTTGACACGTTTGATCACTTGCCGACCGTCTAGGAGGAGGCAAACCTGACCAGGAGGTATGAGAGCCGAGCTGAGATGACGCCAAGGCCACTAGGAGGAGAAGTGAAGGAGGAGGGGAGGCAGAGAAGGGGAAAGCAGGAAACGATGTACCGAAGAGAGCAGGATAGGAAGGAGCAGGAGCGGGAGGAGCGGGATCAGGAGGAGGACGCGAGCAGGAGAAAGAGACCTCATAGAAGGTGATGGAGCTGCCATGGTCTGTCCGAGGCACATCCCAACCCACCACCAGAGTATTGAAAGTTGGAGCCATGGCGCGAACATTGAGAGGAGGAGCAGGAAAGGATGACGCAAGGTAAACCTCCACCTCCTCCGACCAGTCGCTGGCTCCTACCTGCATTCATGTGAACAACGAAGAGACAGGGAGACAGGGACAGAGGGAGAGAGAGGGGGGGTGTGGGGGAGGGAGAGGGAGAGGGGGAGAGAGGGGGGCGGGGGGGAGAGAGAGAGGGAGGAGGGGGGGGCGGAGGGGGAGAGGGAGAGAGAGGGAGCATTACCACATTGAAGCATCGAACTTTCGCAGTAATCTTTGAACCAGGTTTGAACCCTTCGAGTAGCAGCTGTTGCTCCCCCTCAGCTCCTTTGAAACCTCTGGAAATCGGGGACGAAGCTTCACACTTGCTGTCATCCGTTTGTTTCCCCTTCTCCTCCTCCTCCTCCTCGTTCGCTTCTGCCAACGCCAAAGCGTTTCTCTCCTCTTGGGTCATGCATTGGGTACGGAACAGCTCCTCGAACTCGTAGTCGCGAGGAAGAGGAGGGGGAGGGGGAGGGGGAAGAGAGTTCTCCTGGTCCTGCGGAGGAGGCTGGAGCTGAATCTCGTGCACCCACTCGCGGGTCTGCAGGGAGCTTGACTCCTCCTCGCATCGATTCTTGTAGCGCTCACAAACTTTGACCTGCAGCTGCTTCTCAGACCTGCTCCCTTCCTCTCCCCGCTCCTCTTCCCCTCCCCCTTCATTCTCCTCTCCCCGCTCCTCTTCCCCTCCCCCCTCATTCTCCTCTCCCCACCTCCCCTTCCCTCTCCTGCTCTCTCCTCTTGCTACCTCATACTTGCTGATCCCCGAGCGGCAGTGCAGGAACGCAGGAGGGGACCAGCGTATCCTGCAGCTCACGAGCGGTCGCGAGCGCCTGCCCTCTTCCTCCCTCTCCGCTGCCGTCGCTTCCATGCTGACATTCAGCGGAGGACTAGGAAGAGCGTCGCTAGTGATGAAGCAGAGGGTCTCGGTGAACTCTCCCCACCCGCTGGAGCTCCTGGCGCGAACTTTGCACTGAATCTCCGAGGAAGGGAGGAAGGGGCCGAGGACGAAGGCCTCCGACCACATCGAGCCCTTCCTGCTGCTGCTCGACCAGAGCTTCGCGTCTTGGTAGGTTTGCTGCTGGGGAGTCACTGCGGGGGAGAGAGGAGAGCAGGAGGTGGTGACAAGAACCTGCAGGCGCTTCATGAAGCTCGATCCTTCCAGCTCACCCCGAGCTGGGATCGGGTTGTCTTCGATCGAAATCACTCTGTACACCACCTGCTCGGCTCAAGAGTCACAGGAGGCCGCAAACTAGTTGACACCGCGAGACACCAGGACAACGGGATTAGACCAGCTGGCAGCCAGCAGACAGACCTCGAAGTCGATGAGATCAGCTCCGTGCTTCAGCCGCGGCTCCTCCCACTGCAGCTCCGCCACCTCCTCAGTCACTCTCGAGCATCGCAGGTTGGACGGGGCGGCGGGAGGAGCTGGGCGGGTGCTGAGCTTGACGCCCTCACTCCAAGTCCCATGAAGCTGAGAAGCGATCAAAGACGAGAGCAGTTGGAGGGCAGAATGGAAGAAGTCCAGCTGCAAAGGGGGGGGAGGAGCAGGGGCGGAAGATTTCTCAGCTCAGACCTTCTCGCCGCTCTTGGGTCGCCTGATGAAGGAGCGGATTTTGACCTCGTACTGGTGCGCCGGCTGGAGGTTCTGGATTAGCTTCGCGCACTTCGTGAGCTGGTCAGCCGTCAGACTCCCCGCAAAGTTGCCAACAAGACAGACGTTGACAGTCTCCATCTTGACCGACCCGCTGGCACCTGCTCCAGGGTCAAATCGAAGCCGCTAGGGGCTGCTGGACCTGGTTTCTTCTCAACCCCAGTAGTCTGCAGAAGGAAGGAAGAGTGGTCGTCACACCTGCAGTGACATCCCTGCGAGCTGGGTCACAGCTGGGGTTGTCGTAGGGATGAGAGGACCTCGAAGGGCTTGGGGAAGGGGAGGGGCTGGATCTTAAGCTCATACTCCATGCTCGGAGCGCTCATGGGCCGCAAACTCTTCCTCCGGTCTGTCACGCTACTCCACCCGCCTGTGATGACGTCAGCAGGTGGTGACCAGCAGGGTGCAGCTCAATGCCAGCTGGGCTCTTACCGAGGAAGTTCGAGGGGGTCCAACAGAGCTTGATCCATGCTAGAGCTCGCAGCCCGACGCCGATCCGACCCTCCTCCTCCATCCAGAGCCGAGCAGGCATGGCAGGAGGAAGCAGCTCGGGCTCCTGCTGAAGGCTCACAGAGGTGACAAAAGCCTTGCTGGCTGACCTGCCCCCCGAAGTCTCGTCCTCTCGCGTCGCAGATCGACTTCATGGCGTCCCTCCCACTCCTTTCACTGCTGGCCCGTTAGCTTTGAGCGAAGAAGCAGAAGAGAGTTCGTGACAAGACAAGACAAGACAAGACAAGACAAGACAAGACAAGACAAGACAAGACAAGACAAGACAAGACAAGACAAGACAAGACAAGACAAGACAAGACAAGACAAGACAAGACAAGACAAGACAAGACAAGACAGACCTTAGCAACGCATTCAGAACGATGAGAAACACGTCTAGCTGCATGCCATCTATTATAGGATAGAGTTCTTGCGTGATTTTCTCCTCGATCTTTGACATGTCCCTTGGCCATGAAGCGACGCCAGCTGGAGCAAGAAGTCGCTCCTCCCCTCCAGCCACCCGAGAAGTCGCACGATCCCTGAGAGGTCTGAGAGGCGAGAGAAGGAAGAGGAAGAAGGAGGATGAAAGAGGATGAAGGAGGAGAGGGAGGAGGGGGAACAGAAGGAGGAGGAAGAGGAAGAGGAGGAGAGGGAACCAGAAGGACAGAAAGAGGGAGAGGGAGATGGCAGTAGAAGGAAAGAGCGAGGAGAAGAAAGGATGCTGGTACGAGGGAAGTCACCTGCGATCGAAATTTTTGTGCTTGCTTGGCACTCGAATGCTCAGAGGCTCCTCAAAGACAGGAGGAGCGACAGGCGACTGAAACGTCAGAAAGGAGGAGGAGGAGGATGATGAAATCGAGGAAGAGAAAGATGAGGGCAAGAGCAGGAGAAATTCAGAAGACGTTGATGGAAAAGAACGACAAGACAACCTTCTTGATTCTACCGTATCTATCGAAGTCAACGTTGCTCATGAACAATCTCTTAGAGTCTTTCATCTGCCAGCGTCTTCAAAGGCCACTTCCTCCTCCTCCTCCTCCTCCTCCTCCTCCTCGCACTCTCCAACATCCCCCCTCCCCTCCTTGTCATGATTTCAGAGGTTCATCTGAACTTCTACAGTCTTCCTCCTACTGTCTCTCTCCTGTACTCTTTCCTGCTCCTTCCAACAACCTCCTTCTCTCTCCACCCTCAGTCTTCAGTCCTCTTGACTCTGCTCCTCCTCCTCCCCTCCCCTCCTCCTCTCCTCCTCTCCTCTCCTCCTCTCCTCTCCTCCTCTCCTCCTCTCCTCCTCTCCTCCTCTCCTCCTCTCCTCCTTTCAAGAACTCACCCTCTCCTCCTCTCCTCCTCCCCTCCTCTCCTCCTCCCCTCCTCTCCTCCAAACTTTGAGCTCCTTCACCTGCACAAGGACATAGAGCTCGCTCAGCGCCTCCTGCCACTCCGTTCGCTTCCTCCCGTCAGGCATCAGGTGCTGAAAGAGCAGCAGGCGCTGTCCTCGGGCTGCCAGCAGCAGCTCCTGCAAGTCGGAGCTCGCTGCTGATTCAACGCTGCTGCTTCTTTAATCAGTCGACGGGGGGAGGACGTGAAGACGGAGTGAGAGAAGCAGGGAGAAAGCAGAAATGGTAAGGAGGAGATTACTCGATCGTTCCTTCTTGAAAGTTGAGACGGCAAGTCCGACCAGCAGCCACGGATCGAAGGACAAGGATCAGGTCCTGAACGAAGAGTGAGAGAGAACAAGAGAAGGGGCGGCTAGAAGAGGAGGAAAGGAGGAGAGAGGAGGAGAGAGGAGGAAAGAGGAGGTGGAGGAGGAGAGGAGAGATGAGGAGGAGGAGAGGAGAGATGAGGAGGAGGAGAGGAGAGATGCGGAGGAGGAGAGGAGAGATGAGGAGAGAGGAGAGGATGAGAGAGGAAGAAAGGAGAGAGGAGAGAGCGGGAGAGGAACAGGAGGAGATGGAGAGGTGGAGAGGGAAGAAAGAGAGAAGGGAGGTCACCTGCACTCGAAGCGCTTCAATCTTGGAGGGGATGAGCATGGGCCCGCGAACTTTCGGGCTCGAAGGATCAGCTTCATCGCTCTGAAGGCAATTCAGGGAGGGGGTGACGACAGAGGGAGAGGAGGGAGAAAGGGGAGAGCAAGGGAGAGGAGGCAGAGAACAGGACAGGACAGGACTGGACAGGAAAGCGGAAAAGAAAGAAGCGCGAGAATGGCAAGAGCAGGTCAGCCAAGTGATGGTCGAACATGAAGAGGACGAGGAGGACGAGGAGAAGAACAGTTACAGGGATCATAGTGTATGCTCGGTCTCCGATTGCAGCAGCGTAAACCTCAAGCTCTCCCAGCTCCTGCTCTTCGATGTTCCATCGCTCCCCCGCCTGCAGCACCGTACCCACACTTACATCCTCCTCTTCATTCCTCTCAGTTCCTCTTCAGTGTGTGCAGTCCTCTTCCTCCAATACCAGCACCAGCATCATTACCTCTCCTGCTTCTTCCTGTTCCTCCTCCTCTGCCTGACTTACCTTTTCTTCTTCTCCTCCTCCTCCTCCTCCTCCCTTCCTCTCTCGCGTTCTCTTTCCTATCCTTCTCTCACCTGTATGAGCTGGTCGATTAGCCCAGGACTCTTGGCAGCTCTTTCAGTGAAGGCCTCGAGCTTCTTGCCAGGCCGCAGCTGCGAGCCGACGAGAGCCTTGAGCCCTTCCTCCGCCTGCGGGCAAGACAGGAGAGAGGAGGAGGAGGGAGGAAGAGGAGGGAGGAGGGGAGAGAGGAGGAGGAGGGAGGAGGGGGAAGAAAGTGGAGGGAAGGGAAGAAGGGGAGGGGGGGGGAGACGAAGGGAGAGAATCGTTTCAGAGGAGGAGATGAAGACCAAGGAAGAAATCAGGGCAAGGACGAGGGAGACACGAGGTCAACGAGGTTTGAGGACAATGGTTTCTCCTTCCACCTGCAGCATGATGGTGTCTTTGACAGCCTGAAGATGATGAGATGAGAAAACATGACGATGAAAACGCTCTCTTCACCTGCTCCTCCGCGTCAAACGCTGCTGTGAAGACTTTTTGTAGGTGATCATGCTTGTGAATCTTGCGAGAGAAGGGGAGTGAGTTCAATCATGCTTGCAGGGTTATCATACCATGTAATGAACGACGGAAGAGCAAAACTTGAAAGACGCCTGAAAGGTGGAAGCTCAACAATTCAGATGGTGCAGCAGCTATGATGATATTGCTGTTTGAGATGATTGAATGAACAACTCAAAGTGTGTGGTGTTTCACAAGGGTGGGAAAGAGATAGATCAGAAGTGCACCACTTTGCATGAAGTTGTATAGAAAGAACAAGAGAAATCAAACACACGAATACATGTCAGAAGTCACATGGAGAAATTAAACATGTCAGTCATTTCTTCTGCTCACCTCATACGTCTCCCTGCAGTCACTTCGTACTTCCCACTCAAACGCCATTCTCTCAAAACCAACCTGAATAGAGAATTTGTTGTCAATAGCAGCAACAGGATATCGCTGATGCCAAGCGCAACAGGACAAGCACTGATCACAAAACTTTCAAACCTTGAGGACGTCAGTCATGAATTGTTGAATGTCTCTGTACTGTCCGTCCATCGCCTGTCACTATCATCACATCGTCTTCGCCCTTCTCATATGGAAAGTGCTATTGACCATCACGATCGACTGGGTTGAAACAAAGAAAATGATGCAGCTGCTGAGGAGAAGCACGAAAAGACAAGAGAGAATGACAGTGATGTTTGTGAGGGAGCACGAGACAGGTCACAACACCTTCAATCGAACTTGACGCAGGTCAAGACTCGTCGGGAACATGTTCATGTACTTGTTCTCATCAAGATCGCGGAGCTCCAAGTGGTCAAGAAGATCCTCAACAACAAGAGTCAAGCTCGCAGCAGCAACATCATCTTCAAGATACCTCGATGTCTGTCAAACCGAGCTCCCAGAGGGGAATGGCAGAGATGTCTTGTACGAGCGACATATCAAACCATGAATGAAGAGGATACAGGTTTACCTGCCGGAGGTTCTTCACCATGCTTTCTCAACATGATGAACTGAAGGAGGAATGCTCAGGTGAGATATGAAGAAACACAGGAGAAAACTTGTTTGAGTGCGGGCGCAGCAAGCTCGAAGCGAGGATAACTCAAACGATTTCTGCCTGATTAGAGCATTACTGCTTCACCCCTGATCAGAAACGTTTCTGACCTTCACTGCCTTCCTCTTCTTGCATCTTTATGGCCCAGTTGCAATCCAGAAAGTGCAAATCTTCGATGCAATCAAGCTGGATCCCATGTCAAAACAACCAGCTATTTTATGTAAGCAGTTCAAATCTGACTAGCGCATTTCGCCATTCCCTTCGAAAGCATGGTCAGAAACGCATCAGACTGGCGATTCGCTTACATCTCTCGCGCGTCTGGTGCGAAGTCTAGCGAAGGGACCTGATGCATCGACGACAGAAAAGAAGAGGCATGTCAGAAGAGAGATCAGAGACAGACATGTCAGAATAGCGAGCAACAATTGTCAATACATATGAATGCAACTATCAAATGTGCTGTGCCAGACGAAACCAAAAAAGGTGCATGATTCTAACTTTGAAATCGAGTAAAGGTGGAGATGACGAAGAAAAGAGTAGCATGTGATGGTGAAGGAGATGATGTTGGGGGTAGCAAATGAGATGCAAACATCTGCAGCACCTGATTCTTTTTCTCTGACCAAACTTTGTTCCACACCATTGACGCAAATTTTCTTGACATGTCATCGACCTGGTTTTTGAGTCTCGTCATGAGCGAACAGCTTCGGCCAGGCTCGCTCTCACAAGCGACTAGCTCTCATACCTCGATCTTGCATGTTTTCAACAGCATTTTCACGGAGTTTGCATCCAGAGTTGCATTATTTTCACCATCCGAGCCAAAGGTCTCCTTGATGACTCGTCGGCGCTGTTGGGGTGTAGAATTCTTCAATCCCATCTCTGCGAGGGAAGGAAACTGATTTCTTGAGACAACAACCTTTAGCAGCAGTCAAGAGAGGACCATCGAAGCTCACAGGCAAGCAGGCAAGTCACAACAGCGCTAAGTTCTTACACATTGCTGGAGCTTGACTTTGTCTTCGTTCCCCCGTAACCCATACTTGCCCATGTGCTGTGGCGATCGCAAAGTCTCATCCCACTTTGCGTTTGCCATGCACGTGTTGGGGCCTGAGAGGAAACAAGTTCTGACTCAGCGCTGCATGACCATCACGGCATGCAACTACCCATTTGAAAGTTCAGATCGAAATTCAAAGATAGCTGAATGTGATGTTCCAACTTCATGGGGTAAGTGCCAAAGGTCGGCTTCATGCTGCAGAGCATGCGAGCTAACCTCGGCCGAGTCTGAAAGGAGGACATCAGCTCGAACTACTAGAGGGATGTACTGCAGGGGAACCTGTCGGCGATTGAAAGTCTGAAAGATCTGCAGTGACGACGTCTGTTAACCCCGTTACTCCTCTTCTTATAGTCTTCTCTCCCCTTACCACGATCTCGTTGGCTGCTGCAAATTTCGGAGTGGTCGCGCTGTCTTGTGGAGTGTGTCCTCTTGCGTTGGCTACCTTGCTGTCTGCTCCTGCAGCGAGCAGATACCTGCAAGCATCCCACGCCCCTGCTCTCGCAGCTGCATGCAGGGGGGTGTTACCAAGCTTGTCCCGAGCCTGAAGGTTTCCTCTCTTCGCCTTAGCGACGAGATGCGACAAGACCTCGACTGCATTGTTTGCCGCGGCGTCATGCAGGGGCGATCGCCCGGTGCAGTCCTGCAGGAAGATATCTCCCCGCAGCTCGATGGCTGACGCCGTTGCTAGCGCGCTTTTGTGCATGGCCGCCACGTGCAGTGCACTCCATCCCGTGTCTGTCTGGGCGTCTATGGAGGAAAGGATCGCGCCGTTTCTTCCTTCCACAGCGTCTGCAAGGCGCTTGCCGTCGTTGTCCCGGGCATAGTCGTGGATGGACTTCCATGACCCCTTGATTTCCAGCTGCTTCTCCTCCTCTTTCTTGCCATGGCTGCCCGATCTTAGGAACATCATCGTGTGTTGCCATTCAGCCTCGTTCACCTCCTGCAGCACTGGTTTGGCATCTGGAACCACTTTCTTCTCCTTTGCATGTTTCCAACCGGACAGATCGTGTGTGGCTCCTGTTGGATATTGCTCGCCTACCGTGGGCATGACTGAGATGACGGGAGGAGGGAGCAAGGTACAAGAGAGGAAGTTGTTCTTGTTGTCTTCACACTTCACTTGCTTGTCTTGTTGGCCTCATCATCCTTTTCATGAGGTCACTGCAACTGAGTTCACACTTTCTGCGACCAAGTTCTTTCATCATTTTGGCACACGCCGTGACAGGCCGTTGGCCGTTTTGACTCGCCATCTGACAAGGCGGCTAGTTTGACGCTGTTTTTACCGTCGCCGACGGAAGCCGGCCCGGGCCCCCGCCTTCGGGCCGCCGGGCCATCATGAGTCACTGCAACTGAGTTCACACTTTCCGAAGTTCTGCGACCAAGTTCTTTCATCATTTGGCACACGCCCGGTGACAGGCCGTTGGCCGTTTTGACTCGCCATCTGACAAGGCGACCGTACTAGTTTGAAGCTGTTTTTACCGTACCGCCGACGCCGGGAAGCCGGGCCCCCGCCTTCGGGCCGGGCCATCATGAGTCACTGCAACTGAGTTCACACTTTCCGAAGTTCTGCGACCAAGTTCTTTCATCATTTGGCACACGCCCGGTGACAGGCCGTTGGCCGTTTTGACTCGCCATATGACAAGGCGGGTAGTTGATATATATAATGATAGTAGTTTGAAGCTGCTAGTTTTTACCGCCGACGGACTCCGCCGGGCCCCCGCCTTCGGGCCGGGCCGGGCCATTTCGCCGGGCCGGCCGGCCGGGTCACTCAGGCGCTCCGTGTGCCCGAGGCATGGCACAGTGACGGCGTCACTCGGGTAACTGAGTAACTCCGGGAGTCCGAGTCCGCCGCGCCAGCCGCCCCCCCGGCCCAACGAGGCTGCGGCGCCCCCCCCCCCCACGGGTGAACTTGGCCCGGCGTCGGAAACTTGACTCGGGCCGGCGGGGGGCCCCGACGACCTCGGCGGTGACTCCGAGGCGTCGGACCGTCGCTGCGCCCGGTCGCCCAGGCCGCTGGCGTCGGCCCGGAGTCACTCGCCGCGCCCGGCGAAGCGTCGGCCCGGCCCGGCGCGGCGCCGGACTCCTTCCGGGACTCAATAGTTTTAAATCAACCGTGAATAAACGGCCACAACTTCCAGGCAACGGAAGCACAAGGCATCCTGTGGGTGTAGCTGACGGCCACCCCTGGTCGGTTCCATACAGGACCCCACCCCAGGAGAATCTGCCCATGGAGAGGTTGCACCGGTCCTTTCGTTTTAGATGTACCCTACCCGTGACAGAGATTGAGGAGATACTTCTTGAATAGGTGTGGGGTACTTCCTGTGACGAGGGGATTGTACCTCTTATAAATTTCACTATCATTCAACTTGGAAAATCTACAAGGTGTAAGGGGGTGTCTTCTTCTTGCCTGTGTGAGAGGAGGGTAGGGTGGTTCCTTCTACGCCGAAGATTCTTTGCCGTTTAAACACCCCACCCCAGCGACTCCTAATTCTCGATGTATCTGAGGGGGGGTATTCTTTTCTACCTTCATAGATTGAAACGTTTCTATGTCTTGCAATAAGTAAATTTCACCATGCCTGCTGCTTCACATTCAGACGATTGGTCCCCCATCCAATCATCCACGCCAAGAGATGAGTCCCTTAGGAACTACCCACCTTGGCAAGTGGTTGTATCCACACCCCTTAATTCTCCCTTGAAACCCCTTTAGTACCCTACCAAACCTAGCTAATTGACCCACCCATACGACCAAATGACTACCGTACCACCATCCAGTGCTTATCACCACCCCCATGTTGAGATCTGTCACCCACCCCTAACCCCCGACGAAAACGTTTCAAGTTTCATAGGGGTCGCGCTCCTCTGCGGGCTTCAACCCTGCCCTACACCCATCGGGCCTTGGTGCCCATCCTTTCACGAATTCTGCGGGGTATCGAATTAAAAAAAAGGATCTGCAGAGGACTGATACCCAGGGTCAACCTTCTGTCCCTGGGGCGCTTCGTCGGGTCAACTAAAGTTCCCGGCGGGGGTCCAAAGTGATACCCTTCAACCCGACCACCCCAAATCCTTCAGTGATGACACGTCATTAAGTGAATAAATTGGTACGTGAATTGACATATTGGCTAAACATTGAGACGATTTCAGGGGTTGATGGCGGACCGGAGGCCTCCTCTATAACCCCAAGGACCCTACGCCTGAGGCCATCGACCGCCATGCTACGAGCCATCCTCTGTGCGGCTGTCGCGTTCGCCGCCGTTGATGCAGCGACTCTTCTACATGCCCCAACTCTCCGCATGAGAGGAGGCGGCAAGCACTTCCCCAACCTCCCAGACTCTGTGAAGCCTGGAGTTGTCACTGGTCAGGCCCTCAAGGATCTCCTTCAGACCGCCAAGGACAAGGGATTCGCCATCCCCGCAGTCAACTGTGTTTCCTCTAGCAGCGTCAACCAGGTCTTGGAGGCTGCCAAGAAGTACAACTGCCCTGTTATGATCCAGTTCTCCAACGGAGGAGCTCAGTTCTACGCCGGAAAGGCCCTCGACAACCCCAAGGAGACCTTGAAGGCTTGCGTCCTTGGATCCATTGCGGTATTTGTCGTGTGGTAGATTTGCTTCAGATTTTGCTGAATTTATCACAAACAGGGTGCTCACCATGTCCGCTTGATGGCCGAGCACTATGGCGTCCCCGTGGTTCTCCACTCTGATCACTGCGCGAAGAAGCTTCTTCCCTGGTTCGATGGCATGTTGGACGCTGACGAGAAGTACTTCAAGGAGCACGGAGAGCCTCTCTTCAGCTCCCACATGATCGATTTGTCTGAGGAGCCTCTCCAGGAAAACATTGATCTGTGTGTCAAGTACATGAACCGTATGGCTAAGATTAACTGCTTGTTGGAGATGGAGCTCGGTATCACTGGTGGAGAGGAGGACGGTGTGAACAACGAGAATGTGGACAACGCCTCCCTCTACTCCCAGCCAGATGAGGTGTGGCAGGTGTACAAGGCCCTTGCTGCCGTCCCCAACTCCATGTTCACTATCGCTGCCGCCTTCGGTAACGTCCACGGTGTGTACAAGCCTGGAAACGTTCAGCTCAGGCCCGACATTCTTGGCAACGCCCAGAAGTATATCAAGGAGCAGTTGAAGTGCAAGGAGGACAAGCCTGTCAACTTTGTGTTCCACGGTGGATCGGGATCCGAGAAGGACAAGATTGACACTGCTGTGAATCATGGAGTCATCAAGATGAACATCGATACCGACATTCAGGTGAAGTGGTATTGCTGAAACGATGCTTGTCTCACTCTTAGACCAGTGGGCCTGCTGGGACGGAATCCGCAAGTTTGAGAAGGAGAAGCACGATTACTTGCAGGGCCAGATTGGAAATCCTGAGGGAGCTGACAAGCCCAACAAGAAGTTCTACGATCCCCGTGTTTGGCTGCGCAAGGCTGAGGAGTCCGCTGTGGAGCGCCTCGGGGTAAGACGCAATCTTGTGCCTCTTAGTTCCCTGATGTTTCCTTTAACAGGAGGCCTTCAAGGATCTCCATTGCGTGAACGCCCTTGGATAAATATTTGAAACTGTAGGATAGGTTTGACCCTTACGCTGAGTTTGTGGCACGAGATGTACACAGTAAAAGGCTTAGTCTGTGAATTTCATTCGAGTGCAGCTGATCATTTCCTCATTCACCCTTCTGTATAAATACTGGAAGAAGAGAGCGTTCAAGATCCAAAAGCTCTCCAGCAACCTGGTAGAAAGTAATCCACAACATCTCAGATGGGAGTCACCATGACGTCACAAATACCTCCATTGGACCTTTGGAAATGGGTATTTGCGTTTCTGCAAAATCGTGAGGGGTCAAGAAAAGATTTTTGATAAATAGTAGATCATACTGCATATTGCTGTCATGCCGTTCAACCCGGCGGTTGTCCACTCACTCCCGAGGTTCTCCAAAATCAAAGGAGCGTTGGGTTTACTCAGATTGGCTCGTTTCACCGTCTCTGCCCATGCATGATGCGGCCGTTCATATTCATAATGAAACTTTCCATCGGGTTGTTCGTAAGCCATCAAGTACCTCGCTATCACCTGAGCGTCGGTCGCTTGGCCGATAGGAAAGGTCCTTGACAAGACTTTCCCGTTAACTTTGGGACTACCGGGAGGATGGACCACTACGCCCACATCTCCGATCTTTCCTGCGTTCTTGGTGTATTTGGACCTCTCGTCGAAAACTCGGGTAGTCACGATCTTGTCATCGCAAACCATGTCAAAGATCTTGTACATCTGGGGGGATTTTGTTAAATAAGACAGATTTGGTTCACAGACTCCTGCCGTCGACCTCATCAAGCTCTTCCTTCCAAAGCTCCTCACGATCGTCAACGTTGACCAATATGTCCTCAACCATGGGTAAAAGCTTCTCATATGCCTGTTTGTCACCATCGCATTGTGATGCAAGCTTCGAGAAAGCAAGATCAAGCTGCAGGCCCCAATCTGACAATCCCCATTCGTCAAAATCTCCAGCCGCTGCTGCATCCACCATTCTTCGCTCGTACTTCATCGCTGCCTCTGGATTCAGCATAATCCAAACCGAAAGGAGCCCGTCTGTGTCGAAGTGGTTGTTCAAGACCACGGCATCATTCCACTTGTTTTTCTCTGAGCCCAACTCTGCATGGATGAATTTCAAGACAATATCCGTAGAGAGATCGGCCTTGTATTCCTTGGGTGTCTCATTGCCGTTCCAGTGTGTGAGCTGCAAGCTGCGACCCAACAGTTAGAAGGAGCAAAGAAAACGTGAGAGATGACGGAACCTCGTGCCAGGGACAAGACCATCCACACAGATACTCTTCTTGTCGGACTCAAACTTCTGTCCATATGGCACGAACTCAAACGTCCTTGCCATGCTAGTGATGTGGGCTCTTCTTGAGCTTGAACGCCATGTTGACAGCCGATGAGGATGCATCTGAGTCCTCAGTAGCTGGATTGGACGGACAGAAGAGGTTCGAAGTCGTTGAATGAAGGAAGACGCCATGAATGCTGCGCTGCCCTCGCAGCATAAGAGCGCAAACGCCGCCAGCACAAGCATATCGGATCCCTTCCTCAAAGTCAGCCTCATCTCAAGGGCGTTACATCTGTAACTGGGGAGTTTTCTTTGGTAACGGTTCGTAACGACTAAGGACTTCGCCTCAGAGCAAGGCTCGCGCGCGGCAGGTATGTCGGAGTGGACGGCAGGAGAACAGCTGGTGCTGGCCGAGGCTGTGCAGCGACATGGAGGAAGCATGGTGCCAGACTTCTCCATGATCGGCAAGCTGGTTCGACAGGCACTGCAGTACCCGGGATCCATGCGGAGAGACACTGAGTTCTTCACTCCCCGCAAGTGTGAGAACAAGTGGAGAGAAATGGTCCTGGCAGAGGACTCGAGGAAAGGTTCTGCAGGGAGGACGCAGCGGAAAGTCATGGACCCAACACCATCTGAGCGAGCAGGAGAGATGATCGAACGCCTGAGGGAGCAAAGAAAAGCAGACATCAAAGCTGAGCTGTCTAGGGTTCAAATGCAGATAGAAGAAACAGAGAAGGATATCAACAATTCAGCGAGTGCAGATCAAGATACTCTCGAGCGATGGGTGAAAGAATGTTCTAATAACCCTGACTTGAATGTTCTCGATCAGCCGACCCCTGCGAAACCTGCTAGTGCAGGGCAGGCAGAAGGCGACAAGTCTGAGACCAAGAAGGAGATTCAAGCTGCCGAGGCGCCTCTCACTCCATCACGCCCTGCGTCCTCGGCTGAAGCGCAACCAGCTACAACACCCGCAGCCTCTACGAGTGAGACCAAAACTCCCGTGCAGGTCAAGGACGAGAAGACGACGCCTTCCAGCACCAAACCCACACCAGTAGGCAAGCACACAACTCCAGGATCAAAGCTCTCCACCAATACAAGCACTCCGCCTGTTTCTCATGCACAAGACAATTCAGAAGATGTTTCGAGCGTTGCTTCGGAAGATCTTCCCTTGGGCGTCGCGAGAAAACGGAATGAAGCCATGATGAAACTATGGAAGGCAATCTTCGGCCATGAAAAGTCTGAGCCCTTCAAGAAGCCTGTCACAAAGCGAGAAGCTCCTGATTATCACGCGATTATCAAAAAGCCCATATGCCTCAATGATGTTAAAAAGAAGCTTGACAAGAACGAATATGAAGGAAATGTTAGAGAGTTCATGTCGGACATGGCGCTTATTTTCATTAATGCGATGCAGTACAATCAGAAAGGATCAGAAATATTTGCTTGGGCCAAGGAGCTGCAGGTGGTTTTGAAGAAAGAGGAGACAGCGATTCTCGGTGAGCACATTTCGGCCATGGAAACTCCTACACCGCAGCGGCCACCAGCAGGTCGCGGATCAGCGAGCAAGAAAGGAGTGGAGGCGAATCACGAAGAGGAAGAGGAGGAGAATACCATCAAGAAGCCGCCAAGAGGGAGAGGGCGGTGAATCTCATGCAAGCTGCTTAATCATCGCTGACCTCTTTTTCAGCGCGCCCAAGGTGGAGCAGGAGGATCACGACGCAGAGCACGACACTCCACAGTCTGCCACTAGGGCACCCAGGTACTCTGAAGCAAAAAAAAGGATGAAAAACTGCGACTGATGCCGAACCATCTTTTCAGGGCAAGGAGACAAAGTGCTGGAGTCAATCCTGGTCGTGATGGAAGAAAGAGACGGAGAGATGATGATTGAGTTCAATCCGACTCGGCGTTGCCAAGTTGAACCGTCCGGTTACGACTACTAAGTTACGGTTGGTCTTGTCAAAGGCCCAGTCTCATATAAAGGATGCGATACTAGGGTGGCTAGGGTTCCGTGCAGGCGGCTCGGTGACGCCGGCCGGGCCGGGTGACCCGGTACTCTCAGGCTCACTGATTCACCGCTGAGTGCGGCCGCGGCCCGGCCGGCGCCCGGCCCATGATCCGTTAAATTTCTTCGGAACCACGAACCGTTTATGATCGTTACGTTGTCCCTCCAACAAGCCTCTCCTACCTACCCCATGTCCAGATGCCCTATGACCGGTTGCCTTTAGCACCCTACCCACATTTTGACATTATTTATATCTGTAAAAGACGGGTGCAGATACCAGGTAGTGTACCCCCACCACATCAATTCACCCAGTTTTCTCAAATTTGAAGCGTGATGGTCGACATGCAGTATGCGTGTGTTAGCGCCGGCAGGGGCGGTGGGCCAGCCAATGATGCAGACGATGAGAAGAGAAGAAGATTTGTCAAAGATATAAGAGCATGGTAGAAGGGGTCAAGATTAGAAGGTATATCTTCTCAGCGACAAGCGAAGCATGCTGCGCAGTATTAAACGTGTTTTGTGGTAGTTAGCGATACAATATACCCTTAACCATCACCAGGTAATAGACGAATCAGTATCATCGTTGGAGCTTAGCTTAAGCAAGTAGTTTGCCAAACTTCGATCAATGATTTCCGAGATGCGGAACATTTCAAAGATTCAAAAGTTGGTCGAAGCTGGGGTTGATTGATTGCAATCTTAGATCGACTTAATTTGTGAAAGAAGGAAAAAGTCCTCATTTTCTATCACTCTGTAAAGATTATTCATGTACGAATGACTGTTGCTTGCAGAACCCGCGATGGCCAACCTCTTCCTTGCCAACTTGCCGTCAAAAGGTCTGATGGTGAATCTCCCAGAAATCGGTTCCAATCTCAGGTTGCACAACATGTGCGAAAACCATGTCCAGACAAATGATGCAAGCAATGCCGAAGTGCAAATCATCACAACTGACAAAACCAACATTCTCGCTAGAAGCCTACAACTTCGAAGACTAAGACACTTCTCAACAAGCCCTGAACTAAATTCGAGATCAAACTCTAAACAGAAGCGAAGGTGGTAGAAATGCCCTTCTTGAGTGTTGTTGACATCCTTTCAGGAGGGAATCGGTCAACTCTTGTAGCAAACGCAGACTCGTCTTGTCGTCTCCCACACTGCGTGAAAGCAGGATAAGCTCTTACTTCAGGCGTGATGACGGTCTCGAGGATCAACCGTCCGAAGCGAAGATGGGATCTTCGAAAGGAAATGCAAACTCAGCGAGGAAGAGAGGTCGAAAGCTCTTTCAAAGTACACGCTCAGCAGATGCCAATGATGAAGAGGCCGGGCAAAAAGCAAGTCTGGAACAGGATCGATGAGTGTCTACGCTAATCAGCTGTTCCTATGTTCCTTGTGTACATATTTACTTGTTTGCGCCGTCATAAATTGTTCTCATCGGAGTCGATCGTTGCCCCTCGCCATTGATGTGATCGGCTACATGTCTTCAGGTTCGTCGGAGTCCGACGACGAACCTAAACCATGACTGTTCGCTGTTCGGACGGTGACGGCCTAGTGTCACCCGGCGGCCCACTGGGACTGAGTCCGATTGTCCGATACCTGAGCTTGCGGTGACAGGCTCAGTCAACTCAGTCACAGAGTCACCGTCGGGTCATGCGGCACCGTTCACTGCCACTCAGCCCGGGGTCCGCTGGAGAGAGATCGGACGGTCCGAGTCCGACCCCTGGCCCGGGCACTGCAACTCCGTCGGAAAGTTCAGCCCGGCGGGCCGGCGGCGGAGCGGCGACCGTCACCCGGTGACCGTACCGGTGTGACGGTCGCCGGGGAGCCTGCTAGTCGGCGGCATCCGAGACTCCCGAGACCGTGACCGACCGTGGCGGGCGCCATTCCATGGCATTTTCTAATGCTCGCTTTTGATCATTTTCGAGCGGGGTACTTCAGCCCAGGATTTTTGAATGGTCGGCGCACTGAAAATTTGTACCAGAAACTTCGATAATGGTTGAAAGTATGTTTGAATCGGGGACCGTGTCGAGCAGTTTTAGGTTTACAAGTATTCTTGCTTCCTCCAAACAACAAGGTTTCAAACATTAAAACTATTTTTGACCTTACACGCTTTTACACGCCTGGGGGGTGCATATACAACCAAATCGCCTGCCCTACCCTTCCCCCATTGCTCTGCATCCGCACCCGCCGGCGCAGGCGGCGTTTGTTTGAATCCCAGATGGCTCTCAGCCAATGGCTCTTTCATCTTATTCAAGCTCCAGGCCATCCAAGGTTGGATCATGTGTGAATGTTTGTACTTTTGCGGCATACTGCAAGACGACGTTTCAAACAGCTCGAGCTTGTTTTTCAAAGGAAGCTGTAGGAATCAGCATCGCCATGGATTCCAGAGCCTAGGGCTGTTTTCGAATCCTTTTGATGCTCATTGCAAGATGGAGAATTGCTCGTTTTTGGTGATCAAGCATCCACAACCCTCTTTCGTATGCTTGAGCTTCGAGCACATCTCTGACTGTAGAGTTGTTTGGTGTCTAGATTGTTTCTCGTAAAGGATCTCTCTGATTAGGCAATTGATTGTTGTTTTGGTTGGCATTCTACAAGACCCATACTTCCTCCTCTCTGTGTCAACCAAGCACATAAGCATAAGGCATGTCAGTCGTGTAGGCAACTTGATTGCAAATAGATCGCAAGTGTAAGATCTATGAACTATTCAACGCCATGAATGCCGGATGTGAATGAACTTCCCTCAGGACTTCTCAGTATCAGAACCAGCGAGCTAAGACATAAGGTAGAGTCTCCATTGAATATCATTCCTGCGAATGTAATGTTTTTATCAGTTGTGGGGAAGAGAAGCATGGAGACAAGCGGGTGCCCAAGCGAATAGGAACATCTTGCGGATGTAGGTTTGGACAAAGACGGCGATGATTCCGAGGTTGTGAAACAGGCAGCGAAAAGATGCTGAGGTTTTCGGAGTTCATAAACATGGCTTGTGACGAGCATGTCACACGTAAAGCGATGGAAAACAACAAACAAAAATTGTAAAGCAATCGAAAGCAACGAAAATCAATTGAAAACAACAAACAAAATTCTTCTCAAACGTCTTACTCCTTGACTTCAACCACTGATTGAACATCATTTTGACCTCGGTCATATCTCGACAAATCCGATTGTACTCCGCCGCTGAACAGAAAGTTGTTTGCGCCATCTTTTCAACGAGTGGTGCCGGGTTTGCAATCGAGAAGTGAGAGATTTCACAGTATTTATTATTTTCGATGTCGTCTTCATGAAAAAATATATACCCATGCACTCTGAAATTATCGTGGAGATCATCGTTGGCATGCTCCAACATGCAAGGAAAGCTGAAGAAACACATTTTTGGTATAGCATTCATTTCATCCGTATCCTTGTAAATTGATTGATAACAATCACGGTTTCCAACCTTGTTCAAAATTCTTTTCAGGGCCACACAGGGCACTCGATTAGTTATAATGGTTTCGTCTACATGTTCCAAGAGGACTCCATTGTACATGATGTACACTTCGACAACCTGTGCATCTGAGTGCAGCGATTTGATCATGCCCAGTCGATTCACTTCAACGCCCCTGTGATCTTCACACTGATATTGAACCCCTGTGCCAGGCTCAAGAATAATATTCAAATTACTGCTTGGCTTTTTCCAGTACATCCTGGGCAAGTCTCGATCATCAACTGACGTATGCAGGATCATTCGAAGCTTCAAATCTTGAGGTGTCTTTGACTCATCACAAGTCTCTTCCTGCTCCAAGAATGTATCGAAATCTTCCTGCCTTCGCCTTCTCTGAATTCCATTTGTTGCTGATACACGACGGTGAAGATTCATTTGTTGGTGTCTATAACTGGAGCGCAAGGGAAAGGGAAGCAACGGGGAGAGAGGGGAGCAGGGGGGAGGGAGGGAGCAGGGAGGAAGGGAGGGGAGCAGGGGGGAGGGAGGGAGGGAGAACAGCATTGAACGAGGAGGGGAGGGATACTTGCAATGGAGATCTCAGGATTTTAATGAAAATTATTTGCCTTTTGATCGGGGGCAAGGGGACCTGTGTTTCGGTGGCACCCTATAGACATGGGATATTTATCAATCTCTAACAACTCGTGTAGAAAAAAAAGATTGCCGTTGCTAGCTGGCATACGACTCCTTGATTTGAAAACAAAAATACTTATTGGCTAGATTTACTACACTCGTCAATGGCTGACACTAATAAGATTTCATGAGCGTGTATCGAAATATACGAATAACCCTACCCCCTCCATATCAGACAAACATACCGGTACACAGGGAAGAGAGCAGCCAAGAGGCGTGTAAGCCGGAACTCAAATGCTTAAAACAAATATAAAAGAGTACTGAGTGGTACAAATCATTCTGGTACAAAATTGACTAAAAACTGTATGCTTATGATCAAATTAACAGGTACAAGTGTTTGTTAAAAGGATATTAATTTATAATTGGGCATTAGTAAATGCCATGGAATGTCTGTCACCGCCGTCCATGACACGGTCAGTAGTCCGAAACCGTACTGTACTCATAGCAAAAGCCCCTTGAATTTCAAATACATGAATTTGTTTATTATTCCAGTAAGGCGGGCGCAGAGCCTGGCGGCCCGCCGTGCCGGTCACCGGACTCAGCTGCCGGGACTCCAGCCGGGACTCAGTGATTTAGAGGGGGAATGAGGGGGATGAGTGAAAGGGAATGAGGGGGATGAGGGGTAAGCGAGGGAAGACAGGCAAGGCACGATGGCAGCACGGGGACGCGGCGGATACGGCGGGAGGGAGATGGACATGCGAGGACGTAAGTGACTGGCATGCAGACATGTCAAAGAGGATGTCCGACTGAGATGCTGTGCGTGTTTGGAGATGAACTTGATGAGAGTTAGCCCCTGGGAGAGGATCGCAAGTTTGAGGCCCAGGGGCCGGGGAGAGTTGTGGAGATAGTTGTGCTTGTTGTGTGGCCGGATCATGAGGGGACCCAGAAGTTCACACCTCATTTGATTCACTTCCTCCCGTCTGACATTTCTTATGGCACAGCCGGGGGTTATAGAGGACGAGGACGAGGAGGCGGAGGCTTCCATGGAGGGCGTGGAGGTCACGATTCCATGATGTACGAAGACGAAGGAGGAGGAGGAGGAGGAGGACACCATGCTTCGGGGTTTGCCCCATACAGGTGCTGATGTCATGTGTGGCTCTGCTCTCAAGAGCTCAAGTTGCTGATAGGCGGGGGGGGGGGCGGGGAAGGGGAAGGGGAAGGCCGATGCTGCCGAGGCAGGGGCCGTACACCTTCCAAGTCGGAGGATTCGACCCGGCGACGAATCAAGGAGACCTGGAGGAGTTCCTCAAGAACAAGTCTGAAGTTCCTTTCGAGATCGAGGCGGGAAGCTCCTTCCGACGGTACGTCCTGTTGAAGACCGAACCTGCGTCCTTTGATCCCGGTGTAGGGATAGCTACACGATGAAGATGAACGACTTCGAGGCAGCAAAGAGCATACTGAGGCTGTCAGGTATCCGATTCCGAGGACAGAAGCTCGAGATCACCTGCAACGAAGCGAGCACGGGCACTCAGGTAACCTGTGCTGTGCTGGTGGAGAGGCTGATGTCTGACCCATGGCGGCAAGGTGGGAGGTCCTGTTCTCCCGGATCACTTGAAGCAGCAGATCCATCAAGGCCTTCTTCCCCTCTTTCGGGTCATCGCCCCCCCCCCTCCCTCCTCCTCCTCCTCCTCCTCCTCCTCCTCCTCCTCCTCCTCATGCTCATCCCACTCCTCCTCTTCTTCTGACGGCTCGTGGACTGCAGGCCGAGGCGAAGATGCTGCTATGTGAAAACCTAGCAGGTCGATGGCAAGCGAGCGAACAGACAGGTGAGGCTAGTAGGCGAGGAGGAGGCGGGGACAGAAACGTGACATGTCTTCTCCAAACAGCAAGCTTGAGAGTAGAATGGACTAACTTCAAGTTCGTCAACACCATCATGGTTGTCCTCTGACTTGTTCCTCCCCTCACGTGACTTGGCTTCTTCCGACAGCACGTCATTCAAGAGAACTTCCAGCAGTTGGAAACCTTGAGTCTAGACAATAACAGTCTCCAGAGCTTGCAGGAATGCCACTGTCCTCCTTCTTCCGCTGCTGCTGCTGCTCCTCCTCCTCCTCCTCCTCCTTTTCTTTACACAACGAATTTCACAGCACAAGAAAAACTCTGACGTCACCAGCAGACATTCTCCACTTTGTCGACTCTCTGTCCGTCCATTCGCAACCTCAGGTGAAACAATCTTCATTCCATCCACTCCCTTTGACTCCTCCATCCCTTCCTTCACCTCCTCCCCTTCACCGTCTTGCCTTCATCTTGGCTCGTCTCCCCTCCTCTCCTTCTCCTCTCCTGACAGAGCTGCTCTCTCTCCAGCCTTGCCAACAACTTCCTGGAGAGCTCGGAGGAGTTGCAGTCGTTGCAGGTGAGAGGTCACGGCCGATCTCCATCCTCCTCACCGCCTGCCAAGGGTCTGCAACTGAGAGAACTCCGACTGGAGGGAAATCCCTTCATCAAGACTGAGGGAGCGGGTGAGCCCTTAGCCGTTCCTGCTCATCCTCCTGCGTTACCTACTCCTGTTCCTCCTACTCCTTCTCTAACTTCGCTCACTCCTCCTCCTTCCTGGCCTCCCTCTTGAACTTCTCCCCTCCCGTCGCCGTCTTCCTTGAGTAGCTCTCTGTTCACGTTGGCTGCTCCTTCCTCCTACCCCGTTGCTGACAGCCTTGCAGACAAAACAGGCTTTCATGGCGTCATCCGAGGTTTCTTTCCCACTCTGATCCTCCTAGACGGCAACGAAC